GAATTCTTTGGCACAGACAATGGTGGAGACATTATTTCTGGATACATAACGTCACTTTTTATGGGAGTTTCACATTCGATGCTGTTTTTCTTCTTTTTAGGTAAAGGAGCTGAATCATCTGATGGAACATAGTCCTCTTCATCCTCCGAATAATAATTACTATGACTAGGGCTTTTGAGAATACCATTTTCTTTCCGTTTTTCTCGAACCTTTAAACAAAATTTATAATCATTAATTATACAATAAATTTGTAAAAAATATTAAATTACAGCAAAATTAAAATGGCCAAACAAGTAAATAAACTAATTTTACTTTTCTTTTCCCAGGAACACCCTTATTCTCCCCATCCCCTCCGCTATTTCTATCTTGCCCAAAATGTGCAAATGGTCTACTATTCGCTGCAAGTTGCCTATCTTCCTGCATCTTTTCTTGTAATTTATGAAGCCTTTGTAGCATCAAAGGAACCATTTTTGCATTTTGTTCTCTAAATCCTACCACAGAAATACATCGAATTATTTCACCTTCGAGCATACAGATAGAAATTAAGTATGAAATTAAAAAAATACCCGTAGCAATTTCCTGAACTTCCATTGCAGCAGCTACCAGTCCAGTTGCATAACTTTGTAATGGCTCTATGCTTTTTTCTGCCCATGAAAAAAGACGATGGGTAAGTCCTTCCATATCTGGCTGAAATACTGCAGAAGTTTCTAAGCCAGGAAGAATATCAAGCATAAGACGACAAGCTGCAATATTTAGTTTCCTAACATCACGACCTGTGATACCAGCACGAGACCAATAAGTGTCTCTCAAATAATCATTTATAAGCTGTTGAAAACATAATAAATTGCATAATTATTTTCCACCTTACAGTAATATAATATTGTATACTATTTTCTTTTACAATCTTACCTTAGTCATAAAATTATCTTTCCTAAACAAAACTTTTAATATGTGTCCAAAATTACACTCTGGATCTGTACGCGATGGATGTCTTTCATCAAATGGATCTGGATCCATCTTTAAATAGTTTTCTGTTTCTAGTTCTATAATCTCTGCCAATCTTTGAAGCGTTGGAATTGGGTCGTATGTAGGTGATGAATGTTCCTCTTCCCATTGTCGAAGAATTTGAACTACATCTGTTACTTCAGCTAAGGATTCTGCACTTGACATCTTTCTTTCTGTTATCCTGTAAATATAAATTTAATGCAGTGTTTTTTTTTTTTTTTTTTTTTTTTTCAATTACTTTACGAGGTCAACAAATTTTTTTATTTTTATTACACAATAGTACATTGTTTTCATATCTAAAAACATATTGTTAATGTGTTATGTACTTTTCCTATTTTACAGTTCCGAATGATAGATTACAAAAAATTTTACCACTAAAAATATAAAATAATCAATTCTTTATTGTTTGTAATATTTATTATCAGTTATTTTGATTGTAAATGTTTTACTATCAAAATTAAAATTAAGGAAAGCTAACATTACAATAAACCGATACCGAACAAAAGGGGTAATATGAACAAAACGGTTGTATATTGTACAGTAAAATAAAATGTACAGTTATACGATTCTTCAACTTGGAAAAAACATAATATACACAATTTTGCACTAAATAATTGCTAATTGGAACAACTGAATTTAACACTTAATCGTTATTTCAAAATCATTAAATTTGAAATCAGTTGATAAATTAACCTCAAAATTGAATATACAACAAACAAACATTAATGTTCCAGAATAAAACGTGTAACGAATTAGTAAAAAATACTAATTATAAAAAAAACAATTAAATTAAATGCAAAAATGTAGAATACCCGTAAAAACAGTTTGTTGACGTTTTTTTGAAAGTCAGACGAGGAAAGGCAGCGTGTATCTTATTAGGTTAGAATAAACGACTCATTACCTCCTTGAAATTTATTTAACAATTAACTTGTTTGACAGTTATCACAGTGTATGTCACTTTCTTTTATACGAGCTATTGTATTAAATTGTGAAAGTATGCAAAATTCCAATTAAAAACAATGTTTTCCTAGCAAAGTACGAAACACAACCACCGACATGCACGCTGAAGACGGTGTAGTTAATTCATCTTATGAAATGTCACAATAAAATAGGATTTTTTATATGCACATGTTGGTTTCCGTACTAGAACCTGTATGTACATATTTAATAATTACACATTGTTTTATAAAACATTTAAATTATTAAATATTTGTCTCTCGTTATATAGCCAAGTTCATTTTCTTAACCAAACGAATTACATATTTCATAAGAGTCGTCTTATACAATTAAACTATATACATTTTTATATGTATTTATGCTGCTACGAACAATATTATTTTATGATTTTTTTAAATAAAATATTCTGGAATTATCAATCATGTATGGTACATTTTTATTTTTTTTAAGAACGCATTTGCACATATGTTAAACCTGATAAATCAGTTTTGGGAACACACTACTCTTGTGTCATATGATCATCATTAACCGAAGACACTTTTGTCAGTAGGCGTTGACTCCTCCAAAAATTCGATTCAAAATTAGTGTATTGAAAAAGTAACTGCCAGTATTAAAAGGAAACCAGTAAATCTTTAAGCTTCAATATGGCACTAAGCGATGCAGATGTACAAAAACAGGTATAAATAATTTAATTTAAAATACTTGTAACTTCTCATCGAAGACCATCGATTTCAATCTATTTTTGCATTTTACTCTATATATTGTTGCTTACATAGAATACCTGTTTTCTTGTTACATTTATATTATTGCAGTTGTTCATTTTTCTTATAATAAAGTCATTGAAAGAAATTTTATTATAAAAACTGGATTAAAATTTTTTTCAATGTAGTTTTGCAATAGAATTTACGAATATTAAATGATTTCAGTTATTTTTATTTTAATTATTCTGTCTTAATTTTTTTATTATTTTGAAGAATTGTTAACATTAAGTTTACTTTACAAAAAATTATTTTGTGTAAAACATGAGACTATAAGCAACAATTTAATCATAAGCTTTATTTGATCAAGTTCTATAGTAACATAGATTTATAAAATATTATAATACTTATTTAATATATGTTTTATTTATAATTTTAATATTTTAAGATTAAACATATGATGGCTTTCATTGAGCAAGAAGCCAATGAAAAAGCAGAAGAAATTGATGCTAAAGCAGAGGAAGAATTTAATATTGAGAAAGGTCGTTTAGTTCAACAACAGAGACTTAAGATTATGGAATACTATGAGAAAAAAGAGAAACAAGTGGAGCTTCAAAAGAAAATGTATGTGTAATACTGAGAGTAATTTTAAATTCTATGTAGATTTTGTCTAAACTAAAAGAATGATTACATTAAATTTAAATTTTATTGCACAGTCAATCATCAAATATGTTAAATCAAGCTCGTTTGAGAGTACTGAAAGTTAGAGAAGATCATGTGCGGAATGTACTTGATGAAGCTAGGAAAAGATTAAGCGAAATATCACAGGATGTTCCTCAATATAAAGAAATTATGAAATTGTTGGTTCTACAAGGTCTATGTCAGGTAAAAGCTCATTAAAATATTAAATATTATTTTAAAATAGTTTTTTTCAGTTAAAGATTCATAGTTTCTAAATAATCTAATACAATTTCAACTTACAGTTGACAGAAGCTCATATTACTATTCGTGTACGTCAAGTAGATCTTTCCTTAGTAGACTCCATTATTGAGCCTATTCAAGATGCCTATAAACAAATAACAAGAAAAGATGTTGCAATTAAAATTGATCAAGACAACTTTCTTTCTCCCGATAGCTGTGGTGGTGTTGATTTATATGCAGCAAAAGGTATTTATTCACTAAAAAAAACCCTTATAAGAGTATTATTAAAGATTATTTGAATTAAATAACATATTCAGTAATAATAAGTTAATAGCATCGTGTGAATTATTTTTAGGGCGTATAAAGGTCAGCAATACTTTGGAAACAAGATTAGAATTAATAGCACAGAAATTGATACCAGAGATACGTTCAGCTCTCTTTGGATCCAATCCCAACCGTAAATTCACTGATTAAAAAAAAAGAACCTTTCACGTTTTCTCCTCTTTTCATTCTGTTCTCTTTCCTAATAAACATTCCCTTCTTTAGAATGCTAAAAAGAATAACAATTTTTTGTGTAGAATATAGAATCTGTTGTAAAAATTGTTGAAAAGAGAGAAAGTGAAATTGTAAAATATATCTATATACACTTATATGTATATACATACTTACGCTCGTGCGCGAGCACACATAACACAAATCCAATATACATATGGCTATAAAGTATTTTATGTGAAGAAATTTTAACTTATCTTTTCAAATGTTCCTGAAAAATCAATTTCCTTTTATCACAACCTCTAATGTTTAATTTTTATGGTGAGTATAATTCTTTTAAAATAAATTCAAATTATATTAGCCAAATTGTATGCTACAATTGTAAATTATTCGTTAAAATTAAAAACAGTTAAACCCTGTTTAACTCCAGTTTATTACAAACATTTAAAATACAAAACTACGTATAAATTTAACGATAAAATACATAGGACTACTAAAATTAGTTATTAATTGTATACAGTATGAATATAAATATTGCATATAATAAGTCCCATTTATTATATCATATTATATTATAAGGAGAAAGGTAGTTTTATTTAAAAAATCAGAACTTAAAATTGTTGTTATTTACAGGTTTAATTCAGTTAGATCTAAGTTTTTTAAATATGGCTATTTGAGAATCCGAATTTTAACTTCTTAAAAAATTTACGAAAATAAAATGCACATTAGAAAATCGTGAATAACTTCGTAGAAAATGAAGTTCAATTATATTTTCGTTTAGTATGTTACTCGTGAACGTATTTTAAGGCAATTTCTCTATTTTGAAAATACATTTATGATAAATACGAATTTTATGGAATATACCATTTTATATTCCATTTAAATTTTAGTATTTTAAAAAATGTAAAGAAAAATATTTCAATTTTCTTGTTTCAAATTTTAATCATTCATGTTTTACTGCGAGTTTTCATCATTTTTTGTAACTTCTAAGTTTTCTTTGCTATCCCTACTATTTTCATTTATAGAAGGTTCATCTTTATTCAGAACGGTAACGTCATTATTTCTATTCACTTTTTTCAATTGTCCAATAACTTTAACGTAGTTGTAGGGAACAAGACCAATATTTACATTGTCAGTAGCTTTACACCATCCTGGTACATTTTTCGGTTGCAAAGACTTGGGTGCAAGGCAAAGTTTTTGTCCAGCTTTAATACTTAATTCATCATTATTTCTTGCAACAAAATCGTACAAAACAGTTGCAATATATGCAGGTTCTTCATATTGGTGCCATTCTTTTGGGTCCTTTCCTAAATGATTTATACCGTTAATAAAAAAAATTATATTTCGATATACTTCATTCGATTACCTTTTATTTGCATATGTTTAATATTACTCGTGATCTTATGAATCATATATGGTATTACAAAAAATACACTAAATATTAGAAATCCAGACCAATAAGAAGAGTAATTAACATTAACATTTTCATTTCCAATTTTAGCTAAAGATTTATCCCATAATTCATCGTTAATCGAGCCCCGATCCTGAAATCCTAAAATAAACACATAGGATAGGTTACATTTAAGAAAATTAAATTTTAAATTAATACATTACCATAATCAGTTTAGAATTATCCAACAAAAAAATTCCATATTGATATATGTATACTTACCAGTACTGCGTACGATTTTTCTATATAACCATTTGAGAAACCTAATTAAAGCAAAAGTACTAAATAATTGTCCTAAAGTAGAATGTAACTTCCTAACATTTTCTGCAACACTTAATATTGCTTTAAATGAATTTGTTAAAGCAAAATATGTAGACTCCAAAAGCATAGTCATCGACGAAAATGTATGAAGGATTGTTTCAATTAAATGAAAGGTTGGCCTAGTGCTATCTTCAACATATTGGAAAAACCTGTAGAAGATATGAAAAAAATTAAAAAGAGATATTAAATAAAACATTCATTTAATATATTATTCATATATTTTTCAAATAATTACAAAAGTGCATTATTTTTTAAAATACCATAAAACTCACCTATTTTCAACATCACCACTGTGCCCACCAAATACCCCAGAACTATTATAATTAGAATACGAGTTAAAACCATACGAATTATATCCTCCATATCCCCTGTACTGATTACCATAACCATATCCACTATACCCACCGTATCCACCATAATTTGATCCAAATGGTCTTTGATAATCATTGAACCCAGAATAATTTTGAACTGGTTGACGTGGTGGAAGAGGTGGAGGATTTCCTGACTGTATATTTGAAGGATATGGTATTGATGTATTTGGCAAACTATAAACAAATAAATAATTTTAATTTCTTGTAATTAAATAATTATATTGCTATAAACTTTGGATGAAATTATGATAAATATCAAAATTAATAATTATTTATACTTTAACTTCAAATGACTTCACAACTTTTAATATTATTCCAAAATTGTTGATTCAACTGTTAAGTTATATAAATGAGACTTTCTTTAATTATTTGACGTTCATTATCAAAATCAATATTTTTATTTCTATTTAGATCGTTGATAAAGCAAGCCAATACCTGGGTGAAATATTCGGTACATTTTTTAATTGATTTCCATTAACACCACCTGCTCTTTCAGGCGCCATTCTTCAACTTATCGTACTTATCGTTTTCTTGATAATATTCCCTGTACAAAGTTCATAACCTTTCTACATATAAACGTAAAAAACTCATTTGTAATGTGAAAATGAGACACACAGTCCCACGTCCCACACTGCTTTTGACAACTGTGCTGCTGCTATTCATCGTAAAACTTCAGACAGATTTTCAAACTGATTTCTTTTATAGTGATATTTCATGATCAAATATATAGTTACTTACTAGGTAGAATTTACAAATCGCCTTTAATAATTTTCAACACATATTATAGATTTTTAGTTCATTTAAATTTGATACTGTGATAAAATGCATTAAAATTTATAACATTTTTTCATCGTGAACAATTAATTTTAATATTATGCAATTGTAACAAAAAATAATAATAAATTCATTATAAAGGCTGATTTGTATAAAATAAAGAAATGACAAGCGAAACCATGTGGAACTAATAAATATGTTGGTAGTACTTGTATGTATGTATATCTATAACTTAACCTTTCTTCGATCTAATAATCCCGGTATAATACCGCATTGAGATTTGTAACTTGATTAAAGACAAAAGTAATGACTACTTTTGTAAAATTAGTTGAAGAAAATTTACTTTATGGAATTTTGACAGTAATATGGCTATTATTTCTCTGGGTATATTACCTAAGCTACCGTCAGGTAAATTATAACCTAAAAATTTTGTATCTGGTATGGAAGCTTTTTCTATTTTACAAATTACTATTCGTAATATTCTTTTATTTTAATAATCAAGACGATATCGTGATTTTTTTTAAGTGTATTTAATTTCAGAACATATGAAATATAATTCATTTATTTATGTTTTAAACATAGTATCGTATGTAATAAAATAAGCATGATATTAACATTATTTTCATTTTAGAAAGCTTTGGTAACACGTTTGGTTGAATTACCTCAGTCCGTTGAGAAGATAATGACAAAGGATGTTTATGATAAATCACGCAGTTATTATTTAGATAAATTAAACTTCAGTGATTTTAAAGAGTTTTATTCAGAACTCTTTACTACGGTATGAAATTTTGACTGATTTATTTAATATATAGCGATAAATATTTAAATATTTCTAGGCTTTTCTATTGACTTTTGGGTATTATTATTTCTGGTCATGGAGTATTGATCTAGTGAAATATTTTGGTTTTAATGAAAAAAATGAATACCTTGTAAGCGTTGTGTGTATGTTCCTGATAAATGTTCTTCATGACATAATATTTTTACCCTTGAAAATCTACTCTACATTTGTTGTGGAACAGAAACATGGTTTTAATAAAGAGGTATACTAATGCAACTTCCACTCCACTGTTCAAATCATATTTTGTTACTAAATTTTTGTTATTAATTTCAGACACCGGCATTATTTATCAAAGACCGGCTTCTTATGTTTGTTATTCGAGAAGTAATCACAGAACCTATACTCTGTGCCATAATATGGATCATAAAGAACGGAGGAGATTACTTCTTCTTTTATGTTTGGATCTTTTTAATTATTGTTAGTGTATTTATGATGATTCTCTATCCAGAAGTAATCGCTCCACTGTTTGACACGTATACACCGCTTCCGGAGGGAGATCTGAAAAAGAAAATTGAAGCATTAGCAGCGTCTATTAATTATCCACTTTACAAAATATTTCTTGTCAATAAATCGAAGAGATCATCGCATAGTAATGCGTATCTTTATGGATTTTATAAGCACAAGAGAATTGTTTTGTTTGATACTTTGGTGAAAGAGTATTACAAACCACCAGAAGGTGAAACGGAAATAAAAGGATGTGAAACGGATGAAGTATTGGCAGTATTAGCACATGAATTAGGACATTGGAAATATAACCATACGTTAAAAGGATTTGTACTTGGCTTGGTAGATTTTTAACTTACATTTCATTTATTGTATCGTATACTTTTTTCTAATTTTTAAAATTATATTTCTTGTAGATGAGTTTCATGCTTAATCTCTTCCTCTATGCAAAACTTCTGAATTATGAACCTATGTACCGTGCTTTCGGGTTTATGGATTCTCAGCCTATATTTATAGGACTCATCATCGTCACCATGTATATTTTGATACCCTTAAATATAGTAAGTTTAATCAAAATGGATATTTTTGAATTGCTATAAACTATAATCTTTAATTGATTTAAGAAATAGGACTTATGATTAACTTTAATATTTTTTTAGCTGTTGAACTTCTTATCAGTAGTAGTTGCAAGAAGATTTGAATTCGAAGCAGACAGATTCGCAAAGATTGTAGGACATGGTGGGGCACTGAAAAGCTCATTGATTAAGCTTGAAGTAGATAATTTGGGTTATCCTCTTTATGACAAATTATTTTCTGGTTGGCACCACAACCATCCTTCCATTCTCGAAAGACTCGAAGCTATGGATAAAGAAGATTAATTATAAAATTAGTATTTAAATTTTGTATTGTATTTTGTACCGTTACCATGGTATTGTACTTTATAATTAATATGATTTTTTATATTAAGTTAGTGCTTAGAATCTTAAAATAGTTATTTAAAAAAAGTAGATTTGTTCGAAAAAATATCAGTTTATTTCAAAATTATACTATAATAGAAAGAATTATACTTCAAAGTCTTAAATAAAATTTCCAGAATAATGTCAAATAATGATTTCATAGATTATTTTAATACTATATAATAATGAATATTATTGATAATGTTTTATTTTAGATATATATATATATAAAAAGAAAATAATGATCGCAGTTTTAAATATATCTTGTTTATAATATGTAACAAGTGAAATCTGCAAAAGTACGTATATATGCATTTTAATTTAAAAATAAATTAAGAATTTACTACGTGATATTTTGTATACAAAATTATTTTCATTTAATTCAATATTGTTACATGTATTGTAAAATATTTTCATACTTAGATTTGCTAGTGTTTCATCTAGAATTAATTGGGTTAATATATAAAATAAAACGTATTATCATTTGTTGTAACACAAAGAAACATGCATTTTACTTCTTCAATTTAAAATAAGTAATACTAATTTTGTTAATATAGAATTTCTATTAGTTTATTTAAATTCTAAGGTATTTGTAAAATATTTTATAAACATTGTTACGTTAGATGTATTTTTACAATAATAAAACAATACGTATATATAAATTCTATTAAAGTTTAATTGAACTAGAATTATATGATCTTCATTTAGATTTAGAATTTTTAAAAAGCTATTAACGTTTAATATTGTATTATATACTATACTTATAAAAATGTTGATAACTAATAAAAATGTACAATTTGTAAAATGTAAGATTTTAAAACCACTCAAAACAGAATATTTTTACATAAACTAGAAATTTAAGTAACTAGAACATTACAAGAAATTCTAATTGTTACAATTAACAAAAGAATTGAAATATATACAAAAAAATTAAGCTCAATTTAACATGACATCCATTTTGTTAATGTACATTTATATCGCAATTTTATTAAAATGCTCATGTTTACAATAAATACATAGAATTGAGGAAAAATCACGCAATAGATCCGTTTGTCATTCCAAGATGTAACGTGCCTGAAACAGAATATTAAAAAATATTTAGCTGAAAATTGCAATATAACTTTAGCAATTTAAAAAAAAAAATTTGTGTAGGTTATTATATAAAAATTGATATACCAGTAGAAAATTCATGGATATTACTTAACACGTCGCGTATCGTTCTTTTTATAAATTAACGTATCTTTGCTATTACATTTATGAATATAACCGAGGAAAACATTCGTTCTTTTTGTTTAATAACGGTTATCAATTTTGCTCATGTAAAATATGTATATGTATATTACATATAGATTGTAAAATTTCATAATTTCTAACAGTTATCATTAAATATGTATATATATATATGTATGTATAATAAACAAGTGAAAGATTCTATTAGATGGAAATTGTTAAATAGAACCAAAACTATACTGGACTAATTTGTAATATATTGTTTTATAATTTTTTACATCTTGCAAATACGTATAAGTTTTTTTTTTAAATTTTTATTTATGAATAGCAGAAAGCATCCAAATTGTTAATCACTGCTAAGTTAAATAATTATATATATACTTCTAACCCATTAGCTTAATGATAGTACAACCAGTGATTATAAAATACAATAATCATTCAATCTGTATTGTACATTTCTCATTTTTCAAATATACTAAACTTTACAAAGTATTTTCTACATTGGACCACTTGTAAATGTTCAATGCTTACAATTAGATGTTTCTATACATAGACACGTGAAAATTCGAGGTTATTGTATATATGCAGAATTTTTAAAACCCTCACATTACCACAAAACTTCGCGCATGTGCGTATTATAGTATTTTCACTGATCAAATCAACGTCAATAACAGGTTACGAAATGCACTATATTATATAATTAAAAAAAATAATAACAATGATACTGTATAACACACAGAAAAATAATTTGACATTTAATTGAATGATTTTAAAAATGATATTTGTATTAACATGCAAACGGAAAATAATCAAATTTAAATTTTCATACTTTATCCTGTTATTGTTCGTCAATGGTGCATATAAATAAATTTACATAAACTAGCTACTCGTTTATGTAAACAAATTAGTTATATACTTTTTATTTTCGTCAAAGCTATTTTTTGAAATAAAAATATATTTTTTCAAACTCTGTTCCGGAGTGGTGCGCGGGAACTTTATACTAATTTAAATTTCCTACGTCATCAGTTGTCTAATGCTTTATGAAATTTATCATATGATAATTCGGTAGAAAAAATTATTTCATTCTGGACGAACTTGAATTTATGTTACAATCTTAAATATCTTCTACCACTTTATTTAGTTCGAATTAAAATAAAAAATTCATCATTAGTTTAATCAAAATTATGCATTTAATATCGTTGAAAATTGATAACATTGAACATAAACAAAAAAATATAGTATTCTATTATGAAATGTGATAGAATATTTCTAGTTTTATTCTACTTTTGGTCGACCAATAAGTTTGATCGTTTAGTAATATTACTTATGTGCAATTATTGATGCTACACTTTGTTATTGCACATTGATTATAAAAATTTAATTTACAGATGCATCACTATTAATCATGCGACTAACTTGAAATTAGTGTCATTCAAAAAATGAACTATGAATGACAAAATATTAATTAAACACTTAATAAGAATTCACCAGCAAATCTGAGTAAACTAATTTTTGATTGTTCCTTAATTGAAAAGAAAAATCTATTGTTGTATTAAAATAAACATTAATTCCAACAATTTGATTTGCTTTTAAATTCTTTATATGTATAATAGCTCATTTCAATCAATATGTAAGTTCGTCCAGGAAAGAAAATAGCATTCAATCATATACATATGAATATATATATATATATATATATATGTATATATAAATATAATGAGTTATAAACACAACAGTACCTTGCACTTGTCACTCAGTTTGAGCGCAAGCGACCTGGTGGCTGGTGTTCCATCGTCGTGGCGACAGAGAGAGAGAGACTCACGCATGTGAACACACGAGTACGAGTACTGAACAAATATCTAAAGCTGTTCTGAAAAGATTTCATTCCGTTCCGAATATCGTTTGAAACATCTGTTTTGTTTTAACGTCTTTTTCTTTGTTGCAAGTGCAATTATATTAGTCTCTATCTACAGAGTTATCCGACTTCTGTGAACTTGACACGTTATACGATATTCGGAGAAAAAATTTTTCAGATAAAAATTGCATAGTTAAATAAATTAAACTGAACAAGATGCTAGAATATCGATGGTACATCAATTAAACGAAAGAGAAAATTTAAATTAATACCAAAATTATACTTAATGTTAAATAATAATTAGTGATCGTTTTGAATGGCTGTAATCTTTCAATTTCTAAACAAAATATATAGAGAATATGTAATAAAAAATTGTATAGTACCTATGATTATAGGTAGTGATTGAATAAAATACAATAAAATTGTATTGCAATTGTTTGCTGTCAACTATTTCAGTATTTAAACTACGCAACTTTTGTCTGGAATTTTTTTCATAAACCAGTATGATTGAATAATGACGGCACAAAAAATAGATAAAATTAAAGATATGATACAAATCATTCGTACGAACGCTGATGAATAGAATTAACAATTAGTGTTCTTAGTTTTTCTATGGAGACTCCCAGACAAAATCTTTGAAAACAGTGAATTTCTATCGATGTTTGGACTTAACTTTAAAAAAAAATAAAAACAGACGTGAAGATAATTCTGGGAGCCAAGCGGAATGAAAGGCTATAATTTTGCTTACGAAGAGAGACGTTATATAGAAAATATTTATTTTTCGTTCGTTTGATTGAGCAACGCCGAACATCGGCGCTATATATATTTTCGCTCTTTATTTTACTTTTGTGTTCTCTCATGTACATCCTTACACAGACATCTACGCATACACACGTGCACATTGTCTCATACTCAATACATACAACATATATATACATATATATATATATATATATATATATATATATATGTATGTATATAATCTCTCTCTCTATCTATTTAAATATTTATGGCGATAGAATCTTGCTTATCCGAAGTAATGCTTAAGTATTTTAGTAGTTGACATTTTCTATTGATCAAATGTTTAATTACTCTTATAACAAACAAAAAACTCAATACACTATTGAAAATTGAATATTTACAATTTAAGCAATACGATCATTAAATTATCTTTTGTTTCATATAAAAATTTCAACCTAGATTTACCTATAGCATATACACAATTTTAAGGAATAATGTTTAATCAATGAAAATGTTCGTATGAAAATACTTGAAACTTTTAAACGTACATGGTTAATCAAGATTCTACTGTTAAGATTCATCTATCTATACATTATGATCTATTTATATATATACATTTAATTGTTGTTCTGGATATTGGGGATACAAGAAAGATTTTCATATAAAACAATAATGGAACTGAATTACCATTGCAAATATTTTAGTTTAAATAACAGAGTAGTTTAACTGGTTAAAAATTATGAGCATACATTTAAATAAGCTGTAAAGGTTCATATACCATATAGTAGTGTTAAAATTTTTTAAATTAATAATTGGAAAATACTAATATACTTTCAATCCGATGTCGATTTTCTTGTATCTTCAATAATATAAAAAGTAATTAAATGTATATATTTAAACCAGATATATTGTATGTTTGTTCACTACGAAAATACAAAAAGTATTTACAATTCAATAAATAAGTCGTCACTTGGATGTGTCCACGGGTCACGAGTTTAGTATTCACAAATTAGCGCTTTACGTATTAAAAGGTGCTCACGGAACCAATGCCTTTTTTCTATATTCGAAACACTGAATTAAAGAAATCTTTTTGTTTTATAAATAATATATCTCACATTTCCTAAATAATATAAAAGATATATTTTTATTTGGCGTTAAAATTTCTTTTTTTACATACTTTAATTAATGTTCATTTACTATAATTTTTTTATTGCATTTAAAATTTATTTCTAATAAATTATATTAGCCTTGCAAATATTACAAAAATTTATTTTTAAAACATACTACTTTAGCACCATAATAATCAAACATAATTATTCTAAAATTCAGTGTTTCATTTTCTAAAACAAATTTTTCCAAACTGACCCCAACTGAATATGAAGCAACGAATTCTCCCTCACACCACTCCACAGAGTAAGAAAAAATGTTAAAGAAAAAATTGCTCTTTACTTTGGTCTAAGAATCCCTGCGATCCTCCTCTTCCTTCTTTATATCCTCGCTTTCTTTCTTTTCTTCAACCGTTTCCTCCAAATCTTGTTGCTGGTTCTCAGTGGGAATAACTTCTTCTGCTTTAATATCTTTAACTTCATCTTTAATCATTTCTTCTTTCACAACTTCTTCTTCCTCCTCCTCCTCCTCCTCCTCTTCCTCTTCCTCTTCTTCTTCTTCTTCTTCTTCTTCTTCTTTTGCAACCACTTCTCCTTCATTAACAGGTTCTTCTTTTTGTAGTTCCTCTTTTAAGGAAGTTGATTCTTGTTCCTTCGTTTCCTCTGTTTCTTCTCCAGATGGGCTCACGTTAGTCCATCTGGATTTACGCCCTCGGTTTCGATTTTCTCTATCCGCATTTTGGTTGTTCATATGTTTACCACCTTTTTTATCTCTTTGCGAATGATTCTCGGAATCAGAAGACCAAGTAGAAGGCGGGAGTTCTTGATTCCTCCAAGGAGCGGCAGTTTCTGGAGGAACGATCGAAGGTGGACCCATAGGGCCGAATGGTGGTCTGATATGAGGACGAATATCATCGAAAGGAGGTCTGAAAAAGGCGTCCGGTTCTCGTGGATCAAAAGGTGGTCCACGAGGGCCGAAAGGTCTCATGCCAGGTCGCAGAGGACGAGGTCCTAAACCTCGTGGATGAAACATTAGAGGACCTACGAAACAAATGTTTATTATACTATCTAATTTTATCTTGCATCAAAAATTTTATCTTGTTTTAAATTAATATTATAAGGTTAAAATTTAAAAGAAATTTAAAAGAATTGTTACAATATTATTTTACAAAGATCCTTCAGAAAATAAAGAATTATTCTTACCTGGACCACGAGCTCCTAGAGGAGCTGGACGTGGTCCAAATCCATCAGGATGTCCAGGTCTTGGACCTCTGGGTCCCATTATAGGTGGCATCCCAAAGATAGGATCAATTCCAAAGAATTCTCGTCTTCTAGGTTCAAAATCACTCCGATCAAGGTGTCCCCTTGGATCAAAACCTTCTGGCAATCGTGGATCAAAGCCATCTCTTCTGATCTCAAACTCGAAACGATCTCGATCATCCAATGGTCTTCTTCCTCGTATTTCAGACCTGTCAAATTCCTCCCTTTGACAAATAATAACAATTGATTAAACAGTTTGAATTAACAAAGTATTTGAATGTAAGTTGATATGTATTCACTATTACATCCACATTATATCACAATTCCTTCAGCGGGTATTATCTAAAACATTACGAGTATTATCTAATATTACAATTTTTGCTTTAAATAAGTTTCTGAAATTGTAGAACATTTGGTTATTATTACCATCAAAGCGTTTCTTTATTCAGAATTGAAAAAATTATGAACGAAAGGTTATTATTATACATATATACACAATTTTGTTTACCTCTGTTCCCTGGGTGGTCCAAGCCTACCAAACTCTTCCACTCTCTGTTGGCCATGTATCCTATTATCAAATTCCTCTTGATATATCCCTCCTTGTAGCCTCGGTACATCAATATATTCTTCGTGAATCTGTGATCCTCTATGACCTCTGCCAAAATTTGGCCTATCTCTTTGTTGCTGAAACTCTCTTGGATCTTGAGGATTACGGAAATCTGAAGGCCGAGCCGAGAAATCAGCTCTCTCTTGCGGTAAACCAAACTTTGGTAAATCCATCAGAGAAGAAAGAGGCTCTCCACGCGCCGACCGAGTATCTTCGAAATTTCTATCAGATCTATCCCGATCTTGTCGATTGCGGGGAATCATTCGGTCGACCCGATCTTCTAATGGAAGCGTGCCATCGGCCAACTGACGCAGACGTTCGGCTAAGCTCGGTTTACCATCTTTTTTTGGAGTAGATTCATTTTCCTAAAAATAATATAAATATAATATTTAATATTTTTACTAACGATTTACTAACTAATACTAAAGAATTAATCAAAATAATGTAATGATTTTTGAAGATTACCTGAAGATTTAGATTTTGAGTTTGAGAATTTCCTTCTCGATTTTCTCTGTTCTCTCTTTCTCTTCTGTCATCTCTGTCTCTATCTCTGAGATCTCTTCTGCGATCACGTCCTCTGTCTCTTCCTCTGCCCCTTTCTCTCCCACGATCCATTCTAGAATCATTTTCTCTATCTCTATGAGACAAGTGCGTTTCTCTCTCTCTTCTTTCTCTGTTTTCACGCTCTCTTTCTCTTTCTTTGTAGTCTCGATGCTGTTGCTGTTAAAATTATTTAAAATTTTAAATGTAACATTTTGAATAATATTACAGTATTTAATTAATATATATATATATATATATATATATTTACCTCTAATTGATCAGACTCTGTTCTCTCTTCATTTTGTGACAATTGTTGCTCGGTTAAATTGTTCTTATTTTTGGCTCCATTTGATGTCTGTGGCATCGCGTCCTCCATTTCTACATCCATATCGTCTGCAGAATGTTGTTGCTGAGATAGTTGCATTTGTAAAGAAGCAGAAGGTCCTACACCATAAGGTTGACGTAACATTGGCAGATTTGGCATTCCTGTTTCCGTCGTTGGTGGGGGAACTCCTATTGGAGGAACATTATGTGGCATACCTGAAATATTTGTATACTATGAACATCTTTCCTATTTTCAGAAAATTTTATTTTTATTTAATTATATGTATACCAGTAGAATTAGGTTTATCGGAAGGCGCAGCTGGTGCAGGTAAAGGAATTTGCGTTAATAACCCAACACCGACACCTGCACCAAACGGAGAATTAACTGGAGGTGTTAACATAGTCTGCATCATTCCTGGAGGGCCTAATAAACTTTGCATATTTGGTGGAGGCACGCCTATTGGAACGTTGGGCATTAAACTGTGTGCCATTGGTAATCCCATTGGTCCAATCATCCCTAAGTATTAAACAATAATTTGCTAGATTTATTTTCTAATTTATCATTAAGGAAGGATACACATTTCAGATAATTACTTACGAGGAACTCCTGGCATCGTGAAAGCAGGTGGCATCATTTGTAACTGTGTATTTGGTGGTGGTAAAAGTGCAGCGGATGTAGGGGGTCTAATTGGCGGTGGTTGACTTGTATCAATAACTTGTTGCTGCTGTTGACCTTGCTGTTGATTTTGTTGCTGAGATTGTTGTTGTTGAGTGCTAGTCGAAGGTTGCATTACGTTCACGATACTGTCTGTCAAACTCGGAAGTGCAGCAGCTGCAACTAAAGCTTGCTGCTGTAACTGCAACTGTTGCTGAAGCACGTCTGCATTTGTCCCGGAATGCTTTAATTTACCTGAAAATTAAAAGAAAATACATTAGAAGCATGTTTTAAATGAGAATTAATTTATTACATCTGAAATGGTTTCTTTCATTTACCTTTTAAATTAGGTGGCAGCGTATCCTCATCAATCATACCTCCTTCTTCAAGTAATTCTAAATCCTGATCAGTAACGTTAAGTAATTTATTCCAAGGAATATAACTAACTCCTAATTCAACTTCCCAATAATCTTTCCATTCTTTCCCCTTTACTCCTTTTCCTGGTGCCCAGGCTAACTGAAATTGATCATTTTCCATTTATAAAAATTAACTTCATTCTAGTTACTAGAATCGGTTAATGAATAAAAAATGAAATATTAATCTGAAGTTGATTAAATATTATCTATAATTCAAACAACTTACAGTAATTGCTTTTCCTTGCATTTTATGATTTTTAAGTTTAGTAAGAGCTCTATATGCATCTTGCCTTCTATTCATGCATATAAATGCACAACCTCTAGGTGAAATCAGATCTATACTGACAATATCGCCAAATTCTCCAAAAGTATCCGAAAGCTCTTCTTGGTGTACCAACTTGGATAAATGACCTACCCAAAGTGTAGTACTACAAACTGCAAAAACAAAACATATAATAACAATCAATAAGCAATTTGTTAATTAAAAATGTATAAATTACCGCTTAATTTGTCTCTCATAATCGGAGGTAATCCTCTTTTACGTCTTTCTCTTTCTTTTTCTCGTTCCTCCTCAGTCATTTTTTCTCGGCTATCTTCACGTTTTCTCTCACGTCCCCTATCTCGCGAACGAGACCTATAAATATAATAAAACAATATACATTAAAAATATTCATTTTTATGCTCTGCATATTACTAGATGTACAAATTAATTTGCTGCTGATTTCAAATTTAAACATTTTGCCGCACCTTTTAAAAATAAACCTACAATTAACCACACATAATACATATGTGAAATTACCTTCTTCTTCTGGATCTACTTCTTGACCGAGATTTTCTATCCCTGTCCCGATCCCGATCCCGGTCCCTATCTCTGTCTCTGTCTCTATGTCGAGGTGATCTAGATCGACTATGATGTCTGTACCGATCAGGCGATCTACTTTGTGACCTTGTATTATCACAATTTACAATTTCTACGCTGCTACTATCTCGTCTTGCACCATTTCTATATGCAGTAATTTATTTAAAATTAGTTTTAACACTCAGTAGAATTATATTAAAGTAAGAACGAAAAAATATTAACCCAGAGTAATCTTGTGTATCTGTTCGTTCATCGAGAAGCGGACTTTTTTGATTTTGATGCATCTGCTGATTGATCTGCCTAATATTTGACAAAGGTTGAGAGACATACGGTAGAGCCGGTGGATAACCAGGAGGCGGTTGACTCATGTCTTGAATCACTCCGCTACTTACATTTGTTATATACGCGTTTTGTTGATTTGGTTTTAATATGTCTGAAGGTTTTAATTCGCATTCTGATGCAAATGGTAAATTCTAAAAAAAAAAATTTATTCGATTTTGAGTAACAAATAGTGTTTCCTTTTCATGACAGCAACTTACAGGAACAGTTTGAGCTAAGTGCTTATCAAATTCCTCCTCTTGTTGCTTCATTTGCTGCAATTTTCGCATTTTCTCTTCCATTTCATGTTGCGACGAAGAAGCACTTCCTTGCATTGTTTGTTGCAACGTTTGAAGTTGTCTTAAAACCTATTATTAATTCAATTATTAACTTCTTTTATATTGAAATTAGAAGAAAGAATTCATATATATATACTGAAATGTTACAATATTTTATAAAATACCTCTGGATTTGTTAAAAGAAGTCCAAGACTCTCCAAACTATTTCCAGCAGAGACTGTATTATGTTGACCAGTATTAGATGTTGTTGTTGTTGTTGGCGAATTAGCAACAACAACATCATCGTCTTCTTCCTCCCCATAATCAAAATCTAAAAGTTTCTTATCAAATTTTACAGAACTCTTTTGTTCACTCGCTGATTCCTGTTTTTTTAATAATAATTGCTGTAAATGTTGTAGTTGGTCGAGAAAAGAAGCATCCACTTGAGTTGAATTCGATTGCCCCTAAAAAAAAAAAAAAAGGAAAACTTAAAATTCCATACCAGCATGTAGTTACATAAATTGCCGAAGTCAATAATTATAAAACTAAAACTTACTAAAAGTTTATTGGCGTTAACTATATTCGCTGTTTCCATTTTTGTTTGTGCAAGCCAAGCAGGATCGATTGGCTTTGCAGAAGAAAATAACTTTTGATCTTTCACTGCATTCTTTGCACTTAAAGGCGGAGTTTTTACTGCACTTGCAGTATTACTTGCGTTATTCGTTGAAGGAACATTTAGTGTACCTATAATTTTCAGAGAACAAGTAGCTTTGTATTCATACATAAAACTGATCAATTAAAATGATCAACTTTTACCATTAGAATTAACTGCCTGTTCCTTATGTATTGGATGATTTGGGTCTGCAAGATCAAACAGAGGTTGTATAACCTCAGAAGGAAAAACTGCATTCTTTTGCCAAAGATTTAAAACCCTTATCACTTTGCTTTTATCCTCCTGAGGACACTTTAAAAGATTTAAGAAGGTGGTTTGCATGTTCTTGGCAAAACGTGGAGCAAAAACATCTTTCTCCACTCCAAACTGATGTCTGGATTGGCGTACAATTGAATCTATAACGTACAATCCAGGCACTTTGTACTCTGGTTTACACTGCAACATGTAAACAATATACATTAATCATTATTTGTAACATAAAATCATTATTACTCAATTTAATAAATTACCTTTTGAATGAATTTCTCAACACTTTGCACAACATGTTTATAGAATTTGATTGCCTTAATTGCACCCCTAGTTAAAGAGTTCATTTTAGCCTTGGAAATTGGCGGTTTGACATCGTACAGAGCTGATAGCTAAAAACAATAAGAATACAATTAAAATCATTTATAAAAACATTTCACTTAAATGTTATTACTGTTTCAATTTATAACCAATAAAACAGAGTAATGTATAAATATAATGAATGATATGTATATATATATGTAAAAATAATAATTAATAGATAAAACAAATTTAACAAGTTTTTGATGTAATAACTTGGCATTGTATAAATTTTATCTAATATGTCATGTTTGTTTCTCTTCTTCGCCTCTTTCAATAGCACCATAGAAATAAATAAATGTAGATATTTATCATTCTTTTCCACTGTGTAGATTACAAAAACTTAAACAATAATAATAATAATCATTAAGTTTACATCATAAACTCCTTAAATCATAGTAAAGGTTCTTTCACTGTTCTCCCTCTTTCTTACATGTAGTAAGACTTTCCCTCTCTCTCACACAGACTAGAAATCAAAGGATTCTTCGAACACAAAAATCACTGAATTCCTCAAACATTGAGCATCAGGGACATCGAAAAGACTATTGTCTCTGGGAGTATGTTTTTCAATTGTGTCACTTTTGACTTTAAACGGAAGAAAGGAAAGAAAAAGAGAAGAAGAAAAACGAGAAAAAAAGAGGGAGAGTCGGCGGGCTAGAAAAAGAGTCGAAGGTAAATCAGCTTACCTCCGCGTTAAATGCCTTAACCGCCTCCATCCTAATAGAGGTGCAAAGCACCAAAAATTTGCTATGTTTCACAGGAATCCGTGATTCTTGAGACGTTCAATGTTTTCACGATAAATTGCATGTCTCCGCTCAGGGCGCACTGTCTAGCTGGGCCATGCCACTCAAGATGGCGGCGCTATTTCCCGAAAGGCATCACGGGGCGGTGATGTGTGACGTCACACGTCGCTGTGCACGGTCGGTAACAAATTGTGTTTTAATACCGATCGTCCTTCCCCAATTAGAATGCAAGAAATTACATTATTAGAAAATGATCTATCCATATAAATATTTTATTCTCCCATATAAATAATTATATTTTATCAAAATGTTTGATATAGAATTATTGAAAATTGCAGAAGCAGAAGTACCAACTTTACTCTTTAAGAATATGTATGTATGTACATATACATACATACATACATACATACATACATAGAAAAATTTTGAATACCTATATAATTGTAACTAATGTTATAAGATTGTACAAATTTGAATTCATGAAATATTCAATACAAACTGTATGTAGCTATATAAAACTGTAATTGCTTGAACGAAAATCTTCAATAATTATATCAGTATGATGACTTGTGAATTTTAAAAAAGGCATCATAACCTTACATTCAGTGTTGATTTATTTAAATTTTCTGTACGTATATGTATATATTTCTAATTTATAAACCAAGTAATGAAGTTATTAATTTAACAGGAATTTAAAAAACAGAAATGATAAAAATACCAAAGGAAATTAATCTTGAAGATTACATCTTAATACTTCCATCAGTGGGTGTTGGAAATGTTGGACAATTATCCATTGATTTATTAATATACAATCTGAATCTGTGCAAGACTGGAAGTATGTGGAATTCTATGTTTCTTCCAATTTCTGGTCTTGATCCTTATAATAAAGATTCTAGTTCTATTTGCACTGCTGCTGACTTTTACCTTGCAACATCTTGTAAAATAATATGTTTACAATTACGTTCACCTTATGTTGATAACTCAAATGACTTTTTTGAAGAATTAGCACAATTTGTTCAAAACAGAAAAATCAGCAAGGTATAATAATCAAAAGACATATTAGTTACTGTTTTGCTCACCTTAATATTAATAAAGGAATATTTTTACAGGTAATAGTTTTAACTAGCAGTTATGACTATGAGTGTGCTAATGGAATAGATTCTACCTTGAGATATCTAACTTCAGATGTTTCTTTATTAAACAATGAACAGCTTCTTGAAAGTCTTGCTTGGAAAAAGCATGTAAAAGGAACTTCAATAGAATCTGCAGAATGTAGTCGCATCCCTGGTGGAGGTTTTGCAAGTAATCTCTATGAACATTTGAAATCAGAGGACATTGTTTGCACAATATTGTATTGTTATTGTTCTGAAGGAAATAATGTTTCTGATGCACTATTATTATATAAAGGTTTAAACAAATGGCTAAATCTATTAAATGACAGTGCCATTAATGATGTTAAATATCCACCATCTTGGGAATACTTTTTTGGTAATCCACCTTCTACTGAACTGTATTAAGCTTCAAATATATTTTATTTAGAAAATTTTCGTATATTTTATAAATATTTTGTATATGATATTGTAGATATTACATAATATTAGGAAATATAAATTTGATTCAACAATATTTAATTATTAAATTAGAAAATGACAGTAAAATAATATTACTTTTAATGATTTGATTTAGTAATATTTAATTTACATAATAATTTCTTAATAAAACATTTATTATTTATAAAACAAATATTCAAGCAAGGAGTTTGAACTTGGAAGAGAAAGCAGAATAAGACACTAAAGCTGCTAAAAGTGCAGCAAGAAGTTCAGAATTAACCCAAGGTCCTAAATAAATGCCTGGATTATTAAGTACTACTACAGCTAAAGGTTTCACACTGCTTGGATCTTCTCCATTTCTATATGCTTTACGTATGGCTGCATATCTTTCTTCGTCGTATAATTTTATCTCATAATCTCCAGAACGTGCTTTCTTTATCTCTTCTGTCCAAGAAACCTATAAAATTATTATTAATTGTAATTAAAGCTGGACCATTTTTGTACGAACTTAATTTTTGTATAAACTTTACTATATGTAATTGTATTTAATACCTGGTATTTGTTATCAGAACTTAATCTAGCAGCAGGTAATGATTTGCCATCAACTTCAGCATACAATGTAATACCCTTCACACCATTACTACATTTAAGCACAAACTGTGTTGTAAATGCAACATGTGTCAGAATTGTAGCATCTTCTGTAACATATGCAGATGCAACAACCTCAGGTTTTTGACAAGTTTCACTGAGAACTCCAGAAATTCCACAAATCAAGATACAAAATGCTATGAATCGATTCATTATTTTATTTTATGTTTACTTCAATTAATGATTTATTTTATGAAGTGTTTAAAGTTAAATTATACTAGTAATTCACTAGCTACAAAATCGTTACAACCATTCAGACAACTTAAATTATATATGTTAGGTTAAACAATTATTACTACAGTGGCGGCCTCTTTATTAACGCGTGGACATTTTTTGTTACACGTGGTTAGAAACAATAGTACCAATCCATTCATTTTCTCTATTTATTATTGGTTAGATTATTTTAAAACAAAAGTTATCTTACACATATTACGTGGAAAAATATGTTTTCTTTATTGGAATATTACAAACATACTTTCATTAGTAAAAATTTGTATGAGGTAGAGAATATAAGCAAGTCTAATAATTGCTCATGTTTTTTCTTGTGATACAAATTATTTAAAAGTTATTTTCATCATGATCTTATAATATATGTTAATTAAATTTAAAATTTCATTAAAATAATATACATAAAATTTGATTTTCTTTATAAATAATATTCAATACGTTCGCATCACTTTAATAATACTAATATAAAGTGTTATAGAGTTATTAATTCTACACATAAAAATAATACAAGTTATATATTAGCTGCATCAAACAAAGTAGACTTACCATCTTTTTTTGCAGTAATTTGTGTTTTATTCTGCAAATCTACATTTTTTCATTTTATTTGTATGCAATTTTTATATACTTGAATATTATTTAGTTTTTGAAATATATCATAAGAATATTATTAAAAGGACATTACTTAATTTAAAATTCAATTAAATTCATTTCTTTCGTTACTGTATTTAATGCAGTTGTCGTTACAACTGACGTAGTAAAGGAACGTACATGAGATCGGAAAGTTGGCGCAGAGTCCCAAGCTTCATCTCTAATTATTCCCTGATTTCTTGGATACATAAGCAAAGGATCTTTCCCTGTTTTCTTACACAACTTTTCTTGAAGCATTATTAAACGAGATCTCCAATGTTCATAACTTGCTTGCTTAAGCGCATTAACCCACTGTTCCACTTGAGATTCTGAACGGCCACTTAAAACGTGTCTCTTCTCGTGTTCATCTCGAAATGCTATACTAAATGCAAATACTCCTTCAGATGCAGCATCGGTGTTAATGCTATAATTTTCTAATATAATTACACCTGCTGGTTGTCTTCTGTCGATCTGTCCTAATTCGTTAATATTAAAGTAAAATAATAAATTGCATCTTAACTTAAACCATTTCTCTTTAAATCCTGAAAAGCAAAACAATAGACATTAGGAAACCTAATTTGCGATAATTATTATTAAACGTATTTAACGATTTGTTAAATGATTAAATACGTCATTTTTACATATAAGAAATAAATAGAAACGTTACAATTAATAAGTTATTAAATATAAATTAAAGAAGTGGCCTAAACTAACCTGACTTGTGAGCTCGTTTATGATTTAAACGACCTTCAAGATCGGCAGGACCACTGCTTGCTTCTGCAAGTTCTTTCTCATTGAATTTCATGATGATTAAAAAATCATTTACACTAAACGAATTCTTAGATTGTATATAGTAAAAATATATATGTAATTCATATTAGTGATTACTTTAACCACATTTTGTTAAAAACTTTGCACCCGAAAGTTACTGCCAATTATTATCACATCATTCATTCTACACTCCACTGTTTTCTTATCACTTTTCATAGATTTCAATAATTTTATTTATTACAATTTATATATTAAAATCATGTATCGTTAAAACTCATAATTATAAACCACTAATGATAATGATGCTTACGCGTTACTAAACGTCAACGTCAACTAGCACAGTATTTGAAATAGCGCGTTTCATTTAAGCAGTCTGAGAAACATATATGTAAATCCACTACAAGTTTAAATAATTTATTGTAATACTAAATAATTTATTATCAATATACAAATACAAAATTTCACTCCTTTCTAAATAAGGTATATCCAAATATTATTTATAATAAATGTGTTAATAAAAATAGATAAATAAGCACATTGATAAGATTGGATAAACTGAGAGGTTCATACGTGTGTCTATAAGTTTTACAAAGAACTGTACATACATGGGTATGTGTCAAATAGACACATTGTGTATCAAAATTATAATTAGCAAAAGAATTTTGTTTACTAATGGTTGTGGCTTATGTTGATCATTCGTAATTTATTAATTTATAAGAAAAAGAGGAACTATATGGTTAATTGTATATACCATTAAGATCTATTTTATAACAGTAATTTATACAATCGTTTTTAATACAATTAAGCAATGGGATCGCTGACAAGTCGACAAAATGCTGGTGTGGAAGAAGTTGATATCGTTTCAAATCATGCATATAAATATCCACCTCGTTCTGGTTTGTTTTTGTTAATTTATAAATGGTTTTATAAAATATTAAAATACATGAAATTAAAGAGCATGTTATTCATTAAAATATTTGTCCAAATATCTCGTTTAATAGATTTTATTTACTAGGAAGTTATTTTGGCAGTCATTTTATAATGGGTGGTGAAAGGTTTGATACCCCTCAACCTGAAGCATATCTGTTTGGAGAAAATGCTGACTTGAATTTCTTAGGAAGTCGACCAACACCTGTAAGATATGTTACAATTTTATATGTATATAATTTTGTACCATGTGTAAAAATATATTATTTTGATTTAGTTTCCATATCCTCCACCGCAAGCCAATGATCCTACTAAAACATTGAAAAGTTTAGTAAATATAAGAAGAGAATCATTGAGATTAGTTCGTAATGTTGATCAAACTGCCAATTCACCTCAATGTCATAGTGTGAAACACTATGGAGATAGTGATATCGATAAGAAACCAAGTCGTTACAATATTGAATTTACATTTGATTGTGATGTAAGATGTGCAATAACAATATATTATTTTTGCACTGAAGAAGTTACAACAAAGGGAGTTACGTATGTAAAATATGTTATAAGAATTTGATATATTATGTACAATATTAAACAATGAAGATCAATTTATTTACAGTTACATTCCAAGGGATCCTTCTATAAATTCTGAAACATATTATTACAAAAAGGGTGCAAATCAATTATTCTCTCAGACATCACACATATTTGATCCAACAATATATAATGAAGAAGATTTAACATATAATGCTGATAGAGAAGTATGTACGTTTTTAATATCTATATATTCTAAGTTAGATTTTATGATTCACTACAATTATTTTCAGATAATACCAATAGCAATCCATTGTGTAGCAGAAGAAGGCTCAGATGAACCAAAACAATCTCACACAACAATTGCAGTTGTTGAAAAACATTCAGATGGAACCTATGTATTAAAAGCTCTTAAGCAAAAGCTATACGTTGATGGTCTTTGTTATTTACTTCAAGAAATCTATGGCATTGAAAATAAGAATGCTGAGAATGCAAAAGTATGAAGTAAAACTGTATAATTCAATTTTTATATTTGTTTAACACTAATTTGTTTTTTAGCAACAAGGTAGCGACGAAGACACTGATGATAATGGATCAGAATGTGTCATTTGTATGTGTGATGTACGAGATACTTTAATATTACCATGTAGACATTTATGTCTATGCAATAATTGTGCAAATTCTCTCAGATATCAAGCAAACAATTGTCCTATATGTCGTGCTCCTTTTAGAGCTCTCCTTCAAATTAAAGCACTTCAAAAAGCGACTGGGTCTATCATATCAAATCCACCATTACCAGAGGTCAATATCTGCAAGTAATTTTTCTTTAAATTCACTCGTGAATAAACACCATATTTGGGAATAGTTCATTATTGAATTGTTTAATGTTTAGGGAAGCTGTGAAAATATTCCAGCAGGATATGAAGCTGTATCATTAATAGAAGCTTTAAATGGTCCATACATTCCAAGGACTGCTGCTCTTGCACCAGAATCTCCAGAGACACCTGACACAGATACGGCTAGTGCGATCCAAGCAGCTGAAGCATTAAATAGGTAAGATATTGCCATTTATCAAATTTCTAAAGATTTTATTTATATTAATGTATGTTATTCAAAAGATCTGTAGAACGTACTCCAGTATCAAAACATGTATCTACAAAAGAAACAGACATATCTGCAAGGACAAGTGGTACAGCGTGTCCTACTCCAGAAATTCGGATGTCAGTGTTTTTAGCTAAATATGAACATTCCGGATCAGAAAAAGATCTTTACAGTAGGTCTCCAGCAATGAGAATGAAAACTTCTGGACATATAAGAGAAAAAGTTGCATTACGGTCACGGGATACTCTTAGACTTGTTAATGAAAAACAACCTGTTTCTATGTATGAGGTAATTTGTTGTTATTAAATGTTTAATTTTCTTATCTTATTTTTTGAACGAATTATATGTATAAATTTGTATTATAGGGGCAAGGGCAAGATGAAGATAGCGAGGCAGAAAAACTGTCTCCTTTATTGGATGTAGCAACCAGTACAGAAGCACTTGACACCCACGGTCATGGAATGTGTGATATAGACATTGATGACGAAATTCAAAACACCGAAAATGAAAATGATAACAACACCACATGCCATTCTCATTAAAAATGTAAAAATACTTATTTGTAATGTTGGTCCTAAAATGTATATTTAATTCATTTATTTTTTATAATATAAAGTTTTTGATTTTTTTTTAAATGATTTTAAATTGTAGATAATGCAAATTAAAAAACATATCGTTTTGTTAACTTAAAATTCAGACTTCATTTTAAAATTTATAAGCAAGCATTTTATTTTATTTATACTATACTCAATATTTGAGGTATTTTGTTTTTAATAAGTTGACAATTAATCTTTTTTGTGCTCTTAATGTGTAAAAAGAAAAAAGTATGAAATAAAATTAATAACGCACGTCCTTGTCTTTTCAATTAGTTTAATGAAATAAAATTTCAAAGGTTATTTCTCGTTTAGGCAGAGGCAAGAAGTTTTCTGAACTTCTTCCATTCGTCGAGAGGTCCATGCTCAGGTAAATATTTAACATTGCAACCATCCGGAGCAAGACGGCCAGCCGCTTTCAATTCTTCGTATTCGGCACGGTCATACTTGGTGAACCCCCACTTTTTTGAAACATAAATTTTCTGACGACCAGGGAACTTGAATTTAGCACGACGCAGAGCTTCGACTACGGCAGCCTTATGACGATCTGATGACCTAACGCTCATAATAGGTTGTCCAATATGTACTCTAGCTACAGTTCCCTGTGGTTTACCGAAAGCTCCTCTCATCCCTGTTTGCAATCTTTGGAAACAAACGAAATCCCATTTAAAAACTTAATTCTTTCAATATAATAGGAATTTAATGATATACTACCTATCAGCTCCAGCACATGACAACATCTTGTTGATACGAATAACATGGAATGGATGTAGTCTCATACGAATATGAAACTGATCTTTTCCAGCATTCTTTACCATGTATTTGTTGGCACAGATACGTCCTGCTTCTAGAGCTTCAGAACTAAGCTGTTCATATTCATCTGATACTAAATGCACACATAGTGGAAAATCTTCCACAGAGGCTTTCTTCTTCCCAAGATCAAAAATACGTATCTTTGGATCGGGCACACCTCTACAGAATCTTGATTTGGGGTAAGGCTTGTTCTTACAATAACGATAGCTATAAAAAGAAATGAATCATTTTTAATGTGAAATGAAAATGTAGAAAATATGCGAGAATTCCTAACCTAAAATGTTACTAATAAATTATATTCCAAAATATTATAAACAATATAACAATATATTAAATAAGAAAAAAAATCTGTTCCTTTATCTATTAAAATTTATTCCTATATTCGTCAAATTTAAGAAATACATAAGTTGTTACATACCACCTAGCTGGTCGGCGCCCCATTTTTAGCTGTCACTAATAAACAAAATATTACATAAACATTAAAATAATGTTCATAGAAGACTATTTAACACTTAATAATAATTTAAAATGAAAGGATGCTTGATATATTTCTGGATGCTTATGATTATACTTATTAAATAAAAACATTACCTCGTTGCGCCAACGTCAAACAGGGAAAGAATTGAACGACTGAAGTTGGTTAACAGTTAAGGTAGTGAAGTTAGTTATATTTGAAAGATTACTAGTTTAAGGTAGTTTTCAATTGGCGATGGTAATCGTACATACTTTCTTCATACGTATTCAGAAATACATGTTCAATGTTATTTTTTAAAATATAATGGAATCGGAATTGTCAGAAGAAGTTCCTTTGCGTTCACAATTTACAGTTGACGACTTGGATATTGAAATCCTGCCACTTATATATGAAATAATTCGAAGGTTCGTTTTGATAGGTTGACAATTATAGTATTTACATTATTGAAATATAACTATGAATTATTTCGAAATAAAAATTTAACGGTACATAACCTCTATTTATGTTCTAATACGTTTCAATTCTTTAATACTTTTAATGCACATATTGTACTGTTATAATTTTAGAAAGCATGTCAACCAATAGTATTTTAAACTTTTATGTAAGAGAATTTTTATACAAATTATAATTTATATAAATATTAGAAATTAGATTATTTCTTTTTGTACATAAGCACCTTAGTCAGTATTGCATTTTATGCAAAATAAAAGTGCATATATGAAATCTATTTTGAATTAAGTTTTTAACATCATTGTGCAAGTGTTATATGTACATAGTGTGTATTTATTTTTAGTGTTGAAAAAGATCCTCATGATACTACTCAGAAGGCTAAAGAGTCCCAAGATACAAGTCATAAAATATTAGAACTTCAAAAGAAATTAGATTCTGCAAGAACTCAGGTAAAAATCTATTGGTTTCACAAAATAAATAATGCTTAATCTTATAGTAATGATTATTATATATTTTGTAGATTAAAAGATTACCAGGAATAGAATACAGTAAAGAAGAACAGCTACAAAAGCTTGAAACTCTTCGTAAACAGCTCAGACTTAAACGAGAACTTCTATTAAAATACCGTAATATGTGCACATTTGAAGTTCCAAAAGTATAAATATTTATCAGATTATTTTATAATCCGATTACTCCTATTTTGTAAGGAGTAAAAGCTATAAAAATATGGGTCTTTTTCGTATATTGTTTACATATTTAATGCGTAACGAGCAACTGATCAACAAATTAGCAGACTCTAAACCTATTAGAAGATCTGCACAATTTATAGCATATTTATTACTTAGAGGTAGGGCACATGGTTTACCTTTTAAACGTGACGATTATATTAAACATTTAGAAAACGCTAAACATACATTCAAAGAGAAATTACAACAAGTAAAAGATGACATTAAAAAGAATGCATCAAAATGACTTAAGAAATGTATTATAGTTATGCATTATTGTAATTTCAATTTAGTTACAGAAAATCATATTGTAATGATCAGATTAGAACTAATAAATAATATGAACAATCAGTTGATTTAAGTCCATTGTTTTATTTAGCAGAAAGATTGAATTTAAACTATATGTCTTTATTTTCTTTTCTTCTTTTTGAAATAAATAAATTAACATCTGAATGTATATTCTAGACCAAACTGCATCTGGGGATGTCTGGAACCCCGAAAAATCATGACCCCTCGAGAACAAAGCATATTCAGTCTTCTTATATCTGTGTAGTTACTGATTCGCGTAACGGTAAATCTTCGTTTTGGGCGATCAACAATTAGTGGTTCAAAAATATCAAATCTTGTAGTTTTCAACCTGAAATATCCAAAAATACAAATGAAAAGTTTAGGAAACCAATGGTTTACCTCCTCTGTGATCATAGACTTATACAGATATTATAATTATTGGTGTATCTTTATCTATATAAGCCTATGATGTGTATACTGACAATGAATAAGAAGGTCAATAGATATGCACGCTTGGTGTTACACACAAACGTCATAGAGCACTTTTATCATGATGCGCAAAACGAACGAAAACTCGTCTTCCGGTAAATACGTTTTCTCGGGATGGGGATTGAGTAGATCGTATTTTAACAAATCGATTTATCGAATCATAAACATCAATCGATATAATTCCTTCACTACACATACCATCTGAATTCTAATAAAATGGAAAATATTAAAAGAGCTTGAGCTCGAATTTTAAAGAAATATTAAGTGGTGCTAAATACGCCCGGTAGTTAAATGTGCCCTGAAATTAATGTGATGTCGACTGTGTGTGATGGCGGGTAAAGAGTTAAGAAGCCATCAGCAACAGTTTGTTGAAGAAATTAATTACGATGAAATTGAAACAGAGCAGGTATCTTAATTCTACAATAATTTTGACAACGATTAGAAAACATCAGATTCAGTATTACTTATCATCTGATATGGCATTTATAACAGTCAAAGTTTCTTTAATTGTTTTTAATTTTTTCAATTTGATCAGATCCTTTTTTTTTCAAACATAACCTAAATAATGATCTTTGAATATCATATAAGTATAAAATTGTGTTGATAAAGTTCATTTTTACATTTTATATTGATATTTTAAAATTATGATTTACATAGAAGAAAAGTTAATACTTAATTTGTTTGAATAAATCAGAAGTATACGATACTGTAAATTTGACAGTGCTCATAAAAATGAATTTAATATAATAACAAAAAAAATAAGGTAAATAAAAAACAATAATTTACCTAACATAATTTACCTAAATATAATAATTTTATGTAGATAGTAGGAAAAGGTTCTTTTGGAGTAGTATGGAAAGGAAAATGGAGAGGACAATATGTTGCCATAAAATACATAAATTCAGAGGGTGAAAAAAAGGCCTTTACTGTAGAAGTTAGGCAGTTATCAAGGGTTATACATCCCAATATTGTAAAACTTTATGGGGCTTGCACCAAAAATCCAGTTTGTTTGGTTATGGAATATGCTGAAGGCGGCTCTTTATATAATGGTATTTTTTTTCATTTAATCGTATTTAGAATAGATTTCATGGGAAACAATTTATTAAATTTTCTCTGTGTATAAAAATATAACTAATCTAGTTTTATTATGTAAACCCAGTTTGTGACATACAAATTATATTATAAACAGTAAAGAAATAAAATATATGTGTATTTGTTAGTTATCTTTACTTATTTATTTTATAGTTTTACATTGCAATCCTCAGCCACGATATACTGCAGGACATGCAATGAGTTGGGCCTTACAGTGTGCACGAGGTGTTGCATATCTTCATAATATGAAACCAAAACCACTAATTCATAGGTAAGGTTAATTAATTGCTTAAAATGTGTACTTATATATGAGAAATTTTAATTACAAATGAGAATATTTTACTGAAATTATGTTTATTGGACATATTATTCTGATGCAAAATTTCAGAGATTTAAAACCTCCTAATTTATTACTGGTAATGGGAGGACAGACTCTTAAAATTTGTGATTTTGGCACAGCTTGTGACTTAAATACGTATATGACCAACAACAAAGGTTCTGCTGCTTGGATGGCTCCAGAAGTATTTGAGGGTTCTAGATATACAGAAAAATGTGATGTGTTTAGTTGGGGTGTTATTCTATGGGAAATATTATCAAGAAAGAAACCATTTGATGAAATTGGTGGTTCAGCCTATAGAATAATGTGGGCAGTACATGTTGGACAAAGGCCTCCTTTAATCGAAGGATGTCCAAAACCAATTGAAGATCTTCTGACCAGGTACCTAATAGAATTGATCATAGTTTACTTGTAATTTCATAAATAATGATATATGTTAAAATATTGATAAAGGATCAGTAAAATTCTCTATATTATAATTTTATTTTATTTATCAAGTCATATGTTCTATTTCACTCGGTATGTGTATTACTAATTTTATAATAAAGGCAATTAGAGTGATTAAAAATATATTTAGTACACGCTTGTAAGGAAAAAAAAAACAAATAACAATTTTATTAAAGCTTTTCGCAATTATTAACTGCATATTGCTAAAATGCATCCATAAAATGAATTATAGAGAGTCCATTAAATTGAATTATTGTCAGTATAAGTTCAAATGGAAGATGTGATATCGCGGTACAAGTAGTTTTCCTATAATCGTAGGTGGTCAGACAGGTAGAACGTATTCGGCAGCCGTAGGTGATCAGGCAAGTAGTATAAGGTTTAGTGATGGTTGGTTAGACTAGTGGTATTGGTTTGGAAACTGTGGGCAAGTAGAATATGTCAGGCTCTGCACATGGTCAGTAATAAGCCGGGGTCGGGCGGCCACCGACGCCCGTATTTTCACGCATGCATTGTTACGAGCTCAAGCTATGTCTTCGTCTTGGACTGGAATCATTTGGAAGTGAAGAGACTGCTTCAGCCTGCTTCATATCTCCCCATTACTAATCGTCGATCGATAAATCACAATAGTATAGAGAACGATGTTCGTAACCAGACCCTACGTATCCAGTTGCCCCTTCGGGCAACCTGCTGTACATCGTCACCCAAGTAGAACGGATTCTGAAGATTACACTTAGTAGGTGGTCTGACAAGTAGAATATGGTCGGAGGTCGTAGTATAGAGTAGGGAACAGTCTAATACGATCAGTTCTATTTCTTCTTTTTAAATATTTAAATAACAATTTAAATAACAGGTCGATTAGTCAGATGTTAGGGTAATTTTAATAGTTTCAATAATTCTCCGTTTCCTGAGAGTGTTCTGTTAATTAGGGTTTTTTTTTGCTAAATTTCATCTTATGAATTTTAGGTTTTATCCTAGGTGAGGGTGAAGATTGGGCACATAGTTCATCATAAAATTTTTTCTAAAGAAATTGAGGTCTTTTAGCAACTATGGATTCTCCTTTGGAACAACAATCCACTATTTCATCCTCTTCAATGTTTAGGCACTGGGAGCAAATTTTAGTGGTAAGTGATATTGTCTTCAAATGATACTTGTCCATTAAGGATTTCATTGAGCCCAGTGGCTCAACTACTTTCCCTTTCGTTTTTCTCTAAATCATTGAAAATTCAGATATTTTTTCTCAAATGGTTGTTGGTTTTATTGTGAGAAATTTAATGAATGCTCCCAGTTATTTTCATCGCAATGTTTTCTGACAGTAAAATGTGGAAGGGAAAGTGTTGAATTCAGAAAAGGAAAAATATTGAGTAAAATGATCAAATTTACATTATTTATAAATAAGAGTTATGGTTGATAGGTTTAAGTAATTCTAAAGAAGAAAGTAAAAATGATATTTTAACTTTTCCTCTAATGATAATGGGTGATAGGGCTAGTAAGTAATTCTAGCATAAAGAGATATATTACAAAATTAGTTTTCTAGTAGATTATTGATAAAAGAAAAATATAATTGATATTTTGCGGATTTTTCAAAAAATTGTTTTCCGTTTTGTTCATATAATGCTACGCTTATACTGATGTTTCTTTAATTGAATTAATGTAGAATATTTACTATTGTTGCTTTTTAAATTATCTAACATCTAAAAAAGTCTATTGTATTAAGTGATCAGTTATAATTTGTTAATTCTTGTTAACCGATTAGTTGTTTGCATGCTTTTTGTGCTGATTTTATTGTAATCTGATTTAGTATTAATTTTTCGTTGTCTAAACTAGAAGAGCCGTTTTTCATATCTGTGGTTTTTTTTTTACTACTTTTTTAATTAAATCATATAATTTGGAAATATTGATTGTAGTATATTATTATAATTTTGATTAGTAAATTCTTTATGCCTTTAATTGTTAAGTGTGAAACGATCATAAGCCATTTTTATTTGATAAATAAAAAAAAATCAAAGAAAAAAAAAAAGAAATATGCTATTTTTTCAGATGTTGGCACAAATCTCCCGAAGAAAGACCATCAATGGATAAAGTTGTAGAAATAATGACGATTTTGTCACAATTTTTCAGTGGTCACTTGGAACCGGTCGAATATGCACCAAGTATGTATGTTATAAATATGTAAAAAAATGTTTTAGATACAGCCTTTATTCTTTTTCTTATTATAGGTGCCGAATCAGAAGAAATTATTGAGAATCATGATTCTAAATATGATACTGAGAATAATGGATACGTCGACAATAATACCATTAAAGCTAGTGTGTCGAATTCTAAGGAAGAATCAGAAATTCAAGAAGATAGTTCATCTAATTTGTTGAATGATATAAAAAATTCGTCTTCTAAAAATAATAATTCAGTGAATGATGTAACTTATAAAAAACGCCAAATAAATGATTTTCCACAACTTTATGTTGAATGTGATCCGGTAAAGACGAATTTTAATATTTTAAACAGTTTAAGAAGCAATTTTATAAGTTCCAAAATATTTAGAAAATGTGTTTTAACAATTGGAATATTAGAAATAGTTAAGAAGTTTTACGTTATCGTGTTTATTTCCTTTTAATACATAGTTTTTATGATTTTCATTGCAGAATTCCTGGGAATTTTCGGGTTCTGAACCTTCAATGGAATCATCTATTCTAAAGATAAAGAATTCTGTTCCAAGTAAGTTTTATCTTCATAAAATATTTAAGTTATAAATAATTTGAATAACATTTAAAGTTATTCTATTTTATGCAGTGAACTTATTTAATCAATTCCTGTACTGTTTTTCAATCTATTCAAAATGTTTCAACAAGTATTTCGTTAATGTATCATTTTTTGCTTAATCGTCGCATCGATGCAACATGAAAGAAAGTAACACGTCTATTATCACAGACGAAGGGGAATTGGTACGAGAAGGACGAGAGCTTCGAATTTATGACTCACTCCGATAGTACTCTAATCCAAAAATAACGTTCTGTGTGTGTTCCACAAAACCTTCCTTTCAGTAGGGAATGTGATGCATTTAGACCCGTTGTCGCCACCCGAAAGCTTTTTTCGATAATTAACATTAGTCACGCGGTTGATATATTTTGTAATTTTTTCATAATATGTATTTAATCTGATTCGTTTAACTTAGAAAAGCATATTGTAAGAAATTAGTAGAAAGCACTAATTTCTATTAATTTTTAAACCTATTTCCTTATAAGAAAATTGTATTATGTAATTATGGACATAAACAATGGATATATTCTTTCGAAGTTATTGCTTCTTTTCATCGTCAATTTAAATTGTATTTCTTTTTGTATAGCTTCAGAATCACAAACTTAATATGTGTATGTCTTCTAAAGAAAAGTAATCCAGGATATGTCAGTTGCTGCCTCTTAGTCACCAACAAACATTTTTTTCTTAATCGATGTCTATGAGATCAGCTTAGGAAACGGAACTTGAGCTTAATTCAGCCCTGAAGATGAATTAAGAGCCGAAGAACCTTCTTCGAATTTTCTTCTTGGCTCGTAGTTGAACGTTCTATCTGGTGGGGGATACCTCGAAGCAGGTGTGGCTGACTCACCAGGCCCAATATAGATGCACGTTTGTTTAGTGCTCTCCCGACACACCGCCAAGAACTACGGTCTTCCATCCTCTTTCTTCTTTTTTTTCTCCTCTCACTCTTAGTGAATTTGAAAAATTTCGTTTCTTCAAATATCGTCACCTCGTTAACAAGCGGCTCGATCAAACGCATTGTAACAATTATAGGAAGTGGATTCTGATAGCTTATCGAAGTGTAACGATCTCTTTATGTGAACGATCTTGATTCTATTATGAACGAAGCCTCGACTGGCTTCAGTATTTGGAAATGTGTGAGGAATATCCAAACATCGTCGCCACGGACACCTTAAAGCGGTGCTGGGTTCTGTTACGTTAGTACTTTTATTTGTTTCTTCTATTATCAAGGAAGATGATGAGCTGTCCAAGATTAGAAGTAGTTGCAGCAATTAAAAGGATCTTGAATTTAATATAACATTTAAGATTGGGAAATTTATTTAAGACGTGTGCTTTCTTATCATTGTTTTTTGAAAGAAATTCAAAATTGAAAGTTGTTCCATGCGAAGGAAATTTTAAATAAAAAGTGTAGATTCTATCTCGAGAACATATAATACGCAAATATTATAATAATCCTTTTTCTTCTTCTTCTTTTTTTTAATCCTTCCATGTAAATAAATATATAGGTAAAGAAACGATTTTTAATAAGATTAATTTTTAGCTATTATTATTGATTAACAGGTAACAGTACAACTGATAAAGATTTGGACAACGTTTACCGTCTTCTGGATGCAGATCTGAGGCCGTTGACGCCTGATCAAACTTGTGAAAGATCAAAAGAAATCTTTGAAGAGCATAAACAACTTGCACAGGAATACTTGAAGGTTCAAACTGAGATAGCGTTATTGAGCCAACATAAAAACGAAATGCTTAAAAATCTGACCATAGACAGCCTGAGACAGCAGGAAGAATTAAGAAAGCTTGAAGAAGAGAAAGTAAACTTTGAATCGTTTACAATCGTCTGTAACCTTGTAAAATTTTTATTTAGTGTTTTCTCTTTTGGTTTCAGGGAGCCTTGATTCAGTTGTATCGAAACTTAAAACGTCAATTGGAAATTATGAAGAATCAAAGAATGAACAATGTTCTTTCAAGTAACGCTCAAATAGGTCCAACAGTTTCAGGAAACGATGGATGGTTCGTGGTGCCACGTCCAGATCCTGTATTAGATACGTTCGAGGTTTAAGTAAAATTCTTTTTTGATACTACGTTTACAAAGGAAGCAATTTTTACTGAAAATGCTAAGTTTTCAGTTGAAAAAAAAATACTATAGATATTTTTAGCAACATTTTTGTAATTACTTTATCTTGATTTTAAACGCGTGGTTTACTTTCACCGTGCTTTAATATCTACAGAAAATTGAAAAAATGAAAAATTTTTGCAAAATTTTATACAGTTGCTTCCATTATAAGAGAACTGTTTAAGTTGTGATTTTTACTGTAGATTGTTAAATATAAATTGAATACATAATGAAATATGCCAGAAATAATTTTAAACGATTGGCGACAGATCAATCTCAAATATGAAATTAGTAATTGGTAACCAGTAATTAACTAATTGCCTGCGATATAGTTATTAGTATAATTATGTATGTAAGAAGTAATACTAATAAGTGATTAAGGATGTATTGTATCATTATTTTGTTATTGAATTATCATTTACCTATTTGTCATCATAATTGTAAAATATTAATTACTATATTCAGTTAAATGTAAATATCTCAATCTGAATTGTCATATGTAATGATTTGATTTGATTTGATTTGAAAGAAAAACGAGAAAAAAAGGAAAAAGCAATTAATTGTCATATACTTTTTCTGTAGAAAATTGATGTATTCATGTGCACTAAATCATCTTCTATTTGTGTCCTGATTTTAATAAATAAGCGATTCTTTTTTTTATTTATCTTAATAATATTTAATAATAATTCTATTAATTTCCTTTGTAAACTAATAACTGAGACTAATAATCTTTACTTATTTTTCAGTTACATGAAAATGTATCTCAACACGTTAGAAGTTTCAAATCTATACTAAGCTTATCTAATCCTGATAATTTCTATTCATAGATGTATTTCTCCCGATCCAGTTCATTCTTACAGTGAAATTAAAGAAAAAAGTATAGGTATTCAACTTGACGATAATAGTTGATCTATTTTTCTAAATTGTTTACGAGAGGTTCCCACAAAACTGATTCCCCCCTTACATGAATCACTAGTTTGGCTAAATGGAAAATCACTTCAGCAATAACACTTGAGCAGAACAATTAAATTGACCGCATCGCATTCAATACATCATCACGGTATAATCAACGACCTTTAATCTAGAAAAAGACTAAAACGTACATTCGTCTTGGACAATGGATTGCAACGATTTTCACGAAATTGGGGCTTTCCGTCAGTAACCGTAGCCGAATAGAAATTAAGAAAAAAAAAAGAATCTCGTTTACCAGAAGGCTTGCAAATGAATTACTTGGACAGGAAGTCGATTAATAAGTAGAACCAAGTGCAGAAAGCGGATACAAGATAAAGAAGATATCGTCGCCTGATAACGCAGTAGAAAGCGCAAAGTGTGCAATGCGCATGCTCCCATCGGAACCACCATGCGTGCATGCATCGTAGGGGTGTAAAGAGGGTGAAATAACGGAAAGCTGAGTTAGATAGGAAGGGTGCAGTCGCCCAAGACGTTTGCTTGGTCCTATTCTGCAAACCTTCCCTTCAAAACACTTTCCGTTTATTCGATTCCACCTTTGATTCCTTCCCTTCCGTCGACGCGATGGCCCTCGATGTTACCGAGAAAAGTTATATTCTGGACGCAAGGAGCAACTATGAGGATGTAAGTAAATAACAATTGATAAAATTTAATCGCCGTTGTCCTTTGATCCTGTCGTGTTCCTCGGAACACGGTAGAAACGAGTATGTATTGCTTTTTTCTTTTCCTGATAACGATTAACAACGAACGTGCCTCCTAATCGAAGAGGGTAACTTAATTACATAAAGAATGGATTATAGGATTTCGTTTAATATCGTTTGTTCGAGACAACGAGTTTTGAATTTATTCAATCAGCATGATTGATCTTTATCGTCTCACCGATACTGATTAGATTGCAAAATCGATTAGAAACGAATCATGATAAACGGTGCCGTGATTTCATTGAATTTCATTGAATTTCATTGAATAATTGAGGAACGTTTTTTTATTGTTTCTATGGTTATTTGTCGAGTTTGTAAGATGAGTAGCTTGAGAATAACGTAATAATAATAACGACAACTATAATAGTAATTATAATGTATGCTCACACCTCCGCATCAATCGCTACATTTATTTTAAAAATAAAACAAACTAAAATATTAACTTTGGTTTATTACCTTATTTTTTAAAAATAAAATGTAGCAGCATAGATATTTTTTACAATTTTCTTATAGTGTTTTAATGTTTACTTAAATTATGCGTAATAGTAGAGAGAAAAAGAAAAAGTTTTGCAAATTTCGCACTTTTTTTATAATTAGTTGGAAAGAAAGGAGATGAAAATATGTATATTTGATGATTCAAAGTTGCGGTATTAAGAAAGAAGAAAAATCTATAACTCATCGCATTCGTATACATGTACTACTTACATACATATACACATTTTGTTTCAACGTAATTTCTGTTTATCACCCATTCAAATTCTTTTATATGTATACATACATATACTACATTATTACTTCTTTTTGAGCGAATTCAATTTGCACGTATATTTATATATAATTCTGTTAACCTTTATGTATATGTATACAATTTCTAAATGCAGTAGTTTATAAAATTTCATATAATTACGAGATTTTGTAATTAATTTTATTTATATTTATATATATATTTTTTCTCGAATCAACATAAATGAATGTAGTAATGTGTATGCATAGGGTGGGGCATCCAAATTGGTTAACATTCCTTTTGTTTTTATAATAATATTATACAAATACAAACACGAATAATTTTCATCGATATTTGTACTTTTTTCAATTATTATAATCATCTTGTTCACATATGTAAATCATTGGAACTTTTTTTTTTCTATTCCATTTTACAAATTTGGAAGAATATTTTATAACACAAAATATCTTCATTGTTTAAGTATTGAAAAGAAAAAAATAATAATAAAAAATATTTTTAGTATCTATATCTACATGTATATGTATGTAGGTTTATTCAATAATCAATAAAAAATGACTTATAAAATGTACATAATTTTATGGGGTTTTAAAAATAAACTGTATCAATCATTTTAAATATGAATAAGTTACCTTATATTACTACTCGTATTTTTTATTTGATCATTTAGAAATTGTTTAATTTGTAAAATGAATCATTCATTCAAATTGTATCGTAAATTTTTATGCTACACAGGTCGGCAGCCTCGGATCAGAGGAATCTTACGATGATATGAGGCAACTTGTCGGGGCAAGTAATAATATTGATAAACTAGTAATTTAAAAAAATGTATCAGAATTTAATCTAATCTCTGGTAGTGCACGATTTACGATATTTAAATTAATAACTCTACGATAACAAATAATTCGTACTACTTTTTTCTTAAATTACAAATGTTATTGTTGGCGCAATTCTTTAATTCATCAATATACATATAATATGATTTTATAGGAGAAGAAGGAAGAATCCGGAAAATTCAATAGTCTACCATTGGCCAGTTTTAATTTCATCAATTCCATTATCGGCAGTGGTGTTATTGGTAATTCCCATCAGCAATTTATTAAAATTAATTCCTTTGAACACCGAAGATTCATTAATGATTCTAAATGTTAAATGAACATTTTTTAGGCATACCCTATGCCCTTCACCAGGCTGGATTTGGCCTTGGAATAGTATTGTTAATTTTGGTAGCAGGCCTTACTGATTATTCATTGATTTTAATGGTCAGAAGTGGTCATATTTGTGGAGAAATGAGCTATCAAGGTTTAATGAGGGCCAGTTTTGGTCGCACTGGATTTTATATCCTTACCACTCTGCAGTTCATTTATCCATTCATAGGTAAATATGTTCCGTAAATACGTTTCGCATTACTAAATTATTGTAAAATTCTCATTCTCTCTAATTCTTTTCCAGCAATGGTCTCTTACAACGTTGTTGTCGGCGATACGGTAACGAAAGTGTTGATAAGAGTAACAGGAATGAACGAAACGAGTATATTTGCTCATCGTCAAACGGTCATCTTCTTCGCGACGGTTTGCGTCACCATACCATTGTGTCTTTACAGAAACGTAGCCCGTCTGGCCAAGATCTCTTTCCTTTCGTTGGTCTGCGTCGGTTTCATTCTCTTGACTATCTTAATTCGGATGGGTACGATGTCTGCAATTGTGTGAGTGATTTAATTCATTATAGTTTCTCGCCTAACACGTTCATTATTAACAGAATATGTATACATATATCACGTAAATTCGTTTTTCAGGCCAAGCCAAGAAGAGAGTTGGCGATTTGGAAATTTTCGTGGCATCATTCCTTCAGTTGGAATTATGGCTTTTGCCTTTATGTGCCATCATAATACGTTCCTTATATATGAGTCTATAGAAAGAGCTACTCAACAAAAGTGGGACGTAGTCACCCATTGGTCACTCTTCACCTCGTTCTTAGTTGCCGCAGCTTTTGGAATTATTGGCTACGCCACCTTCACCTCCTACGTACAAGGAGATCTTATGGAGAATTATTGCTGGGACGATGATTTGATGAATTTTGCAAGAGTCATGTTTAGTGGGACTATCCTCTTAACTTTTCCCATCGAATGCTTCGTAACTAGAGAAGTGAGTAGTATACATCGCATCGTTGCATATATGTTGATTAACATTATTTTGCAGGTAATCCTAACAGCAATCAAAGGCACGGATGAACTTGAAGATCATACCGCATATGTTCCTAATTCGGACAGGAAGTACTTGATAATCACTCTGGCGATAGTAATCGTTGCTTACTTGATCTCCATGTCCACGGATTGTTTAGGAGTGGTCCTGGAATTGAACGGTATCTTAGCTGCAGTACCTTTAGCCTACGTTCTTCCTGGACTGTGCTACCTCAAGCTTGAAGAGGGCCCAGTTCTCTCGTCCAAGAAGCTTCCGGCTCTTGGTTTGATGACCGCTGGTGTGTTTGCTGCTGTTTCTGGATTATTGCTTCTCATTTTGAACAGCGATACTTCTAGTTCCTGTGTACACGGAAAGGTAATGCCGTATTGTATCGACAGTTCAAATAGTACGAGTTTTAATTCAAGCATCAATAGTACCGAACCGATGTAATTTCTTCGTTGAAGAATACATGTATGTAGGACATTGTTCTTAGATCAGGTAGTTTTATACCTTTGAAATTGTGGTTGGAATCGAGCTTGAGGGACAGAAACGCGTTCATAGAACTGCTTCTAGATTTGTTTCTCCCTTTTCTTGCCTTATCTTGTTTTGTCTCCTCTCGTCTTGTCTTGTCTTGTCTTGGCTTGTCTTGTCTTGTCTTGTCTTGTCTTGTCTTGTCTTATCTTGTCTTGCATATAAATCCTGAAATACTGAAATCCTGAAAGCAGGATAAATTAGGATATCGAAAACTTTAACACGTTTATTGACGCACCCTGCTTCACAAGATGAAGTAATTACAATCACGAGATACGATTATTTTATTTTGGAATTTAAACTTCACTACGGATATTTTGCATAATTAGCGTAATATTAATATTAATTACAATTTCTTTCAATTTCGATTTTCTTATCTGAAAGCATAGATTTGCTACTTCGAACTTACCAGAATATGTAATTTTATTTAACGTTTTTCAATCATTAAATTAACCGTAAATTAAATGCATAGTGTTGTTGACGTCAACGTGTAAACGTGTTAAAAGTTAAAAGATTCTTTATTATACCTAATATTATTGAAATAGAGAAGCTAGAATTATAAACACGGGTTTCTTTCAATCAAATAATTAAAATTAAAAAATCTCTTTTCCACTTGTAACTTATTGTGTTATTCACCCAGTTAGGATATAGTAGATGAGAATACCTAAATAAATTATAAACTATCTATAATATGTTTATTAAGCGTGGAGATTTAAATGCAAGTTGAGAGTAAACCGATTATTATCAGATACATTAAAGATTTGTAAGCATCTACCTATCTGTTGAATTTATCAGCATTTTATCTTGTTGTACGCGTGAAATGAAATATTTTTAAAATCAAACACTATAGATTATAGAGACAATATATATATATATATATATAGTATAATATTAATATACAAACTGACTTTAAATCGGTCATTGTTTGTTGCAGTTGTTAACCCAGTCATTTTAAGCTTTAAATTGATATACATACATACATACATATAATAAGTATTATTTTGCCATATTGCCATGGTATGACAATTTTCTTTTCTTTTTTATTCTCCAGTGTAATTTAACTTTTACATTCTTCCTAGAATATTAAATAATAATTTATTGAATATTTCATTTACAAAATTTCAGAATTACATACTCAGCTCTCGTTTGTTGGAATTTACGCGTACCTGGATGAAAATTCGTATAAAGTACCTCCTACTTATGTATGTACAATTGATCAGATGAATAAGTACTAATATTATTACCAGTATAAAACCTATTTAAGATAGGAATGACGAATGATGATAAATTATTTAATTTCCAAAGATAGAAAAAAGAATGAAATAGGTGAATAGGTGAATACCGTCAAAATAAAAGAATTCGTGAATGAATTAAGAAATGAATTAGGGAAAAGTATACATACATATATGTTTAATATTTCATTGCTGGCGGTGAAATGTGCCATGGTAGTGTACGCAAGTGTTCCATCAAGACAGATTTTCTATTTAAAATTGAATTGCGTAGAATACTTATTAACAAATATGCGTATAGCTGCCAAGAAATTACTATTTATAAAGTCGCTAGTCCATTTCGATTAATTACTTTCTACATAATGGATGAGGGAAAAAATATTTATTTTATAGAAGAGAACAAAAAAAAAAACGGAAAAGATGAGAATTCTATTCTTCCTTTACGACGAACGCACGTTATGTTGATACATATTTTTTGAAATATGTGATGATAGTGACTCATTTAACAACACCATTATTTTTCATCAACTCAATATAACCAAAACTATTATTTATCGATAAGAATAATACTCATTATAATTAAATAACTGAATAATATTAAGCTGTTATTGACACTATTTTTCGAATCTTTATCGTAGGAGCATATATTACGAACGATGTGGTATAGAATATTACGATTTTGTATTAAAAAAAAAAAGAAGTGAAGACGAAGAAGAAGAAGAAGAAGAAGAAGAAGAAGAAGGAAAAAAGAATAATATAATAATGATTATTCGTTTATGCGTATTTTTTCATTTTCTTATTTTTTTATTGTAAATTATTCATTTTATTGTTCTTGTGAAAAAAACGGGTGTCCTATTTTCTTTTTCAATACAAAATCGAAATTGTTTGCTTTCTGGAATACTTTAAATGTAAAAAAATGTCAGACAGTTCAATTAATTTCAATGTTGAATTATAAGTTTCAGATAGAATTACTGTGTGATCATGGATGTTACCTTGATTCAGATTTAAAAATATTTATCCTTTTGGATGCGTTCAATCTTAACAAGTGTGTGATGTATATGTATTATTAGGCCTAATAAGTATTACTTGATATAAATGAACGCTAATTATTATTAGAAAGATGGCAAATAACAAAGACCACAATAACGAAAGTATTTAATGAAGATTGATAAGGGAATTACATTATTTAAATTATTATCCAGTTGGAATCTTTATTGTTAGAGTACATGCAAAATCTACCGGATGTCCGTAAATTTTCTACTTAACATATATGCGCTTATATGTATCTGTATCTAAACGTGTATTCAATTTTCTGCCTATCTTCCCCTGCTGACCTGACGTTCAGTCGTCGGTGCTGGGCGGGTTGCAGGTTTCAGGCGCTTTTTACTCGAATTTTTAAACGTTAATTACTGAAAAACAAAGCCGTAAACGCTATTTCGTTATTCTTGATTTTCGTCTTATTTTGATCCCTAGAATCACCCCCTTAAAATTTTGCCCACAAGTTTTGAAAAACTAAATACACTTTAAGATACATGTTAGATAACAGATTGATTAACAAAAGAGACTCTAATGCACAAGAAGCTGAAACTTATTTTACGGACATTCGGTATACATATGTATATGTATTAGTTTAAATAATTAAAACTATTGTAAAACACAATTAAGGTTAAATATGCGTAACAAAAGAACAGCAGTCATCATATTGACGACAATCGTGTATCGCAGACCAACCAAAAGTACTAATACGTTAAACAAATGGACGATAATCTGAACCTACGATGAACAGACGAATTAACGTTGATAATCAAAATTATTATAACAATGTAGAAGGTTCCTAATTCTCTGAAATAAATTGCAACCATCTTTTCTTCATAGTCGTAATCATACGTAAATACATACATATTTTTCTATGATTGGTTTGCTCTGATCTCATGTTAAAGGAACGATAAATTTTTATACATTGCATCTATTTTCAATCATCAGTAATTATTTGTACAGTTATCTTGAAAGAAAATTTCAGTCTATCTTAAACGGGGATAGTTCCATTGTCGTTAATAAGTTTTGCACACATTCTTTATTATATGTATACAACTACGATTTCTTACAAGGAATTCACATTTTATAATGTTTAAATATTTTTTTAATTATACAAGCAATGCACAAAGTAAAATACTGCGACGTAATACACACACATGTATAGTTGATATATTTTCTTCTGATATAAAATAAATACAATAGTGCAATAATCAGATCATGATCAAATTTATTAGATATACATAGGAAATTTCTGTAAATATCTATTATGGAGCTTCCTTCACAGATGCTATATTTTTTTTAAATTACTAAAAATGAACAACAGCTTTATTAATGTATTATAAACATTTAAATATGTTTAAACAACAATCGAAGTGAACAAAAAACACCCAAAACATACCAGTGTTAAAAACAATTTTTTAAATTTTAAATAAACTGAGCATGCGCATATAGCATAAGAGTTAAACGTTCGCGCCATCAATTTGAAATTCAAACGTAAATGTTCATTTTAAAACTTACTTTTTTTTTCTGTCAATATTTTTTTCTTCAATATTACACATTATGTGTAAAATATCTTCTACGGCATTATAGAACAAACTTGTTGTGTAATTAGATTAACCTAAAGTAAAAGAAATATCCTAACTTTAATAACACTGAAATATCTAAAGCAAAGAAACAAAATGATCAGATTTTTTATTCATGTTTCTTTATCATAATAGAACAGATACATTATAAGAGTTACCAGAAGATCCCTTGGATATATTCAACTATATGTATGTACATATTTACTCTGTGATACCTGTACAGACAGTGTATATGTATGTACCTACTAGTATATGTTCCGTTAACGCGTGTCTACATATACTTAAATAAAATACTATATTGTAACGTTGACTGAACTAAAGAATAGTAAGTTCGAACAATAAAAAAATAACGAAAATCAATAAATTAATTAAGAGTGGATGTTAATGATATTAATATTAATATTGTTTCTATATTGTTTTGGCCGCAGCGCCCAAGTACTGAGAGAATTGTGCATACCTACCCAAGTTACACAGGCAACACTTTATTTTGTATTACCATAATACATATATCTGTATTAACTTGGGCATAACAAATAATTATAATGATTTATGCAATCTATTATGAACTGGTTAACATTTTTTAGCCATTATGTTTATTATACATATTTACATTTTATAATCTCCCTTTATACAGATATATGTAATAGCCTTTATACGAATAAGTACATTTATGCTTTCAAACCATAAACATGAATTTAATATCTCAGATTTTGTTGTGATATACTTTTTTAGTATGTTTGAATAATGTTATCAATTATAGGAACGAATGCATTAGGCGAGAAAAATGTCAAAAACGTCCTCGGTTTCCGTGGAGGGGAGTTCGAGATCATTGCTTGTTTTCTAAATACATATGTATACATTAAAATGGAAGTTTCAAAAAGTGAGCATCTACTTGATACCTGTGAACAAATTTACGGGGACGAGTGTAGAATATGTTTAAAAAGAGCCGTTGAAATTTGCGAATTATTTAGAAATGGAGACGCTATTCCTCATAAACTTATGGCCGTTGCTTCTGTACAGGTTAGTTTATTTATTCGCTTTGTGATAATATCCTGTCGAAAAGTAATTTTCATCAAATTCTACTCTCTTCTTTTATTTTTTTATTTTTTTTTTTTGTACGTTAATTAAAAGTTAATATTATCTGTTCTTCGTGCCATACAAAAATAATTTTTAGGACCAATACAATTTGTATTATTAATTACAAATAATGGAAGCCAACACAAAAGGGTAAAAACCAATTTAAAAATTTGAGAGGATACTAAAAAACATTTAAAACATACTGTATTTTCAAAAAACTTAACCCTTTGAACTTGGAATATTTCAACTGTTCTTCTATTGTGTAATTATTCATGTAATATATAATTAATATAAGTTAGCGTTGAAACTTTATTTTTTATGATAACAATTTCTTTTGTTTTTTTTTCTCTCCAATGATATATAATATTTATTTTTAAAAGTGATTCTTACACATTTAAAGGAAACTGATAATTTCATAAATATAAGTAAGAATGTAAATAATTATAGCTAACATGTAGATATTATTAAAAATATTAATAAAATATCGGTATGAAAGCTATGACATATATTTGTCTTATTAGGTGGAACAAGGTGATGGTTTACCTCCAGTGATTTGTGTACCTTGTAATCAACGTTTGGATGCATCTTATGATTTTAAATGTCAAATACAAAATTCAGATGAAAAACTTCGTCAATTTTTAAAATTAAAATCCGATAATGATTCAATTAGTAGCACCACCATAGTTACAGCAATAATTGCTGATGTGATATCTAATGTAATATCTTCTGAGAAAGAAAGCTCAGTTAAGCCAGAAATTTGTTCTACAGATTTTTGTTCTGATAATTTTTCTTTTACAAAGGATGATTCTTTTTGCCTTAGTTCAGAAAAGAACTTATTTTGTTATGAAAAGGAATCACAAAGTCAATTGAATGATAAAGAACAAAAGAAAAGCACAGAAAATGTAGATATTTGTACAAGTTTGTTAGAAGAAGATTCTCTAAGGTGCGTTAATTTTGTTAAACAACAAGAATTGCATTTATCGGATACTTGCAAGGTACAAGACAAGGATACTACATCAAAAATTGAAATTAGTAACCAAGTATCTGAAAATCAACAAATGTTAGAAGAGACATTAAAAACAGATGGTGGTGCACAAGACGATGAGGAGAAACCTTTAATTGTACGTGCAACTAGATTTCGTTGTACGCAGTGTATTAAGTCATTTCATACAAAAGTGGCCTTGCAGAGACATGCTATTGTACATAAGCGTAAAACTAAATTGCGGTATGTCTGTTATGTTTGTGATAAGCAGTATTCAACTCTTGTGAAAGCAAAAAGTCACGTAGCAATTTGTCGTGAAGCTCATGACAGGAAAGAAAATATTCAAGATAAAAAAATCAGTTACAAGCAAGAACAAGAAGTTGCAAATGTGCAAGATAAAAAGTTTAATAATATTCAAGTAAGTATACATATATATATAAATTTTATTTTTATTTGATTGTGTATCAAATTTTATTTTAATTTATTTTTAGCAAAAAAAAAAAGTTAATACTACATATGATTATACTTAAGAGAATTTTTTTTTATTAACGTAATTATTTTACTGGTTAATTAAACATTGTTAATATTTTTACTTCAGGATAAAAGAATAAAAATTCAGAAAAATGATAATTCTTTTAAAGAACAACGAAAAAGTTTAAAATTGAATTGTAAAGTTTGTTCAAAACAATTTACTTATCAAAAGTCGTTTATAACACATGCTAAAAGTCATCCAGAATATAAGTTACAAGAATTGGATGATTCTTCTCTGTGTTCGACAAAAGAAAAGTCAACAGAAAATCTGGAAGAACAGGAGGAAGAAGATGAAGAAGAGGATGAAGAAGAGGACGACGAAGACGAGAACCTTCCTGCTGAAAGTCTACAGTGCACTCAATGTGGAAAGTTATTTGCAACAAAGAAAAATCTTAAAAGGCATATTTCTACGCACAGCGGATTAAAATACACTTGCGAGAGGTGTGGTAAAGGATTTTCAAGAATAGACAAATTAAAAGATCACGAACAATCAAAACACAAGTCTGAAGTATTTGAAGACTCTGATTTTTCTGACAAAGAAGATATGGATGATATAAACAGGGGGGATTGTTTAGAAGGAAGAAAAAAAGTAAGATAGTTAAAATTATTTTATAAAAATCTCAAGTGTTTTATTGTTTAAACTATATTTGACAAAATGTAAAATTCTTTCAGGATCGTGACAACAGACCGCACAAGTGTGCAATGTGTCCTAAATCCTTTGCCCAAGCTCAATCTTTAGCGAATCATGTTGAACGTCATAAACGTGTTAAAGAAACCCAGAAAAGGTTTCTTTGCGAGGTTTGCAGTAAATGTTTTGCGCAAAGTGGTTCTCTTGTTGCGCATATGCGTACACATACAGGAGTTAAACCGTATGTTTGCAATGTGTGTAGTAGGGCTTTTACAAAGAGCACTTATTTACAACTGCATTTACGTACACATAGCGGAGAGAAACCGTATATTTGTCAATATTGTAGTAGAGCTTTTGCGCGTGCAAATACATTGGCACGGCACATTACCATGCACACAGGAGAAGCGAAGTATCATTGTCAGATTTGTACAAAATCATTTAGAAGACTGACCTCATTGAACGAACACACTTATACGCATACTGGTCAACGACCATACGCCTGCAAAATTTGTACAAAGAGATATAATAATGCTGGCTCGCTTTACGCGCATAGAAAAAAGTGTAAAGCACAGCAGTTATCTAATAGTGGATTTACAGTTTCTGTAGAAAACTCGATATCGCACCAAGATATAAACGTTCCACAGGTTTTGATTTATTCACAGCGAAAATTAGTAGAAGACGCAACGGTTGGACAGGTTACACCCACGCCTCAGTACATGATTCCAAATGTACATAATCAAAAGAGTTTGGGATCAAATATTATTCAACCATTTACGATGGAAGATCCAAATGGTTATACAATTAATTCAAAACCATTTAAAAACCCCTATTATACGATATATCCAAATATGTAAAATAACGTGTGCCTAAGATGCATTAAACTATGTCCTTTTCAGGCTTATTTGTACGCTTGTCTTTCTGTTAAAAGGCGATAAATATGAGAGTAAAAGCGTTATAAATAATTATAAGGTAAGTATTGGAATAGGTAAATAAATTAAAAAAAAAAAAAAGAATATATAAAATAAATTGATAAGTTTTTAAAAAGAATCATAGTAACTTATAAAAAAGAGATAAAACAAAAATATTGTTTTATCAGTAATTAAAACTGTCGATAATTAGCTTTTAAAATAAAACAGATGAAACTTTTATAAATAATAATATGTTTTTATACTAAATTCACTTTTTTCTAAAGGTGTATAATAATAATAATAATAATAATAATAATAACGTTGCAATGCATATACGTAATTAATAGAATTTTTATGAAACATATGGGAAGTATTTTTATGTTTTATACCATTAGTTTTGAATACTCTATGGTGTTTATGTATGTGTAATTACAATTCAATAAATTATTCTTTCTTCGAAGGTGAGCCCATATCGTCGTGAGATGTATCTTTTACCAGAGTCTGTGAACACTTATCCAAATGTTTCAAATTTGGTGAGCTTCTTGTGTAAGGTATCATTTCTTCTACTACCAGTATATCTTCCGGCTTTTCTTTTCGATAGGTCTTAATAATTTTCTTCCATTGAATACCTTTCTTTTTACCAGCCTCCAGAGACTTGTGCCTTCTTACGAGATACTTGGGACTTTTGGCTTTTGGTGTAGCTGTTTTTGCTGGAATTGATAAATTGATATCCGATGGTCTTAAGGGGCACATGTTTGTATGATGACACTGCAATTGACACGTGTCTGAATGAGAACTATCGCTTGTGTCTAGATTGAAAGTATCAGGTAACTGTGTATTTTCGAAATCACGTTGTTTTCCTGTCTCTGAAAACTGATCTGAAAGCGCTTCTAACGAGGGTGGATGCAAAACGTGTGAAGTATATTCTCCCCATGGATTTTCTTCGCTGATATATACCGTAGGAGTGTCGATGATTTGTCTGCTAGTTTTTGATAAATTGGAGGTACTTGAGCCAAGTTGCATTTTAGGACTTTTCGTTAATGTAAAAAATGGTTTTCGAGTGTGTTCACTTTGCGATATTGAATGTCTTCCTAGAGATGAAAATTTTCTCATAGTCTCTGTTAGTTTAAATCGTTGTTCTGCTTGTTCCATTCGCGATGGCGATTCTTGAATATCAAACTGTACAATTGTCTCTGAACAAGTTTCATCAGTTTTTGTAGGTGTTTCAGCGCGCGAGCTGATCTGGCTGAAACAAACGAGTCTAACTTAATGAAACTTCATTGTACGAAGAATCTTTGAATGTCTAAAGCGATAAAATAATTAAAAAAATTTTTTTTCATTTTTTTTTTTAACAGAATTATGCAAAAATACATATCAATTATAATTACCGCCTTTGACTGGATGGACTTTCATTGTGAGTGGCTAAACTCATGGTTGACGTATGAAGCGAGGGTTTTACATCTTCTTCGTTTTCTTCTATAACATCTGGTAAAAACATAGTTTGCTTTTCTTCAGGGACTCTGTAATGGAGTGAATTAATTTGTTATTAATGGATTTAGTTCAAGTTAGAAATTTCTTAAGCATACTAACGTCATATTCGCCACGCTACCACGATACGTTTTCTTTTTATAAGCAGCTGCTGCTTCAGTGTATGGTAAAATCAGATTTTCATCGTCGAAGTAAATGTCTTTAACCAAAGGTGGACATCGATTCATTAGCGTGTCGACTCCAAGATAAGATACCTACGATTATAAAAAACAAATCAATTATTATACAGTGTTAAAATATATCTGCAAACAGTAATTATACCTTTGTATGACGATCAATTATCCAGTTGAGTTCAAAGTCTTCGTCGTCATCACCGAAAGGATTAATTAATTGTTCTGCCACCTATTAAAATGTAATTCAGTCTTTTTTAAACTGCATATACATACAAAGACCTGATTTAATTTTATAATATTACTATTACTATGCATGTATACATATGTATACCTTTAACAAGCCCATGAAAAAGAAGAATTGCAGAATGGTAAAAACAGGAATATAAACGTCAATTTGCAGTTGAAATTGTTTTTCCTTGCCATCAATATATTGACGAGCTATTAAAGCCACAGCAAAGAAACTGTATGTTGCTAGCGTTACTACTTGCGTATAAACTAAAGGGATTGATATCCAATCGTAGCTCCATAACATGCCGCATTTAGTACGAAACTCACAAAATTCCTGTAGGTATTATTAATAATAATGAATAATTTCAACTTATTATTAGTTTATTAAACAATTCTAAACAGTTTTTTACGTAATACTACGTATAAATACGAACTTCCATGATTAATTTCAATCCTTGAGGATCAGGAGTTCTCTGATTTTGACGTGCATCTTTCAAAAGATTGATAAACCATGTGCAAGGGATCCAGTAGGTATTGAATTCTGAACTTGGTACTGCCAGAAATAATTCTAACTCTAAGGACGTCATGAAACCTGTAAAATTGTAGTTACTTTGTTAATACATCTGTCGGTATAATTATTATTATTATTATTATTAATTTCAAATGTGTAATATTATTAAAATTGGAATATTAATTTCTTCGAAATCTATTGTTAACAATGAAGATAACTTGAGCTCAAGATAAAAAAAAATAAAAATAGTTATACCTACGGAATACAATTTTTGAAAGCACACTCGACTAAAAAAGGGGTTCATCTTCATCGAAATCAATCAGTTTAGTTGAAATTTCGTCATTTCATCATTGACTTTGCCTTGTTAGTTATTCTTCAGCATGAAGAAATATAAATTTTTGCATGCTATGGGTTAACAATTAGCAGGTTCGTGTCAAAAGAAAAAGAGAACTATAATGTTTTACCAGAATCAACAACATGATCAAGCGTTGGGAAACGTTTCTTAACTGCCGAACTGATCGAACGTAAAACTAATATTAGGGAAAGGTTCAAATAACGCATCATACTCCTTCGAAGCATACGAGCGTAATTGTCGTTTCCCGTAACATATAATGCAATTAAATGCATCACTCTAAGAAAATATACATACTGGTCACATATTAATATACAAAAGTATGTTGATATATATTCTATTATAATACTCACTTATCAGGCCAAGGTATTGCTTGATATTGTTGCCACCACCTTTGAGCGACATATGATACGTAGAATCCAAGAACAAAACTTAATGGAATCAAATTGATGAAGTTATCGCAGTAAATAACAATTTGCTCGAATTCTCTGTAAAACGAATATTTTCTATTGAAGAATTGGCAACAAGGAACAACTGAATAATTCATTGATGTAATAATCAATGATGGGATAAATAGAATCTTCTTCTTATACAATATAATAATACATATTATCTCGATTATTTTTATTCCAATGTATTTGAAATTAGTTGATGATTGAATATTAAATTCATCTGATAACTGCATCCCATCACTGTTAATATAGCATTCATACAATATTGAGAATTGAATTGCAAACCTTTTCTGCTTGGAATTAAGCAAGTAACGATAAATAGCGGAAAGTGCGGCAAAAAGAGTTAAAAACAGGAAGAGTTCTCTATAGATAAGCTTGTAGAGTGAGCCTCTCCACATAAAAAGTAGCCTGGTGAATCCACCCCTCGTTGAGTTAGCGACTTGATATTGGTACGAGACCGTCATCCTTCATTCAGTTCTTATCAGTTTCGTAATCAAAGTAATTTCCTCGTGAGATTAGCAATAATTTCTTCCTTTTCATCGTTAATGTAAGTTGCCGTCTTTTTTCTTCAATCTGGCAAACAGATATGTAATCAAAGTTGGCGTGAATAATAAAATAAAGTAAAGTAGATAACAAATTGAAATTTTGCAATCAAATTTTTATATTCTATCAAATTTCATTTCATACCTCGGACACTAATCAATTCAGTGGTATAGTGTTTTGTTGAACGGAACAATCACTGATCTACATAATATCCATGGTAGATCTCTGAAAGCATAATAAGATTTATCAAAAATATTATTATAAAAAACAGAAATGAAAATCAAGCAATTGTGACTTTGTAAACGGTACGTCACTGTTGATGTAAAAAAAAAGAAAATCATTGCCGGCAAGTGTCTCCGCGAGTGTTTGTACGTATAGCATAAATAATGACGAGTAGTTTTGGGAGACCTGCCAGTATGCAGCGCGCTTGTTAAATTTAACTTTGTATATTGGAATAACTACCGTCTGAGTAAACACTCGTTTCATACGAGGTTTCACAGTACATCATAATTGCAATTTTACACTGACAATAAGTATTATCTGTTAATGCTTGTTCCTCAAATAGCTTGTAATATAATAATACAGTTCCTGTAGTAATTCAGAAAATATTCTGTAAATATACCAATAGTTTAGAATAATTAGAATTTTATTCGTTCAAACGATGTAAATTCTAATGTGATTGGTACTTTCAGAGGGAATTATACCTCAGGATTAAACAATATCCATATCCACACCTCTACAGAGATTCTCAATGAATCTAAAGCATTATTAATTGATGATACAATATATGTATAATTGAAACATAATCACCAATGTATCCTAAATATGTATATTTTTTCAATTTCATGCCAATAGTCAACTTAAAGTTTACGGTCCAGTCGATCAAATGTTAATGACACGTGTAAGTACATACATACACACGGATCGTCATTATTGTGTCTAACAGATCGTCTGATGGCCACGCGATGCTTTTCGACGGGCCGATCTAAAAATATGTATGTTGGAAAGAAACATGCGACATTGGCCGAACTATGAAACACTTCCGTTCAGATTTTATTGCAATAGTATAGAGATTAAGTAAGCCAAAACCAAGTTAAAACGGTTTCTTCTTCAGTGACAATCTAATTCAAGCATATCTGCAAATAAATACATGTATATGTATAATTATGAATTTGTTTTTTGAATTAAATGCAGTAAAAACTACAAGAAATTTCACATAAATTTGTCAAATACATAATTTCAACTGAAATTTCTATAAATAATTGTTGATACATACATTTATTTTTTATTAAATTTGCGTTAGGCTCCTTTCATCATTAACATAGGATATATGTAAGTATGTAGCAAAAATCCATAATTAAATTTCACTTCATGCTAGAATAAATTTAGTTAACTAATACAAGTTACAATTATACCGCCAAATTGATCTCACCTTCAATTGAACTGGATGCTACAATTTTCTTATTTTCTTCATTTACATACATCTAAAACAGCGTGTCTGTTGTATATTAAACGTATTTCACACGATTATATTTACTTTCACAGCGAAATATTTCAATCGAAACATTCTGACGTGTAGTTAGAAACAACTTAAATATGTATTTTCTTTTTTATTTCAAAGTTGATTCAAAGTTTCAACTATTACACTTACTGTATGTAAGTTTGGCTGTGGATTTGTGTATAATCCGCTACGTGTAACAATCGCAACTAACTAATACATAAATACATAATGTCATAACTATATTGTATATTTCAACATCTTATTGTTTGGGTTTTAATCAAATAAGCACTGTTAACATAAACAATGTTTTATAGACAAATAGAAACGTAGGTATGGTAACTCGAAGACAGTTAGTAGTAAACTGCATCGCTAAGAAAATCAGTATCGTCATTGCGAATGTTAACATTGAAGCTGTTCAATTTGGATCCCGATGGCAGATGCCCAAATCTAAAAAGGGTTGAATGTCAAGCTCGTATTAGGCATTGCAAATCTATACCTGTCTTTGACGAATTAATTGTAATTCGGTAACCTTCATAGAAGAATGGAAAATTTAATATTTTTTTATTACAGATTATCACCATATTAACTTTGTAATTAAGAATAGAATTACAACAAATGACATCAATATCTTTGATATTTCACTATCTACCACGCATAAATTATAGATTTAAATAGAGGTATAGAAATAAAGATATTTCCAATTTTCATGTAAATTATTTTAATATTTTCTATAAGCACATTTTAATTATAAAATATTTCAATACTAGCTACAAGTACAATTTTCACAATTTCATTCACAGTATAGCAATAATAAAATCTAACTACACTTTGCTGTAAGCAAATAATTCCTTCAGATTGTTATACCCAGTTTAGTTCCTCCAAACACTGTCCTCTTACTCATTTTCAACATTTCTATCTCTGTGTCTGTTTCCCTGTAATATTGGAGATACATATCTTAGAAATACTTCCTATTGCAATAACAATTGAAATTCATGAATACTTACATAATTAGAAAGACGCTGTCTGTTTTTAGATAATTCATCCTCGTTTACGTTTTTCACGTCATTCGCAAAATAAGATAAATTATTTTGTGACTTCAAATTGTTATCATTTTTATGAATATTATTACTATATAAAACTGTTTGTTCCTGGTCACGTGGAGCTACAGTTACTACATCGGTAGAAATATCAACAGTTTTAGCAGTCCTCCATACTTCGAGCAATGTTTCGGAATTGTAAAATGGATATAAGGTATAAACAAGTGGCAATGGTTGTTGGTCAGAGTATTCGTAACTGTTAATTTCACTTGATACTTGACAAGCAAAAATAATTAAACTTGATATTACCTATATAGAAAGAAATGTAGTAATCAGTAATATAGGAAGAAAATCAATTTTCCTATAAATTGTAACATACCATCAGTGGAAGATGCATTTTGCTTCTGTATTCCTGTACTATTGCTTCCTAAGAAATGTCTGAGGCTACAATAGCTCTGTAATACCTTTAAATACCCAAGAATGAACTTCTACCAATAGATTATGTGTATTCAATTTCAAGGTTTGAACGTCTAATACTTCTTAGGATTATACCATAAGCATCCATTTAGTGATAAATTAAATTCATCACAGATCATTAAATAATAAAGAGAGCAGATTATAAACATAATTCTGAATATTATTTATACAATATATAAATATTCTTTTATTATTTAACGTATACACAAAAAATTTATAATTACAAATACTTTATCTTTCAACTGTCTCTATGGGTATTACATTGCAGCCTAAAAGGCCGTTACCAACCCAAGGACGTGGAATTAAAGCCAAGACTATAATATTAGATCCGCGTTTAATTTTCACATTGATTGTTTTATATCTGCTGTTTTGTACCAAGGTACCAATATCTTTTAATGATCTAAAATTTCGACAATCGATAGAACCAAATTCTATTATCAGGTCTTCAACTTGAATTCCCTGTAAAAATTTCATTGTCAATTTGTATAATCATCCGTGGTTCTTTAAATGATATAACAATTTAAAATATATTTTTCACCGCCATCTCTGCTGGAGAACCTGCAGATACCAGGTTCACTCTCAGGAAAGGTTCGGTTGATGCGCATTCTTGAGTGTAACTTGTACTTGGAGTAGAATAACTTTCCACTTGATTTCCTGCCAGACCATGCACTTTGTGCAAACCCTCTTCTATTTTTCTCATCAAGGCTTTATGATCATTTCTGAGACCTAATCACTTAAAAATGTACTAATAAGTTTAAGTTATTCAAATTTTAACCCAACAAAATTGCGTAATAATTAAACGCACATATTATCTTATGTCTCGTATGTCTGACTTGGTAAACATCAATATCGGTTCGTGGATACCCGTCAGAGTCCACCAGCTGATCATCCATGCCGACATGATTCTGCAATTTTTTATATTATCAAAAATTTTAACGGAATACATTATATGTATGTACATATATTATTGATAGTATGATTAGACATTCTATACAAATCTAAGATATACATATTAATGTACGTACAGAATCTAAAATTTCTTTCAAATCCTTCAAATCTGATTCAATTTTATCTTTATCTTTCATAAGTTGGAGGACATAATCCTTTGCTTCCTGTAACTCCATGTCGACCACCATTTTCGTTTACTTACACCACTGCTTACACTGAAACCTACGTCATTAATCAGGAACGTATATACTACGTAAATAGGCGACTTGTCTCGGAAGTATCAATACAATTACAAAAAATTATAATATAATTATATTTTTAATATTTTTTACAAATTTTATGTTAAGATTTAATGATCGTATACATATGTACATATAATAAATCCTTGCTACCAAATGTTACATATGTTACACATATCTTTACGTAGATATTCACATTTGTAGTTTTAAGAATAAAGCTTTTAAATAACGCGCTTCGTATACAACCGTTTCTTTTCCTTGAGGAGTTACGGAAAGCATATCCTGCATATCAAAAGGCTGCTCTACAACTGTCACCACGTCTCTTCCATAAACTATAAAATAAAAGTTTTAATAATTATATAGTAACTATATTAAAGAAAAAAATATTGTATACCTTCACAGTGTTCCAAGAATTGTATACATTCCTGAAGTGTAGTATCTTTTAAAACTACTAGTTGCTTAGCCAGCTGTTCTAAAAGAGATAGAAAGCATCTTTTCGCATAAAACCAAGTATCTGTTCCTAATTTTTTATTATAAGGTTCCAAACTTTTCATTACTCTGGATATCCCAAATTCATAATTTCCTTTTGAACAATACAACGTTCCAATTACTAAATTTACAATGCACAAGTGAAATAATTTTTTCTCCTGATCTTCTTGCGAAACGGCTTGCTCTTCCTTTTCAATTTTTTTCATCAATCCTTCAGCTTCCGCATTCTGAGAGTTCATAATGTAGCTAACGCATAAATTAGCAAGTACTATAGCGCTTACATCTAAAATCTGAAATTTTAATAATATTTTATAATTAATAACTTGAAACTTATAAAAGTAACTAATAAAAATGAAATAGTAACTAATTAACTAACATTATCATATTTTTTTCGAACAATCGGCTCGTAAAATCCAGTCGCTTCTTTAAATTTATTTTCTTGCATAAAAAGAGTATGAGCTACGTTTAGTTTCCATATATCATGCTCATTGCAGAATTCCACGCTTTTTCTGAAAATCTTTTCCACTTGTATATAATTCCCAAGTTCCCAATAAATTTTAGCTTGTGCCATTAAAACTGGTATGTATCTTTCTAAGGCTTCTTCGTAATCATTTACTGCTTTTTTAACGGCATTATCATCGTGATTTAATCTTGCTTCTTGTACTCTTTTTGTAGCTTTTCGTAATATTTCCATATGTTTATTACCAAGATCGTCAAATTTCCGATAGGCTTCTTCTGGTGAAGTTTGTTGCGTAATTAATGCATCCAAAAAATCATATAAATACTACAAAATAAGCATTAATTGTAATTATTGTCAATTTTTAAATTTAAATGTACATACAATATTGTACATTTTTTTGTATTCTTGTTACTCGTCCCCCTTATTACGTTGCGCTTGCTACAGGCCTGAGTATTTTATTGGTGAGCCTAACCTTTCAATTCGTGCATGATTATTTACTTTATTGTTACTGATTTCCGTATAAGTATTAATATCAGTATAATTTACAAAGAGAAATATTAGTATTCAATTGTATAAAGATGGCAAATTGTAAGCTAAATGAAATATTTCTTGGAGAAATTGCATCGGTACAGAATTACGGAGCTTTTATCAGAATTCCGGGCTGCTCAGCCCAGGGACTGATACATAAATCACAGGTATTAGAACAGCGTATTCATAATAAATTATTCGGTTCTATGTTTTAATATAAATCCTTTATATTTATAAAAACTCATTAGGTAAGCTCTGCTCGTGTCGACGATGTTGCAGAGATTTTGCAAAAAGGAGAACGAGTATGGTGTAAAATTATTTCAATCGGAGATGATGGTAAAATAGGATTGTCAATGAAATACGTGAATCAAGGAAGCGGTACAGATTTAGATCCGAATGGAGTTGAATTACAGAGAGACACGCAAAAGAGAAAAACTATAGAAAAACATGAACGTAAAACCATACATTTAGAAGCTGTCCTTAATACTACGTGCACTAAATGTGGAACTGCTGGTCATTTATCTAAAGACTGCTTTATGTCTCCTGGTGGGAAAAAATATGAATTAATCCCAGAGATTGAAGAAGAACAACAACCTATTGTTCAACCGCAAACTGATGATGTAACTAAAAAAGAGAAAAAGCACAAAGAGAAAAGAAAGAAAAAAAGGAAAGTTAAAAAACTTAAGCAAAATACGGATGATAGCGATTCGGATAGAAAAGAAATTGTTAAAAAGAAAAAGAAAAAGTATTCTAAAGATCAAAAAAGGAAAAGAAAGAAGCATAATAATTCATTTAGCGATGAAAGCTCTAATGAAAGTTTGTCTAGTCATGATGTGAAAGCTCATAAACGAAAGCATTCAGACAATAGTATAGACAAACATTCCAAAAAATCTAAACACTCAAAAAGTAAACACTCCACTGATTGAGAAATTATATGAATTCGGTAGAATTTCTAATAAAGTTTTCTATCGTTTTCATCATTTTATAAACCATCTAAATTTTTGTAGTAGTGAAATCGAAGTCCGTGAGAAATGTATTTTGAGTGTATAATATATTAATACTACGATAATTAAAATCATACTTACCGACGTTAAGTATTTGTAAGTCAAGTGCACATTTTCGGCAAGCACATCTGCAGCTAAATCATAGTATTGATATTTGCAGTACAACAGTAACAAATTAGCAAAAGTTTCAGGTGGAAATGGATTTTGTTGTAATAAAAACATTAGTTTCTCAAATCCTTCGCTTGGCTTTGTATCCATATTTATTAAGGCTTGATTATGCAAAGTAACAGCATCAAGCTCTTCTTCAGATCTGGGAGGCATATCCGTTAATGCTTCTTTTGCTGCTTCAACTAAAAGCAATTAATTAAAACTCAGACACCCGATAGCAACTATCACGATAGCAATTAAAATAAGTGAATAACTGAAATTTATTTTATACAATTACAATTTTGTAGTTGATATTCTATGGCTGCTTTTAAATTGAATGCTTCTGTTAAAGCTGTTTCGTGAAGCGTTAAAGTATTACCAACACTGCGTACTTCTATGCCTTCTGTTGTCATGCCTACTCCTAATTCTGGATGTTCCTTTATCCCTTGTTCAATAATATCAGCTAACATAAAATGTAGGATAAAGATATTATTGAATTAACAAACTGTATCGTCGATATTAGTATATTTACCAATATGTTTCGAGGATGCAGCATATTCTTTTAATTTAAAATAGCAAAGTGCAACATTATATGATAAATGTGGTTTAAAACCTGCAATTTGTAACGCATTAGCAAATTTTTTTAATGCTTGTTCGTATTGTTCTTCCTGAAAAGATCGAATATTAGACCGTTTATAAAGAGTACTTCCAATTTTCATTTTTATACCTTGTATAAAAGACATCCTAAATTAATCTCTGTATCAACATCATCAACTGAGCATTGATCAACAAGATTTTTTGCAGCAACAATATCTTCTTGGCCATATTTTATTGCTGCCTGCAGTTTCTTTACTTTAAATTCCAGGTTGCTTTGATTAACGATACTGGAACATATTGTCCATGCTTCTTGATACATACATGCTTGATGTAAAGATTGACCATGGTATAACTTGTATATACTTTCATCCGGACATAATTGAACTAATTTTTCATAACATTGCGCAGAAGCTATAAAATCTTGAGTATAAAAATAACAGTGAGCAAGTAGAGATAAACAAGGTCTGGACTGTAAAATAATTTATCAAATATGTATAACTTATAAAACTAATTTATCGATAATGTAAAAAATTATTTTAGCATAATCATACATACAGCAGGATAAACATCTAGAAGTGCAATTAACACTTTTATTGTCTCTGTATATCTTTGTTCCTTAATCTGTAATGTACATATCTATTTTGTATGCGTTCAATTAACATTTAAAAGTAATTAAAAAAGTCATTTTCTTGATTTTAAAAATTAGTATCACAGCAAGGAATACCAATGCGTCTGGTAAGACACATTATAATAAGCAATAAACTAAATAGTAAAATAATACAAGTTGGATGTAAATAATCTATACCATTGTATAAATTGTTTTTGTATATTCTCCATCTTTAATGTAAATATTTTGTATGAAAGTACTCATGTTGTAGGCGTTGACACCTTTTTAATTTACAAAATATTGGTGATTATTTATTTCACAAAACTTTTACTATATACTTTACTATCCAATGTGCACAGTATGCATTCAATGTTGTAACAAAGTGCACACACAGTTACCATAGAAACACAGTGACTGTTCCCATATGAAAGAATTCAATTTTGTGCATTTTTAATGCCTATATATAAAATATACATAATACATACATATGTATATAAAACTTAAAACTATAAAAACGTGAACGTCTCGGAAAATGAGCTTTAAATAAATATTACCAAGAACTTCTTTTATTAAACGCTTCAATATAATGAACACATATAATGTTTATCACATTATTTCTCTATTTATAATATAGTATTTAATTATTTTTATTATGCATATTCTTGTATTCGCTTATGTATATATAGTTGGAACTTAAGCATAAAACTGTAACATTGATAGTCTTTTATTTTTTTGTTTTTTAATCATGTTCGACGTAATCTAATTTTTACGTTGAACAATGTACTACATATTTTTCATCGCATCAAACGTTTCTATTTTCGATAAAAAAATATATAGATTTTCACAACTCAAGGCACAAATAATCAAACATTGTTTTCATACATTGCAGAATTGATCATAGTGTTGAAAGAGAGAGAGAGAGTACAAAAAAAATTGACTATAAAGTGGCGCTATCTTAAGGACGGCGAACGGGCAAAATAGTGAATGTATACCTAACTTTTAAATGAATTTTTAAAGAAAGGACTTGAATACAGTGTAATCAAGTGTAATGTGTTGTATTGATGCATGACTACACGCATACGGTACAATGTGTAAGGATCAAACGAGCTAACAGGCATTAAGAATCGGTGTTTTTCTGATCACCATTGCGCCAATAGGTGTTTTGCAGATTCGATAACATACATGTATGTATGTAGCATGTAAACCAAGCGATCATACGTATAAGCACTGCGGAGTTCCGATAGCAGAGTAGTACCGTACGCAGATCGAGTGCGTGTGTGACCTCCCTCATTGGAGAAATGTCGTCGACACTCGTGGCCGCGAAATAAACGACGAAACATGTCCGGACCGACAGTCAGTCGTGCACAGACACCCGGCGGTGATGTTCAGATAGGTGCAACGGTGGGCTGTGTAGTCTGTAATAGAACTGACAAGCTGTTAAGGTGTTCACGGTGCAAGGCCGTCTCCTATTGCACCCAAGAACACCAAAGGCGGGATTGGAAACGTCACAAAGAATTTTGTGCGACTCATTCGGTGCGATCGATCGTACCAGATTCAGTTGCAACGTCTAAGCAAAATTCCGTTCTGGAATTGAGCAAGGATTCCTCCTCCCTCAGGAATTGTCAGTTTTCAAATACACCAGTAGTTTCTAACCTAAACGAGAAACCAGTGTCAGAAACAACGCGGGGATCGGAGGATGCTACTCAAGAAGTTCATTACAATGCGAAACATTCTGGAGGTATGTAAAAGTTTCTTTCTACTTTCTCGAGTTCCTTTTTCTAAATTTTTTTATATTTCAAATTTTACGATTATCAACATTTCACATAAAAATAAACGTTTTGATGAATAGTTTGTTATTTATTTATTATTGGAATCGAATATGTGATACTTTTATCCATTCTTTCATTCTGTATATATTATAGATTAACTATGTCACTGTATTATTTGCAGGAGTAAATAAACAGGCAGAAAAAGTGAGGGAACTGTTGGATTGTAAAGAACGTCAAAATCCTAAGAGGAAATCTAGTGGTATCAAAACAAAAGGTAGCCGTACTAACAGAGTAGACGGATGGACTTCTCCGATAACGTACGAAGGAAGTTCTGAAGACACAATCCTAGGTGCCAGAGCTGAATTATTGAATCCTGTCTTAGAAAGTTCAAGAATCCTTGATAACTTGCAGGACAATGCATTAGACATGCCTACACAACATCACAACGGTATGAAGAACTTCCCAGAGGTTCGTTTCACTCGTGATGAAGAACTTTTACCACCTTTCCTCCACAAAAACAAGTATAATCTTGAAGAGTTAATAGACGAAATATGCAGAAATGTGATTAGAGACATGGATGAATACGGTATGTGTGTGGTAGACAATTTTCTAGGAGCGGAGAAAGGTCTTGCAGTGCTAAACGAAGTTTTAAATATGTATAGTGCTGGATTATTTAAAGATGGACAGTTGGTTTCTAATAAAGCAGGTGCGAACGACTTAAAGACAATTCGTGGTGATCAAATAACATGGTTAGATGGAAAAGAAAAACAATGTCAGAATATTGGGATGCTTATATCCCAAGTGGATGCCATCATTATGAGGGCAAATAAAATGTGTAACAATGGAAAAATGGGCAACTACACGATCAATGGAAGGACAAAGGTGAGCGTGAATATATTTTTTATTAAATAAATAGCAAGATTATTTGAACTTTTTAAATTGATTTGTGCTTTGTACTATCTTCTCAAAGTTTCTTTACATTAATTAAATGAGAAATGTACATTTGTTTTCATTAATAATTAATATCTTAATGTTTATTAATGAAATTACATACATTAGGATTCATATTATGATAAATTGTTATGGATTACTTTTTTTCTGCTTATTGTAAGCATACATCATAGCATGATTCATGTTGTTTTGAAAACATTGAGAGTATTTCATTAAACAAAGTTTTATTTTTTATTTAAAAAAAATTTTTTTTTCCGTTTGATGCTTAATGATAATGCGTAAAATATCGATTATCGAACGCATATTTGACTACTCGTTAATTAAGTTTTGATCAATTTAGACAAGTAAACTTTTTCGAACAAGGCTCGTGATATCGAATATCAGGTATAAAATTAGACCGCTAAATTCGAATTAGCACATCAAATTTTAAATTACATTAATCGAAGGTTCAGTTGCATGTATTCAAAGTATATATAAAATAAAAATCATGTAAACTTTTCATATATGTTGAAAACACTGCCTCTTTCTTCTTTTTAATGTAGTAGTAACCATCGTGTATATGTATAGTAATCCTCGTAGGTGTTAAAAAATATTAATTAGATCGAATCGAATGGTAGTTGAAAAAGTTCTCAGAAATTGTTTACAAATACTCATTAATTGAAATTTTAATTGAAATAACACGAGAAATGGGGAATTGTTGACAAGTAAGCAGGAAACAGGTCTGTCATATTTCCTGGTTTCTCATAAAACGTCGATGATAAATAATATGTGTACGTATAACTGTTCTACATCGGTGAAAAAGAAAGATCGCGCGTTTCTTGCGAGCATCGACGTTTAATCTCGTAGGCGTTCAGAAAATAGTGACGGACGGCGAGGGTGGAGAGGGGCGGGGCGGTGGTGGGCAGAGAAGGTCAGGATCCCGAAATTGCAACGATCTTTCGGGTAGCTTAGCGCGCCAAATGAACGAATCGAAACGAGAGTGGGAACTCGCGAAGTGCAGTCGGTCACGTACGCCTTACGGCTAACTCGCTCCCCGTTATCTCTTTCTCCTTGTCTTTCACCGACTCTCCCTTTCGTCTCGTATGCCAGAAAACAAACGGATCGTAATGCCTTCTTTCCGATTATGCATCTCGTTTCCGTTAAACAAATTTGAAATTGCGCGCGTTTCGTGGAAACGAGACGTCGCGTCGCCTCGCTGAGAAATCTAAAAAAAGAAATATGTATCGCTGGTCACTCGTACCTGACTGACTTGTGTAAGCTGTTGTGTGATTATGTTCAGTTTAAACGTGTACACAGGGTGTTCACAAAGAAGATTATCGGTTAAAATTTACTAGTGTTCTGTGAATATCAATGATACATTTAGTAATGTTTCTTTGCACTTAGGGCAGTGATTCATTCCCATTTATTTCTTCAGAATTGTTAAAACCGAATATCATTAAATTCCATTGAGCTTTCTTTGAAATAATTAAAATTTATATTTCATAAAGAATAGGAAAAAAAAAAAAAGAAAATGTAACCAATAACTGCTCCAAAATGTTGAATTTCCTTATAGTGATTCTTCCAGACAAACAACTGAATGTATATTTTTAAACTGAACATATCCTGCGTTCTGTCGCTGCTCCATTTATAGCCAGAGAGAAAATATTCGCTATAGTTTAAATTCTTTATTCTTTATACTATTAAAAAAAGAAAGCATTAGAAATAAATTGTGATCTATAAGACTCGATCTTTTTTGGTTAAGAATTAATAAGTTGATAAAATAAGTTTTGGTACAGGTGAGAATTGATTTCGTATTAGTCGCGTTCGCGAAACTATACATACAAGGGTAACCTTCGTGAAGGTGAAAGATTTGACGTGGTGCCATATATGTATGTACATATGTATGCATTTGTGTACATGTATAGTTAAGCTTGACGAAGGGAAGGAGAGCGTTTACGCGTGTACCAATCGTCTGAGAATGATGTCATTCGTCTTTCAGGGTATTTACCGATCTCTTGTTGACTTTCCGATCGATTCAGAACACCTTCCTTGTTGTAATTTAAAATTGCGATCCTTGGGTTACGATGTTTCATGGTATTTTTCTGTTGCGAAACCAGTTGCTTATCGTGTCTCCTGTTTTTCTTTTCACCTTGTTCTTAAGTACATGGTACATATGTATACCGAGAATCGGGGGTGGACTTCCTTGGGGAAAATAGTGTTCTAGAGGGAAACAGAGACAATTTTATTTAATATATCTCTTTTTAATTTATACATTTCAGTTAACGATTAAAAATTATATTAATTTTTCTTCTAAATTACTTTCAATATTAATATATTGAAAAATTTTTACTTTCCCTATGTCGTCATTTTTGCTAGAGAAGCCTAAAGTAAAGTTGTACCATAAGAGTGTTGTGTGATCTACAGTTCTATTCAATAATAATTGGAGATTATTCTTAATCTTCCCTCTTGTGTTATCTCGATTCGCGGTATTTTCACAATTCCTTTATTTTATCGTTTTATTATTTTCAAGTATTTACTTCTATAAAATTTGTACAACGTTTGTTCTGTGCAATTTATTGTCAAGTGCAGAAAGAGATTGAAAGAATGCTTTCCCCTGAAAGCTTTCAGATAAACCAGCTAAAAATTGAACTGTACAATGAGTTACGTTTATCTTCTCGAATGAAGATAAAGTGAAATTGCTGGGAAAGGTATACAACACGCACAACTTATGTACTTGAACTTTTATTTTACTTTAATACTCATAATATGATCGTGGTTGAAAAGAAATCGAGAAAATATGATTTACAGTAGACTCCCGTTATATTGTCCCGGAGCAACGCTGCAAGAAACTTTCAATTCGAGGGGAAAGGGGGATAAAATTTTTGTAAGTTACAATGGTGGAAGTGTGGTAGTCTGCGTGAAGGATAAATCGTTCATTGTCAGACGGCAAAATAACGAGATTCTACCGTATTACGCTTATTAAAATTTGTTAAAAATTATTTTATTTTGTCAATTATAAATAGCTTAATTAATTTGATTATTTCGTATACCTCTAAATTTACCCATATAATAAATTTTATAATACTTTTCTTTGCACCTGAAAGTAACAAGCGTTTCACGATACAGAACAATATAACGCGGCTTTCTGCTTTTACTACGTTCAAGATAAATTTAGCGCAAATAATCATGCGGTTTTCCTCGTTTAATGTACGACGTATACATAAGGAAGCGTCCAATAACTGGGTTTGTTCAATCATTTATACGTAAGGTAATCCCCATTACCCTTTATGTATAATCAGTAATTCGGTAAAGTCTCGAGTGTTTTCCCAAGACAACTGCATAAACTATTAAAATAAGCAAAACACAGACACTTGGTCTACCACGTTTATTTTGGGTTTATATATTTTTTTTTAAACAAAACGTCGTTTATCAGAAATTTAATAAATCGTTTTCAAACTCGAACGGTAAATGGAAATTAATATTTTCATTGACTTTGCGAATCTTAAATTCCTCTTCCGTTCTACCTTTAAATACACAGATGCTATGTTATAAATAAATTTGATTAAGAACATACTTTCAGTAACTAATCTACAAGAAATATGAGCTACGTCATTCATAATACATACTGCTTTGGCAGATTTATTTGGAACGATCGATCATTTAATCTTCTGTAATCCTCTCCAGACGTTTTTCTCCTTCATAATTCATGCCTTTGATTAGATGTATAATATACATAAATTTACTGTAAACATTAGTATAGTAGCCATTTGGTCTTACGGGGTTCACAGAATGTCACAAAAATCTTAAAAAATTTATAGATAAATTAAACGAATGAAAAAACTATACACAGATATAGTTCTGATTACGGACTTTCGAACTCATTTTTCATCGTTCCTAATCAGAAACAGAAACATTATCAAGATGTATACCTATTTTGGCAAATTATGTTCCTTATCTGTGAAAAACGTGATAAGTTGCACGTAATATCTACAGTATAAGTTTTTTCTTTTTAAAATTGCAATTTATCCATATCATATCGGTCAATAAATTCAATTATCTAAAAAACAAGGCCACAAGTAGGGGGGGGTGAGAGATTTCAATCATGTTTCCAAGGTGTACATACATATATGGTGAAATCAATCGAAGTCATTGAATTCTATTGTTTTGTAATTTATTCTAGACAAGAATGATGTTTCGCGGTCAATTTGCTTGTGAAAATATGAAAAAAGATAATATTATATTCAACTGATTAGAGGAGAGTCTCTTCTAATGGTTAAAACAAAATGATATGCTTAGCTGGTAATAGTGCTTATCAATTGTCTACTTCAAGGTGATTCGATGGTGCACAATGGTCATTGAAAACTATCTAATGTCAATATTGAATCAATGAAAAGATGTTTCTAGTTTAACTTGATCCAATGCTTTTTATTACAATTAATAAAGATACGATGGCTTTCATTAATATTTCAGGCTTCTTACATACTATATGTATAAACATTACAACAGAAAGAGACCAGAATATTTTTGTAAAGTTTCATTTGCTTTTGGAGATAGTAACCAGACCTCATGAATTTTCTAGCCGATGACGCCCCCCCATTTACGCATACGAATAATCGCGTCCGGTTACCGAAAACAGGGAAAACGATTATTTCGTGGGTTACGTGAGAATATACACGGCAACGGATGTAGTACCAAGGTTAACGTGTTATTTGGGTCAAGGCTGAAAGGCAATCCCTTCTCTTCTTGGTTTGCCGCTGCTATCAGCCCTTTTAGTGCACGTACGCCCATTCAGAGACCTTTGACTGGTCTGTATATGTAGTTTCACTGATACGTCGTATCCGGTTTACATTACCACTTGACAGGCTACCCCGTGTCTAACCGAATGGGAGATGAGCTTTTCTGTAGAATCTTAGAATCTTGGAATTGCAGAATCCAAAAATTTGGAAATATTTCAGTCTTTGGATCTCTGGATCTTTAAAACCTAGAGTTGTTAAATCTGTAAAGTCATCGAGTCTTTCAGCTTTCATCGATACGTCTCAGCTCAGACGATTTAAATGTTGTTAATCCTTGATTGATATTAATTAGATAGTAATAAGCGCCTAAAGCCATCAATACCCCTGTAAAGCCTCGTCACGATAATTAAATTAAAAAGAAAGAAAAATATATCAGCCGTGAAGATGAATCGTTTCATATCCCGTTCCAACGAACACAAATATCTTGTTGTGATTTAATTCTGACTCAGTCGTATTCTAATTATTTCTAGATAATGTTTTAATTGATATTTCGAATATACAAATGTTTGAATTGGGAAGTTGTATATAATATAAGAAGTTGAATGAATAATTACAACTTCGTTGAAATTCCACGTGACAATAGTCATTGAAAGGAGAGGAAAGGAATAGGGAAGTGTAATGCTACATACTACATACTTATGCACTACTACGCGATGCTACTCACGAAAGGGAGCAACGTGCTCCAAGTTTCATTCAGCATAACGTGGTGCACGTAGTCAGGCAGGTACTTACACCTCGCTCAAGTCAGAAATCATAGGTCTGACAATGAGACCACCACCTTCGTCGGTACATTTGATAAAACAGGAAACGCTTAGAATAATTCCTGTGTAGATGTTCCTTTGCATAAAAATTCATTCTTCGATAATTAATAAATCATTTTGATTATTTTCATCAAAGGCAGAAAAAAATGGCCTGACTAGCATTACGATGTTAGGAGAATTATACAGCTAATCAGTGCCGATTAAAAGTATTAAAGTATTACCGTATCGTTATGATTTTTAATGTTCTTGAAAAGGTAGTATCGAAATCTTATCCTATGGTCCGGGTCAATATTCCGCGTGGTCTGGGTGATTGCTCGATAGAGTAGATCTATATTTTTAAGAGTACGGACCGGCAAGGACACTCCAAGTTTTTCCTCGATAAAACGTAACGAAATTCCATTATTTTCCAGGCGATGGTGGCTTGTTATCCTGGTCACGGTTCGCATTACGTGAAACACGTGGACAATCCTAATCGAGATGGACGATGCATCACAGCCATATACTATCTCAACCGAGATTGGGATATCAAGGTAAAGATACACCTATTACGTTCAATCATCTGATTTTAGACGACGAGATACTTTTCTGGATGCTTTCCTAACGCTTTGCGACACAACGATGCGATGATTTCTTGGCAGTGGCGCTAAAATAATTGTACATATTTATACGCTTAAACAAACTTAAATTTTAAGCTTTTTTTATATCTCTTTTCTGTATTTAAAAAACAATTTCAAGTTACATTATTTCCCATTCGCCTGATATACAATTTAACACGGTTCATGGTCGTTTTAACTTTGAAAGAGAACATTTGTAGAAAGGGTAATCGACAACCGGATAGACCTCGAAAGGGCCTACGTGAGTTACTTCATCCAACACGAGCATAGCGTAGTGTTGAGCAATACATATTTACGTTGGCCTACAGGAGAAATAAGGGATGTTTAAACACGTGCTGCCTTCGGGAATATGAGAGCACCGGATGTTGAATGTCTTACGTGATACAACGCGCGTCAGCCACATCCAATCGCACGTACTGTGTAGAGATAGAAAGATGACAAGCGGTACGGCACAGGGACAAAGGGAGCTCTTCGCACGATCACCAACTCTCACTTGCCCTCATTGTCAAACGATGCGATTAGTATGTGATCCATTATGTGAACTGGACTACGACCAATCGTACCTGCATTCCTTCCGTTCGTCATCTTCTCATTTCTGCAGAGTACAGCCCACCGATCACAAGAAGTCTCGTGGAACGGCACCTGTGCCGTAAGAGACATTGACTGACCACCTAGTCTTACACGAGCTTAATTAGTTATTCTCATGGGACTTGGGATCGGTGGACAGTACATATACTTTCCATTTATCAATTTTTGTACACTTTAATTGTACAATACAAATTATTTAAATTATATAGTTTTTATATTATACATACAAATATTTTTATACTATTTCTTTTTATTTATGATAATTTATGGTCGGTTTTTGTGTTTATAGAAAAATGGTGGCCTGTTGAGGATATTTCCAGAAGGCTGGCGTGATCAGGTAGCGAACATCGAGCCGCTTTTCGATAGAATACTCTTCTTCTGGTCCGACAGGAGAAATCCGCACGAAGTACAGCCAGCATACAAAACCAGATATGCAATCACTTTGTGGTACTTCGACGCCGAAGAAAGGAATCAAGCTTGTCGAAGATATCAAAGAGAAAGTGGGTACATATATATATGTGTAAATATATTAGTTGTAGCCAAACAAAAAACAGGAACAAGCTACGTTTGGTATGCAGATATTATATCGGACAAATCTTATTAAACAAACTTTTTTTTCTCAAGATAACGCCTGATTTTCATTCTAATATCATTGTTTCACTTTCATTATGTTTATTAACTTTGTTTCCTAGGAGAACTATACGCGAAGAAGGAAAGTTCGTGAGACATGGAGTTTAAAAGACCGTTACACCATCCGTCGACTGAAAGTGTAACTCTGCTAGCTAAACATACACACCTGTACATAGTTACACGAAGAAAGCGTTGGTACATAAGCTGTTATGTATTATTCTGTATTATGATATAGTCGATTGCAGGTGATACGAACATTTGAGCATAAAAAATGTTAAGAAAGTGCAATAGATGTAAGCGCGTTCTTTTTTTCTTTTTTTTTTACATTGCGGCACTGTAATATATTCGATAAGTGAGTGCACGTAGCTCTTACGGCGATTCACAATTACACATATTATTAATCTGCGTTATTCTAACACTTTAACGCTCACACTCTAATCGAACGTTTGAGAAGTAAAGAAAAAAAAAAAAAATTTAGCATTCGCTTGCCACGGTTGAAAGTTTGTTAGTTTCCAATATTTGGAGCATTAAGAATTCATACATATAGCATTCGTAATTCGTATACGAACGCTAAGGTACATAGTGTACAGTGAAAAAAAAAAATAATAGTATGCGCGCGCGCGGTGCGTGTGTGTGCGTGTGTGTGTATGGGTAAAACAAGAGTGAAAATTTGTGTGAAAGAAATGGAGCGATTTGAATAATAAAAATGATGTTTCTATCGCAAAACTTTGCTAAAAAATTGTCTTAATTATTATATTTCAAATACATTTGTTCCCCTTTGACTTCGGTGTATAGCTGGGGTATTGTTACTGCAGGAGATTGTAACGACTCGCAAATTGTATTGTCATAATTTTATTATCGCATCTCATGTGTTACACGTTGTTCTACGAAGTTATAATCATTGATGTTTGATTGAACGGCCAGTAATTAACTTATGCTTCCAGCGCAGTGAATTGAGAGATATGCCGGGGCCCAGTCTGTACCTGTAATATTGTTGTGTACATTGCGGAAAAAAAATATAGAAACACTGTGTTTAATATTGTATGTATCTATTTATATAAATCGGTAAGAAAACAAAAGTAAGCAAAAAACAAACAAAAAATAAATGCGTACTTCCTGTGTCCCACATAGAAAGTCTGAGATACAACTTCGTTAATCAAATCTGAGAGAGAAGTAAAAAGAGTGTGTTGAGTTCTTTTTTTCTGAGGTGTATTATGTTAAATAATATTACTTATTTGTTCGATAAGACTATCGTTAGTAAGTTATTCAATTTCTCTTTCGCTGTATTATAGGACACGGAGGACCAACAAATTACCCCAGTATCCTCAACGAGTGATTAAGCTATTTTCGATGATCGAACTTAATTTAATATGCTCTTACTTTAGTTGTAAAAAAAAAGGAAAAAAAGAAAGAAAAAAATTGTTGCGGATTAAGTTATGAACTGAACACGCATTTTTTAAGTATTGTAAAACTGATGAAAATTGTGATGTGAAAATAAATATTGTATAAAATTGGCATGTAATTTCTTCGTTTAGGAACGGAAGATTTTATGAATTATATTGTTGAATATCCTTTAAACAGCGCTCGTAATCAAACCTCATTCATATCTTTTGGAATAGCGCAATGTTCGATCAAATCTAGAGCTGGAATGTATACTTTGAAAGAATAATTGTTCTTTGGAAATAAGCCAGGATTGATTATGTGACAATTTGATTGCTTCGTTTCATATGATTCAAATTTGTCAGCAGATACAATCAGATCAGGCGTTGGATATAGTTGCAAAGTATGATCAAGCTTCCAGTATATTGGTACTATTGAAAGACTTAGAGGTGTCAAATGGGATTGGCAAATAATTGATTTGGCATACTGAAATGTTACATTAAAATTAGATAAGCAAATTTTTAGATAATACATACATACATAAATGATACTTACATGATCATAAATGTTGCCTGTATGTGGAAAGTTAAGCGTATTTCTACACATTTTTGTTAAAATATCTTCTCTTATCACTACAATTTCCTTTGTACAATATTGAATTCTACATGGATTAGTAGTAAATATTGCACCAGGAATATTCTTCCTAAAATTTTCAGTTAGACATTTTGGAAGTGGTGATCTCGGTAAGATTTTTGCTGATCCTATATCCTCTGAAGCAGGCACAAAAATAAATTTCGAAGATTCTTTTATACCAGGATACTGCTTTATTATCTCGCTCAAATCTTTGAGTCCTTCTTTTAATTTATCTAAGCTTGTTGTACTTGTTGGAAAGCTTAAAAAATGTCCGCATAATACAAAAGCTATAGGTGGACAATCGGCGTATCCTGCTAACATAGTTTTAAATTTTTGTAAAACAACAACGTCATCTAGCCACATTTCTGATACAAAGACAATCATTCCATCTTTATTGCTGTCTTCGTAATGTTTTAATTTTTCTGAAAACTTTAAAGAAAGTTTGTTGGGACCACCAAATGTGTTGGCATTACCAAAATCAACGCGTGCATTATGAGTTGATTCTGCTGGTGGGAATCCTAATTCTTCCACATATAAAACACCATCTCTGTAATCCCCGCTAGCTATTACCATAGAAGCTTCCACAATTAAACCATCCTGAAAATTGTATCAAAATGTTAAGGAACATAATAGTTAGAAAAATATCATATGCTTAAAGATAATTTCCACATTTATGGTTTTAAAGTTTTCAAAGGATATTGCTCTCCGTAAGTCAATCTTAATGGTTCCTTCTAGGTCTTCCAAATAATACTGACCCTCTGTTAATTGCGTTAAAAGACCCATTACACAAATATTTCCACTTTTACTTTCGCTTAACAAATGTTCAATTGGTACTAATTCAATCCAATCATCCTTTTTCTCACCAAGCTTGGGAGGACTAAATAAATCGTGTCTTAAAGTTCTATACCAAAGTAATTCGTATCTATTTTTGAAAATTTCAGTTTTATATCGTGCTTCTGTATATATGTCTGGTCTAATAGTTTCCAATACAAATTTTCTCTTAGATAAGTCATATTTAATTTTTGGGGCATTAAATAAATCTATGACATTTATCACTGTTTCCGTGGATTTTAATGTATCTGGTCTTACGCATTCTTCTATTGCCAATTTAAGAGTATCAACATTAATGTGTGGATTATCTAAATTTTCAGTTAAAACTTTCTCCACAATCTGTGTGAGCCAACTTATGCGTTCATTTTCTTCTACCTTTAAAAGTTCCTTAGCAAGAGAAATGCTAAGTTTCCTAGATATTAAAGTATTTTATTATTATGAAAATTGAACAATTAAATTTGTACATATAAATACCATACATTTAAAATATAAAAATGTACATACCTTGAAAGGACAAGACCATACAGAGAGAAAGTACTTTGTACTGTTTTTACTAATTTTTCATCGGCCATAGTTATTTAGTGTTTTATGATAAAATATTTACATTACACGTGGTACTTATTTATTTACAATACTTGGTACAATAAAAGATATTGACGTTTATGAAAGACGATATTATGACAAAGATTTCCCGCCTTTTTATTATTGTCACGAAGCGAGAAGCAAGCGATAGAAGGGCATTACATTACATTGATGGTGAAGAGCGTTTTAACTGAAATGTACGAAACAAGCATATTTCTTCCTGTGAGAAACTTTAAATATTTATTTGTATAAATATACACAAATATATTATCTCTGTGGTTCGGAGATTAGAATACGATGACGGTAACGCCTGGCTGTCATAAGAGGCGACTAAAAGGGGGACGAAATGAAGCGTGCGTTCGAACCGTGGCCATGAACAATCACAAGCTTCGTTTTCGAATTGAAAAATGGAATATCAACTTCCAAAGCGCGTATTTCGCTTTTAAACAGCTGACAGCTGAGCAGGTAGTTGTCGGCAGTAATCGGAAGTTGATATTCTATTTTTGAATGGCTTACATCTCAAAAAACGAAGCTGCAAATTGTACCGACGTGCTGCCGCCGCGCTTGTTCATTAATCAGTAACCAATACTCTCGCGGTTCAGCCCGCGTTCTACGGGCGCTATAATTGGACACTGTTTTTCGTTAATAACTTAAAAATGAAACCTTAATCAAGATTTCGGCAAAGGAAAAAGTTGTTCAGAATCAGCTCAACAACCTCCCCTCCAGGGATTCCTCCTTCTGAGACATCCTGTATATATATATGTACATAAATACACACATACATTTGTGCATACCATTCAAAACCTAACAAATGTATACATATAGACTTATATATATTATTTTTATTTTTTAATCTATTTAGTTTTATTGGATTAAAATCTTACTTTTACTCGCTAAATCAAATTCCTAATATCTGGTCTGTATATTGGTATACATATATAAAGTTTCTGTTGCGTACCTACATATGATTCTTAATTTCTTAAAAGATCATTTGACAAGTTGTTAGATAAAAAATATTTACGTATATAATTCTTCTGTTTTCCATATTTCAGTAATTATTAAGAAATCGATTTTAACGTTACAGTAAAAATGACAAAGTATTGCAAAGTAAAATCTGAAATATCTTGCACCGTATAAGGTTTTGTGCAACATGGCACCAATTATAACTGGTTATTTTGTGTTTAAATCTTAAAATTTTATGGTGGTAAATTGACAAGAGTTGTAAATAATTATCAACCTGTTCTAATTTTAGTCAGAACACTGTAATGAAATATTGGCTTTATAAATTCGTGATGGTTTATAATTATCAATTGTAAATCAAGTTTTTTCAAAATGGCAGAAAATCTTTCGAAACGACCTACTAAAGGAATTTTGAAATTATCTAGCAGTTTCGATAATCCGGATCTACCTAGGTAAAAATGATTAAAATTCATTAAATTATCTTATATCAAAATTGTAGTTTAAGTTTCATCATTTTAAGAAGCTGTATAATAAAGAGTAATCTTTAGTTATCAGTTACCACTTAAATAGGATAGGTTTTAAAATTATTTTTGAAGGTTAGGTTAAATAAACTCATTGTTCTTTGATTTTTTAATGTCATTTTTACTTTACTATATTGTATAATCACAAATTAATATCGGTTTATTTGCATAGAAATTATAATTTAAAGAAAAATTATAAGTATTAAACCATTTTTAGAGTACACTAAGTATATATTATTATTGAATTAAAGTTTGTAATGTATTATAATTGTTATTATAGACCAAGTAAAGAAACAAAATGGGATGAGATGAACATAATAGCAACATTGCATCCAGCGGAAAAAGATTATGGTCACATGAAGATTGATGAACCAAAAACCCCATACAACTATGAAGGCCTGCACAATGAATTTGAATTTGATCAATTAGATTCTACTGCTGTTGCTGCTAAGTAAGTGTGTAGGTTAATTCCATTAAACGTACACATTTTATTCTCTGTTACAAATTTCTTTTATAAGTAAATTTAAAAAAAAAATTGTAGTACACTTAAAAAATGCATTGTTAAACATTTAAACAAGAAATTATATATGTAGTTACATGAAACATAATTTTGCAATGAATTTAGTAATTAAACTGTATTACCTTAAGCCTTATAATGATTGTAACATCTTAATAGTTAAAACTGAGTAATATAAAAGATAAACATACATACTTCATATTATATCATTAAATTAATATAATTATTGTTATAATAGATTTTAAGAACTCACAATGTATTTTATGGTGCAGTAATATAATAGTATACATATGTCCAAGTTAAGAAATAAATCAACATTTATTTTGCCCATGCAGTGCCCAAACATTGGGTTTAAAGTATCAGTTTTAATGTAGTATAGCTAAATTTCTGAGGCAATGCTAAAAAACTATAGTACACATGCTATTTTTTATTTCTCTTAAATTCTTCAGTTACTCTAATTTATACTATTTGTTTAGAATTTTATACCAGGATTCGCTTAAATGGCAGCTATCAAATTTAAATTATGCAATTATTTACTACTAAGAAGCAGCATCATTATCATCATCATCATCCATCATCATCATCATCATCATCATCATCATCATTAGGTTCTAACATTGTTACATACATAATGCTGAAGTGTTGATGTTGGAATTGAATGTTAACAATATAATAAATGTGTACAAATGTATGTAGATATTTTATGTTGATTTATTTTATTTATTGGAATAAATCTTCATTGGTAAGTTTTAGAGTTTGTTTGAAATGTACATTTGCTACTTTTGCTTCCTAGAGTCACATACCTTTATTGTTTTCAGTAATTCTGCATACAAAGAACTACTTGTGTGGAAAACTACTCGAGTTCCTCTGCACAATATTATTTAGTTTTCAAGTTCAAAGTAAATGGACCAATTTTTGAAATGGTTCATATTATGTACAAATGTTATACTCAAATAATTTTTATGAAATATATACACCAAGAAATATACAAACGGTTTCAGAAGGTATGTAACATCCTGAAGTTGAGAGTCATATGACTTATAGTTATAATTTTTTAAACGTTATTAATTGTCAAAATTGAATGCACCTGTATTTAAGCGTTTTATGTATTTTCAGCCTCAGGGTACAAATCTAATCTATAAAGTTGAATCAAAGCTGTAAAACGATGATAAGTTAAAAATTAAGTAAAAACAGTAAAAACTTTATACGTGTAATAATAAGTTCATTTAATAAAAGAATAGGTGGAATACAAAAAGACACACTGCCTTATTTTTTTTTTTTTTTTTTTTTTTTTAATTGACATATAAGATTAAAAATAGCAATCAGGCATACAATTTTTACAATAAATAATGGAATATTCGGTTGGTGTAAAGATAATTGTGGTTCTTACGTATCGAATATATGATAAAAATCACAATTATTTTGCATCAACCTAATAAAATTCATAACTGTACGTCATACAAAAAAATGTAGCTTACTTAACTAATCCTATCATAGCTTCTTTGCTGATTTAAGATGTTACACATCTTCCAAAAGACTCTTACATCTGTACCTATTTCAGAAAAATATTCATGTCTACTATGTGTTATTTAAGCACTTAAATGGAGTTGGCATGTATTACAAGAACAGAGAGAAAGATAGTTGAGTAGCTTTGATTAAAGCTTACAGCATTACATTAGTATTTTACAATGTTGAAGAAGCAATAACACATGTACATGTATGTACACGTGTATTTATGAAAAATAGAATTATATTCAGTATTTTGGCACAATTGTTGATAAATTTCTCATACACAAATTCCAAAAATAGATTTATTATAAATTTATTATTTTATTATTAAAAAGAATTATAAAACAAGTTATTATATTGTTAAAAATTGTGAAAATTACTGCACAATATATATATATATATATATGTATAAAGATAATATATGATCTTTAGAAATTTTTAAACAAAACAAGAGAGCTGTTATTTTAATAAAATTATTAAATTACGCACATATTACATTTGATTTTATAATTGAAGTTGTTATAAAATAAATTTCTAATAATTTATCTTTTAACTTTTACAGATTGGCAGGAGGTAGTAAACCAAAAATATTTGAAGAATCAAGCGAAGATGAAGAAGAAAAAGAAACACCTGAGGAAAGAGGTAGGGAATTAGTTATAATGTTTAACCTTAAGTTTTATATTAATGAAATGTCATTCAAATTTAGTCATACTTATAACAATTTGGATATATATGTATATAACTTATTACAATACTTATATTTTAAAATAAAACAATATCTATAATAGGCTGGTAAATTTTTAGTATAAAGAATACTACTACTAGTACTACTACTACTACTATCATTATTATTATTATTACTATTATTAATATTATTATTATTATTATGAAAGATTCAAAGATATTAAAAACAAAATACGCAAAAAATAAATCATCTACAAAAAAGAAAAAATTAATTATTCAATTATTATAATACTAAATAACAAAGGTAATTTCAATTAATTTACGAAATTTTAGAAAAACGAAAAGCATTCGAAGCAAAAAGAAAGAGTCATTATCGAGAATGGCAGGTTGTTCAGATGGCTCGAAAACAATTACTTGAACAAGATGAAGAAGATGAGGATGAGGACCTTGAACAAAATGAAGATAATGAAGAAGATGTAGAAAAAGAAGACGGTGGTTCTTTTCCTTCAGAAGAACAAATCAATTTTGATGTTAGATTCAAATGCATGCCATCCTGTGATACAACAGAACAAAAATGATATGATAACGAACGTTCATTAATAATATTGGTCGCTGAAACTTAGAATTCATTTATTCGACATTTTGAGTTTATGAAACATTTATTCGCCATTATATGACAGTTGATAGATAAAGTAATTCTCTAACTACTCTAACAATAATATCTGTTTTAAATTAGTTAAACGATTAAGTTAATAAATTTTTTTAATTGATCGATTTACCAGTTTTCAAAAATTAACTTATTAAGTAATCAGTATAATTAATTACTCGACGAATTTAGCATAGATATGTAGTCAATTAGGTACATAATTAGTTAATATCATAAATAAATAATTAATAATTAAATAATTATTCAATTTAGTTTTTTATTCTCAGTGCTTCAGCGACTTTATTCATTTGACAATATTATTAAATTCTAAATAGTATTTATTCCTTTTGCTTCTATATGAAAGAAGGTTGCGAAGAAAAAAAACTTTACTGTGTTTTTACATTTAATGGTATCATAATTCCTTATGTATAAAATTCAAAAATGCAACCATATATCTATTTATTTATCATGACAAAATCACAGTATTTTTATAATATTCTTTGATGCTGTAACAAAGAGCTGAATTAATTATTAATTATTTAATCAACATTTAAACAGCAATTGCTAATTGCTGATATTTTGATTCATAAGCTGTTATTATTTATTTCGACATAAATTATTATATTAATTATACATATATTACTTGGTTTTGAAATCCATCCAAAAATTTATAATATTAGCCATGTGTCCATTTATTTAATATTACTTTAATTATTTGCTATGCAGTGCATTATTAGTCTCACAGCGTTTTACTTTGCATATAAGAAATTAATTGTTTAACAGATTGAATGTTTTACCAAATACTGAAAATATATTTATTTTACAGTAAACAGGGTAATCAAAATATTTTATCTATTTTTTCTTAAGCAGCGTTCATTGACAATTTCTTCTTAAAACTGGCTATAATTATTAAAGTAATACATTATTAGGAACGTATTTCTATAGTCGATAAAGTAATTGCATCATGCATGCCCTGGCGAGGTATGATAAGAGAGGAACTGGTAAAACGGGTACAACTATCGTATCGACTGTGTCCTCTATATGCAGACCTCTTGTCGATAATGCAGACTTAATCTTACCCTGGGATGTCCGGGACCCTAAAAAATCATGACTCTGGTAATAAAGGTATGTCCAGTCTTGTTGGATCTGTAGTCACTGTTTGAATTGTATTAAAATTTTCAGAAATAGTAATCGTATTTAGTTAAAGATTTGTGTTGAAAGTGATTATTATGCCAGTTGGACCGAAACTTGAACGACAGTCAATTTGATCAAACTGTAATATTTAACACGGGTCAGTTTTCTCGTAAACGAAGAAAATCGGTTCTGTTATTTAACAGTATTATTATTATTATTAAATTTCATCACAACGGGGGCCGAACAGTCAATTATGTCCGTCTCTCAGATGGAAAGTATCCTTTTTATAAAAATGTATCATATTTTACTTATCTGTGTAGCTTAAAATATAACATGAATCATTTGATATGAGATGTAATCAAATGTCATTACTCATTTTGAAAAATCAAAGTATTTTACTATTACTTTTGAACAAATAAAGGAGAGAATATTTTCTTAAATGAGCTTTTAGAAAATTTATTTAATCTTAAGTTTGCTGTGAAGGAGTTGGAAAGAAATTCGAAAAAATGTGAAAAAGAAGAAAAGGTTGAAAAGGCTAAAGTAAAGAAAGCAATTCAGAAAGGTAATATGGAAGGTGCTCGTATCCATGCAGAAAATGCTATTCGTCAAAAAAATCAAGCACTGAACTACTTGCGTATGAGTGCAAGAGTTGATGCTGTAGCTAGCAGGGTACAGACAGCTTTAACTACACGTAAAGTTACCCAGTCAATGGCCGGAGTAGTAAAAGCTATGGATGCAGCAATGAAATCCATGAATTTAGAAAAAATTTCTGGTAATAGAAACCAAGTCAATATTTTAAATACATTATTATCAATATATAAAATAATATAAGCTTGTTAAGTTTGTCATTATAGCATTTACATAAATCTATCTGTGTTAATGTATTGTAACTTTAATCTCAGGTTTAATGGATAAGTTTGAAAGCCAATTTGAAGACCTAGATGTACAGAGTTCATACATGGAAAATGCTATGTCTCAAACTACAACTACAAATGTCCCACAGAACGATGTTGATAATTTATTACAGCAAGTTGCAGATGAAGCTGGGTAAGTATTTGCCTTAGAATTCTTCTATAATAGTTGCAATAATGAAATTATGTAATTACCATACATGAAACTACCATAGTAATGAATTTAAATTTAATACATAAGATAATATCAATAATACATTTTTTTTCTTATAATTACTTACAGTCTAGAATTGAATATGGAATTACCATCTGGACAATTAAGCACTATAGGTTCATCTACTGTTAGTCAAGAACAGGATGAGCTTACACAACGATTAGCAAGACTTCGCGAATAGTAACATAAAGATAAAAATTATATTATAGGTGCATGATAAAACGATGCTCTATGCTTACCTACTCTAACCAGCACTAACTTGTTAAGAAGAGAAAGAGAAACATTTTTCAAAACGCACTTTGTCTTAAAAACAAATATATTTTTTATTTACTTTTTTCATACAAAACCATCTGAAAAGAACAATTAGTAACGAATAAAGTCTACTATATTAATTTCGTTTAAATACTTCAAATGAACGAATATTTTATTAAGTTAATTAAGTATATTTAGCTATACAAATAAATATATCTATACCGCAGTTCACCAGAGTCCATAACTGCAACGCGCAGGTTGGAAGATGGTGGGGGAACGCAGCGAGCTCTCTGCTAATCGCTTTCCACTTCGTTTGAGAGTATCGCCAATCAGGGCGAAGATGCGTACTGGAGATGCGCGAAGAACGAAAACTGGTCTTTTCGCAGTTATGGACTCTGGTGAACTGCGGTATATATGTTTCATGATAAGTACATGTTATCTAATAAATGTAGATGTTTGTCATTGCAAAATCACATTTTATAGAAATTTTCATACAAACGAGTAGAATTAAGAAATGTGATATTTGGAAAAAGTTAGTTGACAAATTATCTGTTGGTATTTTGAAAGGGATTTGAAACTATATATGTATACATATGTATGTACGTACATTTATTATAACATGTACAATATAAATAGTGAACGTGTTGAAACGTTCTGTAAGGGTTTGCTTGTAAATTATATACAAATGAAATATAACTTTAATACATTCAATAATTTTTCAATTTTAAACGCTTCAAATTTTATTTGTAAACATTGCAAATTTTGTATTACTAAAACATTGTTATGTATGACAAGTAATTGTTTCTACATAATATGGAATACAAAATTAATTATAACATAAATAAAATTATAATTTAACGTAGATAAATGATTTGTCAAAATACAACAGCTTTATCATTTTTTATAATATTCATTTTATACACATATTTTGTCATTTTACACGTGTATATCATATTGTTTGGATAACAGTAATCACATTATTATATTTATAGTTTATGAGTAAAAAAAAAAGTATGTAATTAACTTGTTTTATTTAACTTATAAATCGTTTAGAATAAGTAAATACGTAGTAGGTAATGCATATAAAACTTACTGTTACGTTACTTATGCTATAAGCGTTTAAGTATGATGAAATACTCAAATTGATGAAATTCATATAGTAGGAATGTACGTAGATGATGTAATACTATTTCTAATTAGTGTATCCGAAGCTTGTGGTATAGCAGAATTTTTGCGGAAAGAATGTTTATGAGGGTAAAGATTAAGTGGTGGTAAATTTGGATGTTCAATTCTCGTTGGTGAACTGACACGGGGACGCGATGTTCCTTTCTGCATGCCTGTAATTAAAGTAACATTAAATTCAAATAAATCTCTGGAAGAAACGCGAGAGTCTGATTGGTCGTAAGTGGAATGGATCAGACCGGGAGATTTCGAGCAAGGTATGCGTAGTACATTAATTAAAACAATAATAAGTAATAATACATATATTACCTAGTTCATTTGGATCCAAAGTATCATTAAGCTGACAGTAATCATTTTTTATTAAGGAAGGTTCTTCGTAATCTACAAACGCAGTGTTATCAAATGCTTTGTCGTCCTTCAGCTGATTCTGAATTGGCATAGCAACCGGCGGATCTGCGTAAGTCTGGAAAATCAACAACCTATTTTCAAATATTTAAAATTGTTGCATATTTTAAATGTGCAATTGTAAAAAAATATGTACATCAATTGTTTGTACAGTTGGTTTGTTTTTCTTAAAATTTTTATTCACCTTTATTGTTTCTTTTTTTTTTTTTAATTTCAGGAAACACAGAATAATTCACAAATGATTGCAAAAATGAAAGAGTTAACGAATCCTGTTAACTCCTTTTATTATCGATCTTTAAATTAAATAATAGTAAAATTGTGTACATTGTTAATAAATTAAAACAGCTGTTCTCAACAAGCGATATGTAGTACATTTATCGTTAATGATATTCCTGACGGTACGCATTTACGACAACGTTGAGAACAGCTTAGTTAAGGAATTATTAAATGCATAACCATAATATCATTAAATTGCCTTGAGTTTTACATGTTCAGTTGGTGTGGTTGAACAGGCACGTTTATGGAATTGTCCGCCGCCAATTGTTTCATATGTATGTTCCTCTAAATAGTGTCTTGTAGTACCCCGTGGTGTAAGTGTAGCCCACATAACACGACTATCTTGCATGGCATCGGTCGTGCAAGGATAAAGTACGGCTTCATTTTGAATTCTTCCCATTTTTGTTTGTATGCCGGATGTTACGTTTGGTATGGAAATCACGCTGCTTTTACCGCTTCTATTACTACAAAATAATTTTTCTTTCAATGTTAGAGAACTATTTATACATTTTATCAATTACATCATTTATATTTTATTTAGAAAACGCAACTCTCAGGAATTGCGAGGCTTCTGTATTTCACTAGGGAGAGATTTTTAAAATATCGCGCGCAATGTCGATCAATAAGTGAGCGCGAATGCGTGACTAAACTTGGACACAAGAAGCCTTTGATTTTTATATTCCTACATCTTTTTTATAGCATAACTAAAGAAATATAATCTATACTTACAATTTGCATTTCAAGAGCAACGTTGCTAATATTATGCCTATAAAAATTACACCGACACAAGATGATATTAAAACCAATAACCACGTGTCATCGAACACCGTACCTAAAATTAGAGAATTTAATTATGTATAATCTCTTACAATTAGTTAGAAGCAAGAAATTTAATATGCTACTAACGAAAAAATTCAAATCGCATATTGCGCTTTTGTTTTGTAACTACAAAATACTTGAAACATAATATGTAACATTTCATCCTAAAGTTAAACGTAATATTTTTTAATAGTCTAATTAATGCGCAGAGATTGATATAACATAATTAATTGAATTAGAAGAAACCTTGTTGAGGCATTTCTATGTATTGCACCCCTTCGGAACGCCGATCGCAGAAGTGTTTGCATGGGCTGTTATTAAGATGTGGTAGAAATGATAACAAATCTGCATGTAAGTAGAAATCGGAACCCTGTTGAAGAACAGTTGGAAACGGTGGCGGTGGTATGTGGAGAATGTCAGGCGGTGGTTCCAAGGTACACGATGCACAGTCAGAATTGTTCATTATTAAATCTAAATCCTTCATCTACAATTAAAGTAAAATAAATAAATAATGTATAATCTCATACCTTATTTAAGTTAATGTATTTGTCCATAAAATTTTAAGATAATTTCCAAACAAGTAGGACATAATTTATTTAAAATATATTTTTTAAATATGTTAACACGAAATAAATTATTTATAGCATTATCAGTACATTACACCCGAATATAAATTTAGTACCTAAGCAATTATTATACCACGTACATATGTATGTACGTATACCTTTGGTTTCTTTCTTTAAAAGACACTTTGAGATTTAATATTTTACTTCGTACTATCTTTAATTTAATGAGTTTTAATGAATTAATGAATTTAAAAAATGATGATTTACATCACATTACGTATTTATAAACACATATCACTCAATAATAACAGTAAAAAAAAATAGACTCTCACCGTTAAGCAAGACGTCCCTGTGGAAGTATTATCAGGAGGGTGTCTATTGAGTTGTATGGAAGAGAACAGCGCACGCGTTGTTGTATTGAACGACGCGACGCGACGGCGAAAATTTCGCGAGCTGTATTTATTTGTGTTTATTCGTGCTCAGACTCCTACCGATGGATTTAATTATTATTATATTTAATTGAACAAATGAAATATCTATAAAACAAGTACAACTTACTTTAAGATATTCAGCATAATTGCACGTACAACGAAATATGAATTAATCTTTTTTTCAAATTATAAAATCAATTATTCCTTTTCTTATTTAAACGTGTATAAAATGTATTGGCAGTAACAAATAAAATAAGATTAAATAATGGAATTATTTTTCATACTAATTAAAATATACTTTATTAACACATTCAAGAACAATAGAACATTGCGATAAAAATGATGTATGTACAATTTAAACGGTACAAAGTGGTAAAGTCTATACATATAAGTCATATATATTCATTAAATTAATATCTAGCAACCTTGTTTTAATTATTCCGATGAAAAATATTTTGTTTTTCAATATAAAAGTGTCAAAATAACGTTGAAACAAATGCTATAAAACTTTAAAATTAAATACCCAGCATGCAGCGCAAACCACGTGGTTACCGGTTTGTCCGCCATTACGATGGGAACGTCAAAAAGTTTTTGTTTAGAGAAAATGTAGAGAAACGTATTCATTAATAGTATACGAATAGTATATAAATCTAATCGTATTAAATAAATTACAATTAAAGTTCATTGGTTTGTAATTTATTAAAAGTAGAGTTTTATTTATATAATCTCTGGCATCGATAAAAATTATATATTTACAATTATGGAAATAAACCCATTAAGTATAATTCTTGTAAAAAGCGATAGTAAAGGCGACAGACTTTTGTTCCGATATCCGCATACAACAAAACACACACGAGATTCTAATCAATATACTAAAAAGAGAAATCCATATTCACTCACTATTACAGAAGATCTATTACAGGTTAGTTTTGTTTAGTAGTGTAATACAAATTGTAATTTGTATATATAATTTATGAAAATAATCGAAAAGATTGTTTAATGTTTAATCAATTTTATCAACAGTCTTTACCTTTTCCAACTTCTAATATAAGCAATGGAAACTTAACCGGAGTAAATGATGAAGTATTATCAACTTTATTCGCTGTTAAACCAGAATTATGCGAACAAAAGTTTGAGCTAAAAGTAAATGATGTACGTTTTGTTGGGCATCCAACTTTAGTTCCATCTCATGGATTAAAAGAAGTTAATTCTTCTATGCTTTTCAATATAGTCTTTGCCCTTCAAGCTCAAGCAAGTCATTCTATTGTAAAATGTTATTATGATTTAAGCACAAGGTTTGTTATATATAAATGATATTTAAACAAAACTATCTTGTTTCTTATTATTAGTTTCAAAATAAGACTAAAAAAAATATAAATGGTTGTATATTTCAGACTTGGAATAGCTTTAAGGCACGAAGAAAGGAGGTGTGGATTTTTAACAGAAGAAATTAAAATTATGGTTTCTACTCATGATGAAATTGCTACTAGGTATTTGTATCTATTATTTGTATTCATTCAAGTCATTTATACATTATTCAAATGTTTTACATATATATTTTTTTTTTCTTTTTTTTTAGATCAGAAGGTGAAAGCGATTGTGACGAATCACCGTACGAATTAATATTACAAAGAAGTTCACTTGCACGTGATTTAAAGTCCGTATTTAGTAGTCTTAGTACTTCTGGTATAATTAATATTATGATCAACAAATGGATTCAAGTGCGTTTCTGTCTCCCACAAAAAGTTCATCAATCCCATGAAAAGGGATTCGTCATTAATCCAGAAATAATAGACAGGCTAGTATCGCAAAAAATGATCGTAGTAAACTAAATATTAAATATTAAATTTTATTACAGATGTTTAAATAGTTTAAGACCTTATCATGGTTTATTGTTGCTTATCGAACCGTCAGATTTATTGGATTCGCTTCCAATAGATTCTTCACCGGCTCTTAAACGTTTAATTCAAATGTACAGTCCTTTGAAAAATTTACAAACATTGGCTGCTGATTCTGATTTGACGCTTACACAAGTTTTTCAATTAACTGGTCATTTAGTATATTGGGCCAAAGCTACCATAATTTATCCCCTTTGTGAAAGTAACGTCTACGTTGTTTCTCCAGATGCTATTATTACCAATCAGTTGTTAGAAATATTTTCCGAAGAATTTCCAGGATTCTGCCTTTTACAAGTACATATTAAAACCTTACTTATCGTTACACAATAAGTGTAATGTCACCATCATCTTATTTTTTTAAATCTAATTTATATTACATATGAAACATAATTTTTATCGATTTAGGTTCTTAGTGATTTTTCATTACCGACATCCATAAGTCAAAAATTAAATCCTTTGAATCAATTACAACAACAAACGCAATTAGTGAAAATAATAATATGGTTGTTAAAGAATCATTTACTGTTACAATTACACACGTATGTACAATATATGCCAATGGTGCATGGGAGGGTGTTGGTAAGTGTGAAAGAAATTTTCTAATATTATACATAAATTAAGCATTTACCCGTATCTTGCACACATTGTTCAAAGGATACAAAGGATGAAATGAATCATAATGTAAACGAGATTATACATAGCAGTAACAATGCATGGAATTTAAGTGAAATTTCGAAAGGGAACACCGTAGATATGGCAGAGGAATTAACAATGTCTTTCCGTAAAGAAAACGAAATGTACAATTATCAGTCAGAAGATTATGATATTCCTTCCGATGACAGAAAGTTGCTGGACAGACTCTGTCGTCTCGGTTATTTTAATGGAAACCGCCATTTAGAAGAGATCATGTATTTAGAAAATATTCGTAGGTCACAATTATTGCAAATTTTAGATAAATTTCGAGATGTATTGATTACATGTGAATGCGAAGATCCTGCTATAGCTCTTTTATATAGTCAGTTTAGTTCTTAATTTACCTGTGTAATTATTACTAATTAGAGAAGCTATAAACATATAATAATTAACACTGTTGTAAAAGGTTACAATTTTAACAATTACACGGCTTTCACCTATTTCTCATTGCGAGCGTTGAAAATTTTACCAACAGTTGATTTTTTACTCAACTAAGAACAAAGAAAGGTAAAACAGACCAGAAATTTAGTTCCTCGTGTTTTCTGTAGAGCGCAGTTCATTCGTTTAGTATGCTTGGCAGCGCAATCATTCGCAGCTCGTGTATGTATTTATGTGGTTCAATTGTGGATTAGACCCCTGTGGTTCGGGGGGATTAGAATACGGCCACGGTATCCCCTGCCTGTCGTAAGAGGCGACTAAAAGGGGACACACACACACCCAGACTGAAGCAAAAAATTGTAAAAGTATGGCAAAAAACAGAAGCAAAAGTATGGCAAGTGTATGAAACAATGTAAAATGCAAAAGGGAATGAGATTTGAAAAAAGGCGTGCAAAGCGCGTGTGGTCGGAAATGTTCGTTGGGCAAAAAGGGACAGTAAAAGTCTCCAAAGTACGCCGCCCGGAGGAAACGGGATGTAAAAATGCATCCTTTTTTGCCGAAGTAAATTGTGGATTAGGTATGAAAAATACAAGAAACAGAAGACAAAGTTGAAGAGAAAACCGGAGTCATGACGTCTGACATCATTTTCATATTGTCTTCAGAAATGCGTAAGCTGAAAATTGATACCCTATTTTGTCGATATAGATACGAATTAAAATAACATATTTCTCATTTATTCTGCTTTTATAATGATAATTTATTAAAGACCATTAATATCTTATGTATTTTTCTATCTTCTTTCTTATATTTCGATGCTTTAAAGTGAAAAAAGTAATCTTGACTTTATTTCAATATGGCGTTGATAATTTACAACGAATCTTTTCGTTCTTTTAATGTTAAAGTTTCAAAGCAATTAGAAGTTTCTACCGATGCCTGTGATTGGTCCTTCCATTATGGCGTCCTCCCATTTCGACCAATCAGATTCATCGTTAAAGGGTGCGTTGCGGGGAGTGCGGTGGAGTGCAACAGTCCTCTTCGAAGCTTCGTCCGTTTGGCACGTGTCTGCAACAGGTAAGATTAAATTATCTTCAAATATTAAATTAAATTCCGATCGGGTGTTAACAGTACAAAAAACAGAAAGAAACATCGGAAAGAAGTCTGAATTCTTAATCTTTGACATTAATTTGGCGTTGTTTCCAAAAATACGCGAGTTGAAAATTTTTACTCCCGCCGCGAATGCACAATAAGTGTAGAACAGCAGAATCTAAATTATTTTCTCTTTTATATTGTTAAGTTCCTAAACATTATTAGTACTGTTTTTAGTACTGTTTTACACAATTTGCTGTTTTTAATTTAATAACATCCTTCTTGAGCATCGTAATATTATTCGTGTTTAGACCTATTCGTGTACTTGCTTAGGTATCGGCCGATAGCCGATTACTTTATGATTTGCCGCGTAAATCTCTCATTCGTTTTTCGTATTCTTTATTATCCCGTTTCGAATACCTGCTTCGTGATAAGCAATTATTCGGTCCGTAATAAGCATGCCATTAGTTGAATGCAATAATTGAGGTGACGCTTGAATCATGGGCTGTTTTACCGATGCGCAATTCGGAGTTTGGCCTCGCTATCTATCGGCAAGTAATGGAAACTAGACAACAAAATTTATTGAGTAGTTTCCGCCATTTTTGTATAGATAGTGCTAGTATCGAATTTAAAAATATTTAATTTATGGCGGTCTTTTTAAAGTACAAGTCGAACTGATTTTGACTGATCGAATTTAAGATTATTTTTTCATTGGCAACTTAATTTTGCAATTACAAATTCAAGACCCCTCGGAAATAAAAGCATATTCAGCCTTGTTGGATCTGTAGTCACTGCTGAAGCATAAGACTGTAGAGCCATGTAGAACTAACCTAAATTTACTAAATAAATACAAACCCAAAGAGTGTGCGTGAATTTAAAATCTACTTTGTTGAGATTAATATGTATAATTTATATAATTATAAATATATATATGTGACATATGCGTTTTTAATAGTTTTTATTAAATTTATGGAATTGATTTCCATTAACTGACAAATATTTAATACAACACGTGGATTATATAGCTTCATCTTGCAAGTAAATAAAATTCAGATTATGTGTTTATAATTAATGTGTAAAAGTTACTGTTAAAATGGCACGCGGTAAAAGACCGATACGAGGTGGGAAAAGAAAGTTTGATAGACATGATAATCGACCAAAATCAAAAAGAGGTAAATTTAACCTAAAAAGGAAACCGTACATTCAACAACGTGATACTCAAAACGAAGAAATTGAAAATCGCAGAAAAATACTGGAGGAGAAAAAATTACGACAACGAGAATTAGAAGGTGATAGTTCAGATAATGAGCAAGTAAATCCTATGCAAGATTTGTTATCCACATTTTCAAATACTAATAATCTTCAAGAAACTGCTATTGAATCTGACTCAGAAAGCGATGCTTTTGATAATGAAGCTGACATAGAAGCAAAAAGTGACATTAATAAGGATTCAGTATCACCTTCTGATAATTCAGATGCTGAAGAGAAATTATCAAGGGATGATGAAGAGATTAAGGCAAAGGAGTCTGATGAAGAAGATCCTGAAACTGCTCAAGAGGATGCTGGTTATTTAAAAGATCTATTTTCAATTCATTTTCATGATGATTTAAGTGATAAGCATTATGAAGCAGTTTCTAGTGTTCCTCAGATTATGGAAACACGCAATGTAGCATGGCCAATTCTAGGAAATCTTATATGTCAAATTCCAAAGCCTAAGGAAGTAGAACATGTCATATCCGATAAACCTAAAGTTTCTATTTTAGAAAATAAACAATTTGCAAGGTATGGCATTGTTCCTTCCTTAATTGAAACTGTAGATTGGAATACATTGTACATAAAATCTCAAATTCATGGTAATATTACAAGAGCAAATTATGCAAATATAAAGGATAATGTGAACACTGATCCATCTCCTCTGACTCCCTTGCAGAGGGAGTTATTTTCAGTGATAAATAATTATCAAGACTTGTATTATCCTGAAAAAACATTTTCCAATGCTGATCAAATAAGATTTATATATTGTTTACATGCAGTTAACCACATATTAAAAACCAGAGTAAAAATATTACATCATAATGCAAAAATAACTAAATCAAAGGGTAAGAGTATTGCAGAAATTTCAGAAGAATATAGAGATCAAGGGCTAGTAAGGCCAAAAGTTTTGATAATAGTTCCTTTTAGACATTCCTGTCTAAAAATTGTTGAACTCTTAATATCTATTTTAATTGGAGAAGATAAAGGTGGCTCTGTGATGAATAAAAAGAGATTCATGGAAGACTTTAGTGGCAATGAATTAGCAATGCCAAAAAAGAAGCCAAAACCGGAGGATTATGAATTAACATTTCAAGGAAACATAGATGATACCTTTAAAATTGGAATTTCTGTTACGAAAAGAACATTGAAATTGTATTCCGAATTTTATTCTTCCGACATAATAATTTCATCCCTATTGGGATTAAGGATGTTAATAGGCGCAGAAGGTGAAGCAGAAAGAGATTACGATTTTTTGGCATCCATAGAATTATTAATTCTAGACCAGGCAGAAATATTTTTAATGCAAAACTGGGATCACATGATCCACGTGTTAAATCATTTGCATTTGCAACCAAAAGATTTTCATAAAACAGACTTCTCTAGAGTAAGAAGTTGGTGCGTAAACGGGTGGGCTAAATACTATAGACAAACATTAATATTTTCAAGTATTCACGTGCCTGAAATATATGGAATATTTAATAAGAAATGTTATAATTATGGTGGAAAAGTAAAGGTAATAAATCCTGTTGTTTCTGGATCCATTTGCCAAGTGATTGTACAAGTTCCACAAGTATTTCATAGGTTTGAAGCTTCAAGTCACTCTGAAGCCTTGGAACAGAGAATGGAATTTTTCGTTTCAAAAATACTTCCCCAATACAAAGATAAAATTATGAATCATACATTAATTTTTGTGCCATCTTACTTTGATTTTGTAAAGCTGAGAAATTATCTTAAGAAAGAAGATTATAGCTTTGTACAAATTTGCGAATATACCAAAGATGGAAAAATATCGAGAGCAAGAGATTTGTTCTTTCATAGCGAGGCACAATTTCTTCTCTATTCGGAACGATTTCATTTTTTCCGTAGAATTAGAGTGAAAGGTATAAGGCACATTATATTTTATGCACCACCGGTCATGCCTAAGTTTTATACCGAGATGTGTAACTTTATGCAAGAAGCTAATCAAAATCCGCGAGCAGGTTCCGAAAGTAACATGACTGTGACTATTTTGTATTGTAAATACGACATAATGCAGCTTTCTGCAATAGTAGGTACAGAAAGAGCAAATAAAATGCTTGGATCAGAAAGATCTGTTCACATGCTTATGACTGGGGAATAAAAATATGAAAAAAGAAACTTGTTAATCGTATAAGTATTCACTGTGCATTGTAACATGTGTAAAATGAATAACTATTGGAATCTGTAACACATATAATTGATAACTAGAAATATTATTATACTTGTATATTTCTTCGATCTTTTTATTATACACTTAAAAATTTATTTGAAACAAATACAATTTTGATGATGATGCTTAAACACGATTTCGTTCACCTCAGCTTCGATCGTATAGTCATTCAGTATCAAAATTAAAATCTTATCACGCGTTTTCATTAAGTAATTTATCATTTAGTTGGACGATTATTCGATCTAACAAATTGTATACTCTCAATCTTTAGCATTCGCGCAAAGTTGAAGATCATACATTGGCCCAAGTTAAATCGTTCTCTATATACATATACAAAATAGTTAACAACAATCTTGAATACTCTATAAATGCAAATTCTCTGCAATTGTCCTATTGATGAATCGTTCTTTTCAACAACATCAACTATACTGATACGAATAATACTCTAGGAAATTATGTGTTACTCCCTTTCTTCGATTCAATTTTCTAATCAATTAATTAAGTAACTTTAGCCTGTTTTTCATTAGATATCTCTTTGCTTTCTGTACTCGAGTTAGTCGACAAATCTTCGACTGTCGGAAGCGGTAATATATTGAAAAATGTCCCATTGATCTCTGTTAAAATCGGCGACAGTTCTTTTTCTCGCTGAGTAGTTAGGATTTCCGGTGAATCGGTTTCTTCTTCTCCCACTGTCGTTGATTTTATCGTCATCTTTTCTATTTGCGTTTCTGAAAAAGAGAATAGAAAATCAATGTTAAAATAAACATTTTAGTATGATCGTTCTTCGCTGTTTTCAACGAATCATCGTAAAAAATGATTAGTAACGATGATTGGTAATTTTCTATGTTTACCATTCACGATGGAGGGAGCGATGGAAGGATTTGTCAGTTTTAAACTGGCACAATCCGGCTTCGCTCTCATCTTGACGGACACGTCTTTTGGATCCCATAGGAAAGTGTAGTACAAAGATAGCAAAATAGCTGCCATGCTAACGAATATTACGTAGGCCACCACCGTCAATACCCGTACCAATTTTTGCTGGTGTTTCGGCTCGTACAATTTGTCTTTCCTCTCGTCACCGGCGAAACGAATTTCGTTTCCTGCCGCCTTATGTTCCCGATTACCCAGCGTCCGACTAATGCTCGCCATCACGTTTTGGGCGCTCATTTTTCGCGGCAACTGCATCCTCGGTATATTCCTCTACAACGAGTCACACCTATCACTCGCTCCTCCGATGATTCCGATCCAGCTCTTCCTCTGAACAACGATATTACAACGCCAGCTTTCGTTAAGTAATCAAGAAACTCGTCGCGTTTTCATTATTTTCAACACCAACTGCGAATACGATCGATTTCAAGGAGAATATCGACGGAATCATTGTTCCCTTCCCTTACAATCTCGCCCGTGTTATTTATAACTTAAACGATTGTTTACATTTATGAACGATCTGTAAGCTCTGGGAGTTTATTACTGCAAGCGTAGCGTTGCAGCTCGAACACGTACCTTACTGCCAAACACCACCTTCTCGAATAAGATATTTTTCTCCGTCAAACGGACAACGTTGAAATTTCTCTTACTTTTTCTTCGTTGAAATTCGATGCTTCCTGAATTTTCCTAGTTGAACAATCGAAACTGATTTACCGACAGGCCGTTTCCACAGGTATAGATACCGAAAACCTAACGCGACGAAAATTATTCGCCAAGGATAGGATTATCCAGGGCTCGGAATCGCGCACAGGCTATCCGTTCGATTCGCTCTTTTCACTGTTCTACAACTATTTTAGTCTGTTGACGAATGGATCAACGCTTCTCACCGATACAGCTGCTAAAAAACACACCCATCTAGCTTGTGATACCGGCGAGCTTTTCACTGCGCAAGCCTGAGAACCTTGACTCGGTGCTTCGTTTCGCAAGCTTCAAGGGCTCAGCTTGATTCGACAGGATTCACCGTCAATTAAACGAGTCCTTAAATCGATCTACCTTTATAATTCAAACTTTCTGCCCCCCTCCCCCCAAGAAATCGAAGGATATTCGAAATCCATCCTTTCGGTCCTGTATTCGTTATTCGATTGCATTAAGGAAAATACGGGGACGAAAAGAAAGTAGAAAAACGAGTCTTGTTTCGGGGACCATTACATTTCCATAGAAATAGTGAAATTTAGTGAAGTGCTCCTGGTTGAGTGACAGAGATACGATTAAAAATGTTGCGCAAGTAGTTTACGTAAGTTGGAGCTTCTTCAGCTTAGGAAGCGATGCTCGTACGTGTCATTTTAAACAGGATATGTCATTGTTTCGTAAGGGATCGGTAACGATTTCGATTGGGAACGTTTGACAAAGTCCTACGGAGCTTTTGCTTCGAGCTTGATGATCTACTCGTTTTACAGAGAAGCCGCGCCTTTATTTTAATACCATTAAGACGTCATTCTTCGATCATTTCTCAGGCAAACATGGTTCTATGAAAGTTCCGTGTATCTAAAAAAAGATTTAAATACGTATCTTCTTTTTCTTCTTGTCGCGAGATTTTTCAACCCCCTCCTCTGCCTTCCGATACCCGGAGTCGTAGCGCAATCGTTGAGAAAGTTATCAGGGAAATAATTAAATTGGATAAACATTAAGACAGGTCTATCGCGAAGCCACAACGGTCCTTCGCAGAAATTCAAGAATCTTTGCAATGATGCAACGTCGAAGAAGCCATAACGGATCGGCCTGACCCTGTTTCGTTTATTTCGCGGACAATACGGATAATCGTTCGCGCACCGATCCATCGACTATCTTCTTTCTAAGGTTTTAATCACGACTTTTCAATTACTTCAACTAATGTTCAACTATAGCTACCCCATAGAAATAAAAACATTTCATTACCTTTCAAGTCGGTCGCAACGTTCGCCAATTTTCCCGACGATCCTCTCGATCGTCGACGATATTTCTCTTTCATCGATAAAACCGTATCGAATCCTTCATTCGAGTTTGCAAATTCCTTAACTTTCGACAAACTTTCAGAAGAATTTTCCTTGCCGAAACTTTTCGAACCGACAATTGTGTCTTCCGTCGTGTACAACACTGTTTTGAACACGGATCTGTTTCTGGTACTCGTAAAACGTTCGTTATTCACTTCATCTTCGGAAATAGCGGAAGAATTCAGTGTCAGGAATGTGGCATTATTTTTGAACGTACGATCGATCATTTTTGATAAGTCTGTTTCATTCTTAACGTCCTTCGATCTTGTCCCAAATTCCGTCTTCGTCGAATTCAACCGTCTTTCTTTCCCTGCTAAAACATCGTGAAACTTTGAATCGTTGTTGTTGATCCTGTTTCGCATAAATTCTACCAAAGAGTTTCTCAATAGCGCCAATGATTCGTTCAACGTTCTCCGATGTTTCTTTCCGCTGTAATGATCATCGACGATGCGACCGCCGAACGATTTCCGGGTGCTGTTCGATCCTTTCTGTTCGGTTCCCATCACTGAAAGAAAATCGTTCATCGAGACGTCGTTTGGCAAATTCGGTTCATCGGCGAGTAGAAACTGTATTTCGGGTTCAGACGATAGATGAACCGGTCGCCGTATGAGTTTTGGATTCGGCGGTTCCCATAGGAACAAGTAATAAGCGCTCAAAACTATGGCGACGAAACTTACGGAGAACATGTAAGCCATCACGGTAACTAAACGTATGATTTTCTTCGTCCCTCGATTTTCGTAAAGGTCCGCGTTCGAGTCTTTCTTCGAAGCATCGCCTCCCTGAGGAGAGTCCTGGTTGCCCCCTTCCTTGCTCATCCTGATTTTCAAATCTTTATCTAATAATTATTCGAATCGTCCTAATTTCAATTATTTCGAAATCCTTTCGATCGTTCTCGTCTCTGCTGTCATCTTTCTTCGTATCGTAGTCATCGCCTTTACGAACGATATCTCACCGAAAATTTTCACCCGTCGTGACCATGGACGGAGATTTTAGAGCAGTTTCTTTTTCTATCAATCCGGTTATTTTAATAGAAAAAAATGAATTAGAAGGAAGCGATCGCGAGGAAGTGTTCCGACAGCGAAAGCACCGAAGACTGTACTTCTCAACAAACGCTCGTAGAAAAGCTCGTTCCTTCGCCACGTGTTAGATTCGCGCGCAAGCGTTCTCGTCGAGCTACGCATCGCGTGTGAATACTTTCCCCCCCCCCCCCCCCCCCCCCCCCCCCCCCCCCCGATCTATTAGCCATCAATTATGCTATCTCGAAATAATATTCCGTCTGTCATTTTCAAATCTTCACAGGATTTTCCTCGTCTACTTCCGGTTGCTCGTGCAAGGTACTTTGGCTACATTCAGGGGACGATTTGTTCGCGTTAGCACAGGTGCACATCTCGAGGGAAGTGTTAACAGCGATCGTATTCTTTTCGAATTCTTTCCTCGTGTCGCAGCTCTCCTCTTCTACTTCCTTCCCGATATTCTGAAATTGTTTCGTCAAATTTCTTGATCCCGTCAGGCAGAATAGCGATTTAAATAATTAGCATACTTCCGAATTTGACGGTGAATTCCTGGAAGTCGATTCGACCGGAAACTGCGTGTTCTCCTCGGTCCTGGTACTCGACACGTAAGGTAAATTCGGGACGGACTGTTGATTGTTCAGAATCGTGAATACCTGAGTTAATAAATCGTTCGAACCTTCCGTACACGGGATAGGAATCGAGGTTTGAGCATTTTGCCGAGCGATTAGCGAATTTAGGGCTGGCATCAATGCTGGAGCGTAAAGCAACACCGCCAGTCTGTAACAGAGAATACAAGGCAGGATATATTTGGATATATTTGTAACGTCTTAAATCTTCGTCTACCTTAGTAATTGAATCGTGAATCCGTTAGTGTCTAACATGGGATTCCACGTGGACGGTTGCACCATAGGAGTATAAGCAGTGTGAACGTTACTTCGCGGAGTTGGTACATTCTTATGCGTTTCTTTCCTCTGTTTTTGCACCAACCGAGTAAAATTTCTCGCGGGATCGTTCACGGCACGCGTCCTTTCGTAGCTCAATTTCTTCCATGGATTGTTCCAATGATTACGATTACTTTGATACGTTTGACCTACGTGAGAATTTTCTTTACGGTGCAAATTTGGATTTTCGAAAATCTTCATTCTTTTCAACGTATTTCTCTCTTCGTAACGGATATTCGATGATCGATTCGAGGTAGATTGATACATTTCAGATTTTCGTTCAGGAACATCGTTACTAAACTTCGGCCCCATTATAGGTCGAAATTCAGCCGTGTTTACGGTGCAACCGGCCTGCGTATGATCTTCGTGTTTAACGTCGAAGCCGGTATGGGACGACGTTTCCGGTTCATGTTTCTTGTCGAGCCTTTGGCATACTTCCACCGATGCCTTCACGGCGTCGATGGGTGTGATAAAAACAAGGGATATCGAATTTTATTAGTTACACATTCGATCGGATTTCGAATAATTTTAACTTAACGAGGAACTTACTTTATCGCAAATAAGATTCAAGCGATTAACAGAATCTTCTTTTATTGGGTAAACGTCATTCTGCGGATTCTAGGAGAACGTATCAAACAAACAAGATTAAAAGTTTGACCATCGTTTAGTTGCGAGCTCTAAATCAATATGCTCCAACATCCCTTCAGCGTCGAAACTCGTTAAACCACGTTCAATTACCTGGGAGAAGCTTTTGTTTTTTGTCCAATCTATATCGCCGAAAGTTTTACCGTTGCTATCTTTATTTTTCTTCGTAGAATGATTTTTTCTTCTAAACGAAACGTTCGTCTTTTCTTCATTCTTTTTACACTGATTTCCCAAAGGAGATCCGGATAAATACTTGTTCACGAGAGAAAATTTTTCCCAATCTATGTCTGTTTGGGACTATATTGAAAATCATACGTACATGTGTTATTTACAGTAAAGAGTAAATAACGAGTTTTTATTAAAGTACCATTTGATGTATGACTTTGGTATTTCGCGGTATTGTATGTATTAACATCTTGGTCCTGGTCAATTCCTTTTCCATGGCTATGTATCTTTCTTCCATTTGTCTTATATATTCCAATAAATGACGGTTACTTGAATTTCTGTAGTTATTATAGTATCATTTAATAATTTAGAAAAAGAATCTGTTTAGTTTATTTATTTTCTCGTACTAACGTTCGAAGACACATTTCATTTGGTTGAACGCGATCTGCATCCTCGAGGAGGATGAAATTTAAGTCAAGAGTCAGTCCATCGTTTCTTAAAGAAGGAATTGCTAATTCTGTGAACGGTGTTTCGTGCCTTTGGTTCTCTAAAAATTGCCGAAGGAGTTCGTTCCGTCTTCTTTGCTGTTGTTGATTCGCCATCGAGTCCAAAAAGATTTGTCGTCCGAACATACTTGGTAATTTTGTGCGAGTAAAATCACGGAGAATTTTGAGAGGTTTCAGTTACGATTAAAAAATATTGTATACAAGTTTTAATTTAGGTTGTGTTATTCATCGTTTGTTTTTTCGGACCTTCAGAATCGAAAAAAGCGCGAAGCAGTTCTATTTTCGATATGCGAATATCGATTATAGATCGATTCCTCTTTGATCATCGATACAATTCGAAATCAATATCTGATCTTTTATTCGTAGAATAGAAATCATTTTCAAGTGGTGTCGATAAATTTGAGTGTTCAAACAAGAATGTACAGGAGATTTATAAAGGTAAAGTTGTTTGTAAAGATTTATTCCGCGCTTTTAAAATAAAGTTGGACGCTTCCTGTGTATATTTGTTCAGCATCGACTGATTAATGTCAGCGCGCGTACAGAAATTTGATATTCTTGGATCATTAGGTAGTGTTCTATCGCTTTTCCTTTTTCCAAAATTTCCTTTTTTTTAATGGTATATACATATATTTATTTTTCTTCTATTTTTATATTATAAATTATAGGTTATTCGTTAAACAAATCCAAATTTTTTTCGCACGATTCAAAAATAAATGTGTAATCCAATAATGATGCAATTGTTTTATGGAATCTATCGAAAATCATAATTGATTAATTTGTTTAAAATTTAGTCATTGAAATTTTGTGGTTAATTTTTGTCGTCTTCTGGTAGACATTTTGATCTTACATCGCATGTTATGGTTATGAGTATTTAATTCTACGGAAATTGAATAGTATCTTCAGAATCTTTGCAATTGTTGATACATGCTATGTATCATTTAATGGATTGAGGAATCTCGTTATGTTCTTCTGGAAACATTATTGTATTTGTTATTAATAAACACAAATAAGCATGCTGATTTAACTTTGGTTATGAATGAAAGTATAACTTTCTCATTCTGTCTCTTAGTCTTTTCATTCTGAAATGGTCAGTCTTGCCAGATATTTAAATACGTCGGGTAGTGTAAGTATAATATATACAAACATTGTCATTCAATTCATTATTAGTCTTGTGGAATTATTGTTAGATGAATGTAATATAAACATAACCTCATTTCTTTTTTGGTTTTTAATATACATCTTTTGAACTCGAATCTTGTTAACATTGTAATTATGCTTAACATAATGAACATTGTTTAAACAAAGCAATAGATTCTGATTATATAATTAATAGGCAGCTGGAATGTTTGATGCATCTTTAAATATGGATGTCGATGAATTTTTTCAACCTGTATTATCTTCTCTGGAAGAACATCATTTTAAAAAACTAGATACAGTACCAATTGCATCTGTTCCTGTTGTTGTTGGTGTAAGTTAGTTTTTTTTTGAAAACTTCTGCGAATCAATCATAAATTGTTGATTTAAATATGATGGGATTTATTTCACATTTTAGATGTCTTTAGAGATTATAGGAATCATATTTATGTCGGTATGGCCTGAGGAAAAAAGCAAATGCGACACTTACTTTATATATCTGTATCTTCATTGCGCTTATTGGTTGCTAGTTATGTTGTGCGATCATTTGCTAAGGGCAAAGCATCATTACTTACGTATTTATGGATATCTTGAATTTTATCAATCAACCTACCAACAAATAAGGGTACCTCTTTTCATAGTATCGTTATGGACAACTTGTTATTTGTTACTAGCAGTGATTCTTCATCACACCCATAAAAGTAATTACGAAGAATTCTGTCGTGCATCAGAGTGGTTTACTCCTCTGAATTATATAGCAGTTTTAACTACATTGGAGCTTGCATTAATTGTACCTGTCTATATAAATTATATCAGTAAGTACATAAAATGATATCAAAGCATAATCTGCAAGGTTTCATACATATAAATGTCTGCAATTTTGTAGGAAAAGTTCAGAGATTCAATTGGAGGCATCCACCACCCGATGTTACTCGGGAGGAATGGTTGTCTTCTTTTACCCAAGAAACGTATTCAGGTAATAGTGAAGTTAGTTTGCATCCAGAGAGATCGAATTTGGAGGAACTGCTCGAAAAACAAGCAGATTTGATTAGATATTTGAGAGATCACAATGTTAAATTAAGTCAGAGAATGATGTTAGTGGCAGCTCGGGAGAGATTGACCGAGTCGTGTCAGGGCCAACCTTAAGTTGGCTACGTGCAGTAAGACGAGATAACATTGAATGCTAATTATTTTATTATATTCGACTATACTGGTTGTTTTAATATTTCACATAGATTGTATTTACTAATAAGAAGAGAACATTTTTTTCACATCTAAGCTTTAGAGTGTAGCACTAAAAAACATCTGTCTTCATCTTATTCAGTCGTTTGCAGTACATATTCTGTTATGATATTTATATCGTTTCTAATTCCATGCAGGACCGGTACCAATATTACACTAGTAATATGTATTTAAAACTTTCCTGTTATGAGTTTTGCATAGGAATTTGATAAAAAGATAAAAAGAGATTTAAAAATAGTGTAAGTTACTATATTGTATAATTTTATTATTATTCAATATCGAAACGTTGCTTTTTCTTTTTAAATAAACTGCTTTCTAATTGATACGGTTTTGAATAAAAGAAAAAAAAAAGAAAAAAAAATGAAAAGACATTGTATTATACAAAAATGAAAAATTCATTTCTGTGATGCCAATTCAATAAAGTATATATTTTTTTCAATATACAGTATTTATAACTTTAATTAGAACTAAATACAATTTACAATACTTATCTTCTAATTTTACATAACATACTTGTTTGTATCGTATGATGTAGTTATAATTAGCACATCAGTGACCTTCCTCAAAACATAACAACATTTATTTATTTTTTAATATTGTGCTACAAACATCTTTAATGTAGTTCTTTCAAATAAGTCTAAAGTCTTCGTTATCGTTACATAATTTTCCATTGTCGAAATTGAAAAAATATACTTTAAAATATATCATTGACAAGATAATCATCAGGATCGTGTTTTTCTATCTTATTCATTGTCGACAACACAGTATTGAAGAACATTTCGATAGCAATCAGATGGAACAACTTTCGTTCTTTTAACGTTTGTAAATATTACCGTTGTAACACAAGTTTATTCATATATTTTTATACATATATGTATAATATATGTGTATCTCTATAAATGCCTAACAGTGTCTATCCTTTTAAGTGGATGCAAACCTGACGCAATATTCACACGGAGATACAAGCAAATGTTGTACTCTTTAATTCATTGGTCCATATTCAAAGTGAACCATTTTTTTTTTTTTCTCTCTCTATAGTTTATAAAATATAACAAAGTAAAGAGTGTTCTACTCTGTTGATTTATATTATTGCATATCCTAACGTTATAGAAAGCATCTCGTGGACGAGCAACACCTTAGTTGGATGATGCATCTTGTTAGAAAGGAAATCTATTTACAGAAAGTTTGCGTGTAATACGGCCAGGCTTGAAATCCTATGCTATCGTACGCACGTTTACGGTAATATAAAACTAGCTTACAATATTTTATGGAACACTCAAATATACAATGCTATAAAACGTTAGAAGCTTGTACTTCGTTAAAATTCACTACAATTACATAGTTACAATGACGACGTTTCGTTTGGAAATGACGATGATGTATTCTATCCGCTTATTAAGTGTTAGCGTGTCGAAGACGGTGCTCGGACCCAAAAGCTTTACACTATTCTGGTTTAGCACAAAGTTTCTCAAAAGTTTGTACTACGCTTAGGCCAGCCACTTTTATCTTTGCTGTATATTTACATCGGGTACATTTGTTATTCTCTTGATTTATTAAGCATTCACGAATGTACACCGACTGTTTTTCGTTATTGTCGTAACTAGAAGTGTTTCAGACTTTACGATAAACCTAGAAACCGAATTGCCCTCCCGAAAATCGACTAATCTCTGAATGTTACGCGAGATCTTTCTTCTTCTTTTTTTCTCCTAAATTAATGAGCTATTTAGTCGAGACTCGTGTAATAGTTTTTATTTTTACCCGCGTACTCGTTTCCCGCGAACACCAGATTCTAAAAACGATGAGAAGCAGGAACGCAGCTTCGCTTCGAGATCTAGAGGAAGCGTAAAAATATTCGTTTTCCGTTTACCTAACCACCCTTTTATTCTTCAAATTTAACGAAAACTCTCTAAATTGCTTCGTTCCACCTCGAATTTCTACGTTTTCTCGGAGGAACGATAGCGAAACTTACAGTTTACAGAAATCAAGAAGTTCGCGACGGAAATACAGACGACTTTGAAGAAGAAAAAGAAAAAAAATGAAAAGAAAAAGGAAAAATAATAAACTTCACATCTTTCTCGAACATTGTTCATCGTCTGAAAAACATTTTTCATAAATTCTTCCATCGCGCTTAAAGAATCGGTGGTCCCAATTCCACGATCATTCTCTGCCTGATTAAGGACGGAATCATGCGTGTGTGGCACCGACCACGTTTCCGCTCGCCGACAGCTGTTCCTCGGCTTCCATCATTTTCAACTTCCTCACGACTTGAGCGTGTTCCTCGAGTAACCTGGCAAATTCGCCTCTCCTCGTTTCCGCTTCCACTTGCATCTGTTTGATTTTCTCTCTCGGCCCGCCCGGGCTATCCAGCGGCGTTTGGGACGAGGAATTTTGGGAACTGCTCACGTTCGATAAACCGTCCAGATCGGAATTTTCGCTGGACATCGAGTGCGAGTCGACGTCGTCCACGATTAAACTGTAAATTGAAAGAAAAAAAAAAATGGAACTGAATATTTTTATTTTGATTTCGCCCTCGTAAGGTGTCGGGGAGAAAAGCGTAGGTGTAGAATTCAGGATTCGAGTGATTTTCGTAGCCAGTCTGAACTATCGACGTTCTGCCCTGCAGCATTGTAATGGCAACAATTGTCGCTTGCGTCAATGTTACGTCATTGGTAGTGAAGCACGTAGTCTAGCCTATGGATAACGAATTGATTTTACGTAAAATATTACGAATATAAAACGAGAGTTTATTTATTTATTTATTTATTCGTTTAATATTTGACAATTGTTCGCGTACGAATGTTTAAACGATAAACATTGGCCCGCATAGAAAAGCAAAAGAAGGGTCAAGTTTTTGGTCAACTTTATCGAACGAGACGAGTTGCGGGAATTTGAGAAAAAGAAGTTTTGAGTAGACGAGAAGGCGGATGCAAAAGAGTGTTCTCGTTTGCGTCACGAGATCTATAACCATCATCGTTTTGAACACCACCGGCTATAGCGGCCTCGACAGAGATATGAAAATATTTGTACTTTGTGAATTATAATCTGCGAACGGTGTAAACTAGAAGCCGGAAAAGAGACGTATCGGATGATTTCTGGAATGCTATTGCATGTCTGTGCGTTCGACCTTACCGGTAAACATATTGCCGAGACCTTCGTAGATAGAACGGATGCATTATTTGTGCACCAAACCGGATTGATAGCGCATCAAGATGATCATATAATCCAACGATATCGGCTACTACCCACGCTAACTTTTCCGACGAAACGATTACGGAAAGGTCGTATTGGAAATTCACTCCCACGAAAATTCTGGAAATAACGGACTTCGAAACGTATTACTTGAGAGAGAAACTTCTCCAACGAATATGCTCGAATTTATTTCTTTTAGAGCGGCGCGATCGAAAAATATTTAGCACCCTAGCTTTTTCCATTACGTTATCGCAGGAGATTAATTAAAACCGTACAACTTTCGAGTCACCCGGTGTCTCGCTTATCGTTTTAAATTGATTAAAATCAATTCGAAATCGATTTCAATATCGCAACAAAAGGAAGCGGTATCGTAGTTTTTGCAAATTACTTAATATTCTAACAACATAGCTTTAACCCTTTCGCTATTTTCAGCGCCTAAGATGTGCAATCAGCGTTACGATTCTCTTATCAATTACCTGAATGCGCCATAAATTTCCCTTCCCGATGCCATCGTCACTGCGATATCAGGCAACGACCCTGGAAGAAAAAAAAAGAAAAAGAATGTAAATTAATTCCAACGAAAATGTCTTTCGTACGTTCGGTTTCCACGAATCGAACCCGTGGCCGCGTAAAGAGATTTATCATACGTTAGTTTCACGGATAAACACAATACCCAATGACGTTGAAGAATTTTTAAGAAATCATACGGCTTCTTTTCTCGACGGACATCCGTCGATACTCTGTTATTGAATATCGTTTAATTTCAACGTTGCTTTACCGAGCGTAAAAGCATCGTTCGCGAGGCAATAAGATGCCTTGTTTGTGGCAGATAGTCAAGAGTTAGCGGATGATTTACGAGCTTTTCGGCAATTCCGTCCGAGATTATTACACCGACCGATTGTCAAAAGCAGACGCAATCTGTATTGCGGCTCTATAGAACGGCCACGCGTCCCTGCCGAGGACACGATGCGTGAAAGAAGCCTCATTTATTTCCATACAACGAGCTTTTGTAACAAGGGAGTTATCCTTCTCCGCGATTAATATCTTGTACGATGTTTCATTTGCCTGGCCGTTATACCGTTTCGTTTCTACGTTCCCCTTGTAATATTACGAAGGTAGTTACAGACCGTTCCCAAATACAAATTACGAAGAAATTTCGTTTTAAAGTTATGAGAAATTTAACGGTATGCCGAAACGGTACGAGAATAGATCGACGATGTTTATCTAATCTGTTGTGTTTGCTATTTCAACCGATGATCAACATAACTTGTATTTATATCGAATACTTGATTCGATGTTTAAACGATGTCAATGTCACGGTATCGATAACGATCGTTATTTTGTAACGAAGAATTTTCCAAATTATGTAACTTTCTTATCTTACTTTCAGTCGTAAAACACACCTCGACGAAGATTTGATCGTTTAATTCGCGAATAACCTGAAAATACTTTAATTAAAACTTATCGATAGCTTTGTCATTGACTCGCGTGCACTTTCCACTGATTTTTCTCTTATGAATTGCATCGCGTCGAGTTCGTTTAATGAGGATCGATTGGCGAGCGGCCATTGTAACGGGTCATTGATCATGAAGGAAAGGATGCCCGTGAAAAACGTTTTCAATAAAAGTAACCTTCGTCGTAACAATTCGACAGGAATTTAAACAACGTATAGGAAGTTTCGACCCTCGTTCTATGAAATTTCCTGTCTACGTGTCGGTGCACGTGGGTGGACCCTTTTACATTAGAAAGAAAAGCGAGACGAAAGTATTTTCAACTTCGTGCGTATCAGGGAACGGGTTGAAAAGTTTCGTTAGATTTAAACGACGAAGATTCCACAGGGGAGATGCAATTATTTTTGGTATCATGATTCGCAATAGATCGAAATTATCGAGACGTGTACCGGTGATCTGCCAGAATGATCGATTGATATATTGGTAAACGTGTCTTGATCCGTCTAAAATAGAACCATGTACGCAAATCCGACTCGATCGGAACCTTGGCCCCATGGAGCAAAACTCTTACGTCTGTTTAGTTAATAAAATGGTTAATTAAGAGAGCATCGCGTGGACTAGAGTATCCGTTAGCTCGAGCATCGAGAATCTTAACAAGCGATCACCTTGGAATCGAATTTGACCGACGATGCTGTTACACACTGTGTTAATCGCGATAAGAATGATCGTTTTTCAATACGCTTTTCGGAGAATATCTAAATTGTATAGAATAATAGAGAAAGAGAAGGTTCTTAATTCTTTATTCTGTTCCAGGGAGGGAATCATCGACCTTCGTCGGCGCGGATCGAGGAGCCTAGCCGGAGCGACGAGTGGTTCGCGACCTTAGACAATGCGACCTGAACACGAAACATCCGCGAACCGTGACCACTTCTGCCAGCGAAACCGAGGGCAACAAAGAAGGTAAGAATCTCGTTGACAGAGATGAAACTATATTATTACACCGGATAAGCGAGCGCCGGCCGTACTGTTTAAGAACCAGTTGCAACCTTTCTACCCTGACATTCCTCTCTCGATTTCAAGCTGAAGCGTTTTCATAACGGTTACCCCTTTACCCTCGCTCTCAGCCCGTCTAATTGCACCCGTTAAACGCGTCGGAAGTCGAAGAGTTCGTCTTCGTTGAATTCCTAAGTGGATACGGACAGATTTTGGTCAGCCGCGTAACACCCTTACGACTTTTTCGTTTAAACGAAAAGTAAATATAAATTAATTTCGAAAGAACTTACGCGACGGGTAAGAAGGTATTAACGCGTTAACTGCTTACCTCTGACCATCTGTGCTCGGGAGAGTTTCTGCCGTATCAGCAAATCGATTCTTTTTCGATCGAATGCACCTCTCGAAACGACGACTCGATTATCCTTGCGTCTGTTGATCGGAAACGATGCAACGAGGGGGGGGAGGAAAAAAAGGGCAGTCACGAAAATGCTTGCTCGACTTTGCGAAAGCGAGAGGAGAGGCGAAAAGAGAGGTAGGGAGAAGTTAAACAGACTGAGAGGATAGAACGACGGCGACGACGACGTTCACCGCTCGACGGAATCGCGCAGACTGATCAGCTCGGCCTCTATTGCCGCGCTACAACCTCAACTGCAGGTTACCGCTCCTCCACCGGAGAAGGGGGATGCAACCGACAAATTTTATTTCGTACCACCGCCCCCTCCATCTTCTTCTACCATTGCCTCCTACTAGCGATGGGATTGATACGATAGACATCGATGATACTCGAACAATTCGATACGTAAATACTCCGCCTCGAAAATTTCATTGAAAACTGTCTATATCGATAGGAATGGAACAGTTCGAAAGTTAGGAATTTTGGAAACATTTGAACATTTTATTTGATTTTTATTGGTATCCGAATTTTCATATAAACTAGGATTGGTTGGGTTAAGTTAAGTTAGATTATAGTTGGTTAAATTCAAAAATTCGTAACTTTTGAACCGTTCGTGTCCTGTCCGAAATTTCAACTCGATTTTCTATCGCAAGTAACAATACTCGGAAATCTTCCTCAATAAACTAGTCGCTTCTTTTTTTGACGTACAGAGCTGAGACTTGCCAACGAGTAACTTGTTGAAGAATATAGTAACATAGATAGGGTACCTTCTGCCAACACTTGAAATTCTTTATTAACAAATTCGAAAGCTAAGGTAGCGTTGCTTCTCTAAACTTTAACCGAAAGGTTCGATCAACTCCTCTACTTCTTTGCTAAGATTTGAAAACGTTCAACGCGTTTCTTGAACTCGTTCAGGGATCGCAATTATTCGTGATAACTCGTGTTTGCTAGGAATGCGAATGAACGTGTTCAAATATAACTTCTTTCCATCCTTTTCGTCAATTGTTCGATTACGTTAGCCTCGGGTCACCCGTAATCGCCACGTGTTTAATCGAGAGATTATTTTTACTAGGAAAGAACCGCGTTGTTACACGGCTCACGTGTTCGATTGCCAGATGATCGATAAATTTCTCTTTCGATCCGGTGGAAATTTCTCGTCTGGCGGGGGTTTTCGACGATGGGTACCGATGCAGAGGAAACTATGTCGAATTTCAGGGTCATCGACGAAACGAAAACCATACAGCACCTCGGGGAGTCTGATGGTAAATTATTTCGGTTGGTCGCTAATTTTGTCACGGTATGCCGTGACTCGCGCACGCAGAAAAGGAACGAGATGGGATATAACGAAGCAACTTCACCGTTCGCTGCGTCTTTCCACGGTTATCTTCATCGTTCCCTTTCTTTCTTCATCCTCCTCCTTTTTCTGCCTCTTTGTCCCTGCCTGCTTCGGCAGCATTTGCTCTCGTCGATTGGCTCCCTATTTTCGCTCGTTAAAGTCAATGTTCAGTGTAGCACAGCAACCAGTCAGGGTCAACATCTCCCTCGAGGCTGGGAAAAGCGTGCTATGTCAACGAGACGTAAACAACCCCTGAAAAAGGATGGAAACTATTTCTATTAGATCATTCTGGTAACTAGACCAAGAATATTTATGAATTTATTTCTAAGTCGAAATTTGCTAGCAGTGACGTTCAGATCTTGAGAAGTTAAGAAACGCGATGTGCGTCAGTAATAATGATCGTCAGATAAATGCTGTATTGTAGTCCAATCAGATGACGAATCGAGAAGAAGCCGTAAAGTCCTGTCTTCTTAGAAGATGAAAATTGTTTCCCTGATAACAATTTGCGTCAATACAGATATTGTATCTTATCGGGCACTTCTATTTTCGCGTAGATCGTAATCTCTGATTAACGTAAAAAAAAGAGGAGAGAAAAGTTATCATTGACGCTTGATGATCGATGATCATCAGACTCCTAAACGAATCTCTTCTCGGTAAGGACGATTTTTCTTTAGTAGAATTCATGAAAAATGATCGTTTCGTTTATTGAATTTGGCTAACACTCGATGGGGCGTATCAACGAAAAGGTACCGAGATGCAGGACCTTGGAAACCGAACCTGACTCAACGCAGACGTTTGATATCGAGGTTAAACGTTCCTCTTCACTCGTGGCAGAAGAGAGAGAGAGAAAAAAAAGAACATTCCGTTTCTGTTAACATAAAAAAATCGCGAGGGCGCGAAGAGATTCCATGCATACCGAAACGAGTTAATAAATTCGAATTTCCTGGTATCCTGGCTTCGCGTTCATCGATTTTATAAGACTTCTCCCCTTTCGCAACCCCTCGAATTGACGCGATCGAAGTATCATTTTGTAACACTTTTTACGAATTATCGAATCGCGTTCGGAGCTTTTTTGTGTTTCTTGAACTTTGAAATATTTGTAGCAGCGTTGAGAGAATTGGTAGATATCCAACAGTCTACCGTGCGTCAACTTGATACAAGAGCGTTGCAGCACAATATAAATGGAAATTTTTCTACCGTGAATCGCGATAATATTTATTCGTTTACTTGGTGTAGAGAGCGAATGCAGAGCAAATATTTGTTACGTTCGTCAACGTGGCCGAGGGAGACCGAAACCGTACGTACGTTTCGAAACTTAAACAACCGTTTAAGCGTCTAAGGTAAATATTTTCTAGCAAAGAATAAGAACGTATGAAAATCTTTTCCGGCAGATTGGAACGTCCGGCCTGTGCCACGACGTACGGTTGAAAGTCTATAAGCCGCCGAAGAGTATTTTTGTCCGTGGATATTATCGATTGCATATACCCCTGATTCCTTCTCTCTTCTGCCCATTTTCCCTTTCTTCCTTTCTTTCTTTCTTTCTTTCTTTCTTTCTTTCCCTTCTTTCTCTTCCTTCCACGCGCACACACATGCTCGAAACACATATATTCTACCCTTTATTTTCTTTTTCTTTTTCTTTTTCTTTTTCCTCCTATATACGGGGCTGTTACGATCTAAAATTGATAGGCGAAGTAGTACGAGTCGAGTTTAGCGCTTACAAATGCGCAGCTACACGCTCGAAACAAATCTATTTCAGCTTTCGCAGAACGGAACAGTCTCGTGAAAATTCTGTCCATTTTTAGTAACGATGGTAAACGTTTGACTGACACCGTAGAATTATAGGGCCACTGTTAATCGTGGGTAACGTTTTCTTTATCTATTTCGAAGCACTATTCGATCCTGGTGGTTGCGAAAGAGGAGGTTACTTCCATTTTGAACGGCATCGTTTCGCGACTGGTTTCGAGCGAGAAGTTATCGATCCCACGGACAGAATTGCCGCTCGAGGAGCAAGGTATTTTCGAGCAAGGAGATCTAAGTCAATTTCGCTACGATTTTCGCGAGCGAAAATCGTGTTAGAAGCGAAGGGTCCGAAGCGATGGAACACGATGGTCGGTTGAAACGTTGTGAGTGACGTGTCTCAATTGTGATTCACTGCAATGCGTCACAGTGAATAGAGAATCTTATTCTTGGCTCATTGTAGCTCATTGTTCCCAGTCACCTACTTTCATTTGCCCAATTGTATCGTTTGCTTCGCCCAACACTCTATGGATTACAACGCACCTATCTAATTTTACAATCTCCGCTACTCCCTTTAAGCTCTTCCTTTCTAACTAGGAGAATTCGTTATTTCCTTCGAACGTCTTCTCTTTCACGAGGCTTTAAAGGCATCGATCCTAGTGGCAGGGCGCGAAAATTTAATGGCCACGCTCCTCTCCAGAGAAATTGTAAAATTGTCCAATTGCTTGAACAGCCAAAAGAACGTTCATCGACTGTTTCTTTGTTTTTCTTTTTCCTCGACTCGTTATTCCGTGGGATTTACGAGAGATTTTGAACGGCTGTCTCTCTCTCTTTCGTATTTTGGCCAGATTCCCATAAAAATGTTTTCCTTTTCATTTTTTTCGAGCAACGGTTTGAAAAATGTATCGTAAGCTATTGTTGTAGGGAGTGGTTTTTCTGTCCAGCCTCCCGAGGCATTTTACGATTGCCCGTGGCGTACGAGCTTACGCCGTTGGATTTGCGCAGAAGGATCGGTAAAATAACATGGACTAAGAGAAGGACGGGCTAGAGTAGTGCGAAGTGAGATTACATGGAGGAGAGAGGATGAGAGACCCAACTTGAACACACCAAAATGGCGGAGGCCCAGAGGGTTGGAGGTGGCACGTGTTTGACAGCCTAACCCAGTGGCGTAATAATGAATTTATACCGATCCTACTCGGAATTTACAACCCTTAGGAAACACGATTCCTACGATAAAAAAGATGTTCAGACTTAAATGTCAAAGTATCGTTTCATCGGTATTTCTTTAACGAGCACCGTAATCTTTATAAAATAGGAGAAATATAAAATAACAGAGAATAATAAGTTAAATTATCATTCGAACATAAAATTAATTGGATCGAGTTAATCCAACTAAGGAACACGCATTCCATTTTGACGCGAAGCTTAACGGAAAAATTCTTATCTTCGGTTTCTAAACCCTACGCCTTTGAGGTCCGACCACCTCCGCGTGCCACCCCAACTACACCCCTAATGACGTCATAGGACAGTGGCGCCAACAACCCTGCACTGACGTCAGCTCCGAGCAGCGGCCAACCGAGTTACCTTTGCACCATAAATTCTCAACTTTTCCTCTTTCGTTGATACGCGATAAAGGGAGAAAAAAATGTAGATAGAAAGAGAGAGAGAAAACAGAAGAAGAAAAGAATATTTTTACGATATTCGTAAAAATACTTTTACGATAAGGTGTTTGCCAAAATTGAAACCGTGCTTCACAGCAGACTTGGACGCTTATAAACTAACGTTTCAGATATTATTTTAAACGATATTCGTTAATCTATCGGGGGTGTTTGAAGAATTCGTGACGATCGTTACGGTAAACAGCCCGCATACCGGGTTTATTGAGTCGGCGTGAAACAGCAGGTTCGTCATTGATTCGCTATGACGACGGCAATGACGATTTCGTTCGTCATTCGTTACCTGAGTTTTCATTGCAATTACCTTACCTTTCTGCTCTCCGATTGGTTAAAAGTCGGTTTATTTTTGAACTTGCACGCTCGCGATCGTATCGCTACCGTTCATCGCATTAACCTTCTCTCGCAATCACGAATTTCTTCAATGTATGTTATTTTTTGACAAATCGCTTATTTATTATTAACTCGGTAGCTTTTTAGAAAACAGCTAACAACCCCTTCTGGCGTAGTGATAGGAATTTCGATGAATTAAAAGCAAAAGATTCGGGCGTAGAACGATGTTACAGATAAAATAAGAAGAAAACAAAATACCGTAGACGGTATTGGCATGGGGGATCGATTTCGGATAAAGCGATAACTTTACCGCGAAACACGTTCGAAATTTCGCGTCACGAGGACATGAATTAACGGACGTTGTTAAATTTAATCGCGGCTTCTCGTTCAATATTGTACCTTGTTTAAGAATAGCTTCGTTCAAGCTGCTCAATTTAATCCTATTCAAGATCCCGCTACATCGTTTCCATTCTCCTTCTTCTTTTTTTCTCCCCCTTGGAATTTACCGTTTCAATTCGGATAACAGACGTTGAATGAAGTCGAGAAACGATGACGCTCGAGCGTAATTCGATGTTACTAGCCTGGTACACGTGCGAGTGTAACTATTCGAGAGCACCGAAACAATAAGTAGGGATCGTTTGCGAAATTTAGACGCAACTCTGTTCTAATTTTACCTCGACCCTTAATTCTCGTTCGAGCCTGAACGTTTCGACGTATCCATCGTGAATGGATTGTCCATAAAACTGGTAACGGTCCAGGAATATTATCATTATAATTATTATTCTTATTATCTACCATGGAACTTTACGTTCGTAAAACAAGCCCTATTTACTCGTAGCATCCATAAATACCGCTTGAACTTGTAACACCATTCCCGTTCGCGTGACAAAACGTTCGAGGGATAAAAATGTGTATGTACATACTTGATAATCGAAACAATCGATGCTCCTGAAGATTTCATAGAAAAGAAAAGAAAAATCGTGACACGTGTACAGGGTGTAAGAAAAATTAATGGTCATGGCTTCAATTAATGGTCTCTTTTCGGCCAGTTTTCAGCAGCCACGCCCTAAGGCCCACTGTGGCTCTCGCGCAGGGCAGGGCGAGTGGTGGGAGAAAAGGGGCGTTGCCTCTGAAACTGGCCGAAAGGAGCGCTCAATCCCGGGCCAATCACCACTCGAACGATGGGCCCTGGCGCAATGGTCTCCGTACCCCTTCCCTAAACGGACGCTGACAGTAGACCCCGTTCGAAAAGAATATTCTTCTTTTTGAATGCACCTCTATCGAAAGGAAGTTCGTTAGAGAAGCGAAGCGTTTGTCGTTGACGTATCTTAATTGAGAAATAATGCGTTCATCCCACGCTCGCAACATCCTCGTGCGTAAAGAGACGTGTCGGTAGAGATTTACATGGACACGTAGGTGCGTGTGTAAGTATGCTTACGTTCGCTTTCACGACGATTCATTGTCAGTGGTATACGCGACGTCCTCGCATACGGACCGGGAACAAACGAACGCGAATCCCTCTTTTTATTGTCGCGACTATGACGTCAATTCTCTCTAATCTTGGCGCTCATTTCCGAAAATTACGATACCGCCGCACCGCGCCGTACCGGTAGGCCAACGTACCAGCGACGGACGTTTAGGACGATCATCGGTTTCCTGATTACGATCCCCCAGGCGTTTTACAAACGATTTCGCCTTGTCGCTTGTGACTTTTTATTTTCCGAAATCAAATCCATATGTACCATTTAGGTATGATCCCCATCACGAGTCATTGACGCTACGATTCTTCTCTGATCGATCGGTTAATGAATTAAGACAGAAGCGGTCCATTAAAATATATAATGTTAATATTTATTGATATATAAGTATAAACAAAATAGGCATTACGTGAATAAACAATGCAGGCTACAAACGTAATCGTACAACGTGAATTGAATATAGGAACATTGTAACAAGATGCATCGTCTATTAATTTTTCTTCTCGTATTGTTTTGAAGAAACGCGACGTCGCTTCACGAATTCGTGATTAAAAGACTAGAATGGATTTTCCATTTCCAACGCGATCGTTATAAAATTATTAATTCATCGTACAATCGTTTTCCTTCTTCAGTTATAGCTTGTATTATTTATTACATGCTACGTAATACTAAATAAAGCATTCTCAGTTATCGATGAAATAAATATTAATATTGGAAACGATGTGCAACGGAATAAGTTACACGGAATAAATAACAACAACGTATACAATGTTCCGATGAACATATACTAAGCAACCTGTTCTCTCCTAAAGAAAAAACTGTCTTTTATTCTTCAAGCTTGAGTCAGACGCATCTTTTGGGGATAGCATATTCCCATAACAGTCGTTTTAACGCGTTCACTGCCTTGTAACGATAAACGCTTATTATTATCATCATTAGCGTAATAATTACTTTTGTGGCAATTAACGCGTTAAGGATCGTTTCAACGAGGAGTTAACTTTACAAGCATACCAATGAAAATCGATGTTCAGTCTCGATCAACAGGTTGCCTCTTATCGACGACAAATCTTTTCACATAAATACGCGTTAATGATTAAACAGAGATCGCTCGAAGTTGAAGAGAAACAGATTTAACCCCTTGCCTCGTGATACCTTTTTAAATTATCTGCTTCAATCATAGTTCTACCTGTTAAAAATTTCAAACGGTAAATAGCTGATTCTCCAAAGTACATAATTGCAAAAATTCTTGAGACAAGCGATTAAAGCGATTCAGATCGAATGACGTTCAACCGAGACTCAACGATATTTACCTTCCTCTTATACGCGACTTTACGAGATACAATGGCATTAACAACGATAATAATCGAGGACGCGATAATTGTAGCATATAACGATTACAAAAAAAAAAAAAGAAATGGGAAACATTAAGCATCTTCGTCACCCCATTCGAAGCTTTCTTCCCCACCGGAAACCACTTCCTCGATGTTTGGCGCATCTTCAACAGCGTTCGCCCCTGATTCCGGTTTACTTTCGGCTCCTGTTGGTTCCTCGACGAAAGTTTCCGTCATATCGAGATGCTCTTCTTCGTTTACATTTTCTTCCTCGATCTTTATAGAAAAAAAGCAGGAAATTAATTACATATTCGCTGAACAAAATGATTAAGTTTTCTCGAAGGTTAGTTCATCCTTTTCATAGGACTTGCCCTCACCCTGGCTCGAAAGAGGGTTGCAAACGTGTCAATGATGATACTTACCCTGGTATCGTCGTCCGTGATCAATTCATACTGTTTTTCTTCTCTTTCCTGATCGGTAACGTCGCAGGTTATCGCGTCGTCGCGCAAATGATCGACTTCTTTCACTTCGTCGGCATCGTCGAACGTCACGTTCGCTAGCCTCTCTTCCTTTTCCTCCTGTTCATTGACTTTTTCCAAATGTTCTTCCACTATCATTCTCTCCTGTTGCTTCAACATGGCCTCCGTTTTCGCTTCCTCTAATTTTCTGCGCATAGAAAATGTGTTTGACCCTTTGAAATAGAAAGGCAACAGAGACGCATTTCGAAACGTGGTTTAAGAAACCCCGGTAGGCGAATTACCTTTCCTCCTCGAGTATTCTTTCAGTTTCAGCTCGAGCTGCTTCGATCTTCTGTTCTTCTACCTGTCTCTCAGCCTCGGCCTTTTCGTGCTCGACTATCTCGTCGAGATGTAACGCTCGTTCCTGTGCAGCTTGCAGTGCTTCCCACGCTTTTTGCTCCTCCATTTCTAGCCTAACCCTTTCGTCTTCGGCAGCCTGTTTCCTTTCTTCGTCGGTCCTGCGTTTGAAAACGTTTCGAGATTTAGAATTTTGGCGAGCCTCTCGATTACGAGTGGGTCAACGGGTAACCTGGTCGAGTTCAATGTTACCGGCTCAGTTTTTTTAGTGTCGATACTATTATTTCAAAACATCGCGATTTCTTATGTAACCTCATCAACGATATCTGCCAACTTGAATCGAACTACGCACCTAGCCTCTTCGGCAGCCTTAATCAGGTACTTCTCTATTCTCTTTACCGCCTCCTCTTTGTCGTGTTTCACTGAAATCAAAATTGTATTTTGCAAATGAACGATACATGTTGTTTACAGAAACGTATACCTGTCGTGTGTTTGCGTGTATCTTTTGTATTAGAAATGCTTCTCTAGAATCGAACACAAGAATCACGTAACAGAACATACTATCTTTCGTGCAACAGTGAACAAGATACAGTAATGGATAAGTAACAGAGGTTCGTCACGACATTGACACTGATCTCGCTATTTTACGTATACTCCCACGATTTTTTTATCGATTCCTATTCGATTCCTCTTTCGAGATAACGTACCATTGTCGCTAGTTGCTTCCGTTTCGCCCGTTTCCTCCGTTTCACTTACAGTTTCTTTATTTTCAGCTTCCAGATTTTCTTGTTTAACCTCTGTCTTAGCTGCTGGTTCTTCGACTGGCTCAGGTTCTTTCACTGGCTCAGGTTCAGGTTCTTTGACAGATTCGGGTTCAGGTTCTTTCACTGGTTCGGGTTCAGGTTCTTTGACAGGTTCGGGTTCAGGTTCGGGTTCGGGTTCAGGTTCTTTCACCGGTTCAGGTGCAGCTACCTTCACCGGCTTCGATTTCTTCGAAGGTTTAGGCTCTTTCACAGGTTCCGGTTCCTTCACGGGTTCTGGTTCAGGTTCAGGTTCTTTCACGGGCTCAGGTTCGGGTTCTTTCACGGGTTCAGGTTCAGGTTCAGGTTCAGGCTGCGATACTGCCACAGTTTCTACTACAAATTCTTGAGGAGCTTCCAACTCTTTCTTCGGTGTCTCCCATTTTCGTTCCTCAGCTTTTCCTCGTTTAGATCCTCGCTTCTTTTCCGGTTTCGATTCCGGTTCTTTCTCTACTCTAGGCGCTACAAGACACATCGATGTCACGTTTCTCTATGCCACATACACGCATTAGAAAATTCAGAAAAGGAATAGTACCTCTCTTCACCGTTGACTCATCTAATTCTGGTTGCAACGCTCTCGCTAAAATTGATCGTGCTACGTGAAAACGGGCATAACTAGATTATTAGGAATATTGGAGAAATTTTACTGACCCTTTCTTAATTCCCTTTCCGTCATCGGTTCGTCTGACGCTACGAAATGGAACATGAAACATAAACGTTCGATTAACAACAAAGGATTCTCTTTGACGCTATAATGTCTCTACGTCTGAAATAAAACACCAACGTACACACCAAATGAAGCTGTAATTATACAAAGTTAGCTGAAGGGAATATACGAATTGTTAATTTCAAGAAAAAGCCTGGTAAAGAAAAGATCTAGTCGATTAATATTTAAGAACAAAATACGATGGTGTGCGACGAATGAATTAGCGTATTAGGAAACTTCGAACTCGATAGGTTCGACGATGAAATTATTTCTGGAGTCGATGAGACATTTACACTCGGGTATATTTCGTAACACGATTTTTAGGGATACGATGATTTTTCGACGATGAACCAGATCGTTCGTTCACGTCTTGTTTCAATGATACGATCGATCGTCTCCGATCACAGAGTCACAAATTGTTCAGGGGGATGATCGATTAGAAACACACACGGTAATACTTAGCAACTGTGTTTCCATCACTTTTGCTTCCTCGATGTAGATGGACGTGTTATTCTTTTTCATTAGAATCATTATTTTGACAACGAAATTTATCGATCTTTTTCTCGTGTATCGTCGTTGTTGTTGTCTTGTCTTTCAATCGGTTCGAATGATTAGAAGAACATTACGCACCAAAGATATAAGCTTACCTCGAGAAAAACGCTCGTTAGCCAGAGAGCTCTTCTACATTTTCCAATTTTCGTGTAAGGAAAACAACTGACATTTACGATTTTTTTTTTTTATTTTTTGATAAATTCGGACAAATTTTTACGATACTGATCGCAATGACATTTGTATATCGATACCTGATTGAGAATTTTTTTTTTTTTTCTTTTTCAATTTGAAGTCGAACGAGAGCGGTAGGAATATTACAGTCACCTATCCGTAAGGAAATCGATATCGACGACTAGCTTTCAAGGAAATTACGTTTGCTCAGGGATATCATAGAGTTAACCCCTGACAAGTAAGCTCGACAGATTTCCTATCGAACGTGTAAATTGTTTGCTCGCAGGTGTACGCGTGTTTTCGAAAGTAGACGTTGCATTATCGATATGATCTCGAACAAAACGATATTTAACGCGAACGGTCGATCACTCTTCGGCGGTTCCCTCGTTCTCATTCTCTTCCTCGTTCTTCTTTTTGCCTTTTGTCGGATCTTCGTACAGCTCGGGAACGCGATCTCTCCACCCTTTGCCTGAAACGTTCAAAAAATCCGAACTGGTTCTTCTGCAATTTTTATCCACGGTTTACGTGTCCCAGTCGTCTGGTTCTGCCTGACACTCGAAGTCTGCCTTCGTGTAAAATCTTCCTCTCATTTTCATTCTCTTTTTTTCTTTTTTTTTTTTTTTTCAACGTTGTATCATCACCATCGCGTGATACGCGTGATTTAAAGGAAATGAAAAAATAAACGAAATAGAAGAAAAGGGTAAGAAAAAAAGAACAACGTTCTGTCTCACACCTTCGTCGCTACATAATACTTGAATTAGACACAATACGTAACAGTGATGTGCAGCTACTGAACAAAATACTAGGTACAAAACAAAAAAAAGAGACTACTTAACGAACGAAAAAAAAAAAAACGACACCAAAATGTAGAGAAACACAAAGTGATCGCCAGCACAGCGGAACAAAAATTCGTCAGGCAGTGCGAATCCAACGGCAATCAATCCAAAAAAAGTGTAAAAGTAGAGAAACGAGCGGGTAAGAGAAAAAACCAGAACCAAAAAAAGGGTTACACACAACGCGGCGTCCTATGGCCGTTTTTATTCTTTCTAAAATTCTAATCAAAATTCTATTCAATTGGTAAAGCACGAGGAAGGATAACAACGAATAATACTTTAATTAAACGATTATTCGTTATTACACCCTCCTATGATTTACCACTACTTCGTGTTTCGTGTTCAAAGTCGTTTCTAACAGGTTGACTGTCAATTGAATTTATTTCGTATTGTCTTTCGAAAAGACTCGTTCGAGAACTCCGTTTTTCGTGCTTATCGTCGTCGTCGTCGTCGTCGTTTGTTGTCGTCGTCGTCCGTCGTCCGTGTAAGCAAACTACTCACAGGCGTTAGCGGCCGCCTCGCGGTTCTTGCTATAGTAGCTGAGGAAATTGACGTCGTTCTTGATGTCGGATGGACGTAGATCGGCGACTTTGAAATAAGGCCTCCTGATGGACTGTGGCTTGCCACCGATGTACTTGACGCAGGACAGGTTACTAAAGTTACTTCGTTCTGGTACCTCGTACCAGGAGATTGGCTCCATGTCTTTCTTCAAGTTGTGCTTGCCGGATATCAATCGACGAATGTAATCCCCGCTACGCATACGTTCCGGCACTATCTCCTCCACGAAGTCGCTAAAAATTCAACGATTTTTGGTTGTTTTTTTTTTTTTTCAGTTTGATTATTCAACTGTGGCAGGGCTGGGTTAATCGTTAAGTACCTTGCCACAGCTCGTGGTACAAAGACGTGTACTCTTCGTAGAAGGGAGTCCACCTTTGCGCGTATCTCCCTTGCCTCGTCGTCGAAATACTGCGAATAGATACACGTAAAGTAGACGTTTAAACAGTGCTTACTTCTCTTGCGAGAGGAATTAGTGTTCGATACGATAACTACGCCACGTAGATAGCTGTAAAGTTTCGCGTCGATGCGTCGACTGTCTCGATAGATAGATATTAAATTAAACATGCTTCGAACATGGTTCTCGTGAACGCGAGGTTTCGAACCTTTGTCGTCAATTGCGGTGCGAGACTTGCTTGAATCGTAAAGAATTGATAAAAAAGACGACGCGATTCCGCTGTACGAATCGATGACGTTGAAGATGTTGAAGAGGAGATGCGACGATCGAAGATGACGATGACAACAGATGGATGATGACTGTCATGCTTATGGCCGAGATTATGTTTTCGCGCATTCACTTACGATGCGATCCCTCGATTGTAGATATCTTTCGGTGTAGGACCCGGTGTAAGGCCTGATCAGATTCCTTATCCTGTTGATCTCAGCGGCGAGGACGCTCGGACGTACTCGCGAGTGAACTGTTATCGGTATCACGCTGCCGCCATGGTAAACGGTATGGTACGGCGTGTGGATTACAGTCACGAGCCTTTTGTGAGCCACGTACGGTATATGAGGAACGTTCCTCAACTGAAGGGTACGAACTCTGCTTTACTAATTCGTCGACTAAGTCGTTACATTCCCAGCCTCGCGTCGGTGCCAATTAGCATCAGACAAGCGTGCAATTTGCAGCGGCATGCAATCGTTCTCTCTTTTATCGATTCCAATAGCTCGAACGATCGGCGATGATTTTTGCGGTAGAAGATGAGATGCGTGGAATCGTTGATAGCGAATGATAACGAGGATGAGCGGTGTTTTAGCGTAAGCCGAAAAAGCGTCGTTAGAGAATAGATATTGCGCGAAGCAAGAAGACGAATATCGCGCTTGTTGCTGTTCGAAGCGTTTTAGCGTTTTGAAAGCGAGCTGCTACTCTTGTTTCACTAGCGCAAGCACCGTGATACTTACCTGAAGGATCGTAGATAGGGGTAAAGTGATCGGTCGATACTGCGATCCCATTTTCGTTGTATTTACAGAGACGAGTGTTTTGTACGTTTCGTTTAATCGATTTTCGACGATATTGGGCGTAATCCGGCGGCAGCGGGGGACGAGGAGTCACGTGAGAGGCAGAATAAATAGAAAGAAGAACAACACCCGGTTAGTAATGTTCACAGTACAGTGTCGTTTTCGACATTCTGTTTTTTCATTTTTTTTTTTTTTTTTTTGCTCTCATTTTCCTCTTCAGTTATTTACTCGCTTTGTTCTTTTACACACATGTCCGTCATTAAACGTCGATCGTCGATCGAATCGATCCCGTACTTCCGGTAAATGGGTAACGGAAACAGGGAAAAACTATGAACCAAATGTGTGCGCCTTCGTTGTGAAATAATCATGCTTTCATCTTTATTTATTCATTCGAAATATGTTTCTTTTTTTGTACGCGTGTCGATCGTCGATCGAGTCGGTTCGGTACTTCCGGTAAAGGCTGACGAATAAATCTACGGTCTACCTTCGATAAGAGACAACGAATTGATTTTATTCCGATTTCCGCATAAAACAAGCAATTTGGCCAATTTTTGTCGCGTTGTGTGTCTATCGAGATGAGTTTCGGTGTTAGTCACGATTAGTTTGGTACACGTTAATCGTGCGTTGACACGGTACAAGATTAATTAACGAGCAAAGAAAGAAACGAGAGGTCGCGTTACGTTCCAATACATATACGTTTTATTTCTGATCAAAATCGTTTCGATTTTACATATATTTCAAAGATATTCACGATTCGTTTCCTTTTTTATATTCACGCCAACACGCTGAAAGAAACGAAACAATTGTTTCCACTACATTTAAGCAGAAAAAAAAAAACACTCCCACACGCATAATCCATAAATGGACAAAGTAAAATTACAAAGGAATTTTCTTTTTTTTTTACATCGGATGCATCGAAGAAAATTAGAAAAGTGTAGAGATTGTTTACAATTGTATTTTGAGGTGAGAAAAATGTTGCGTGTACATTGTTCGTGGTGTGAAGTGTGTTTTAATCATCTTCGACGATACCTAACGGTTAATCAGGCCAGTTTTGTAAACGTCTAAATGCAACTATAAAACATTACACTCGTTAAACAAAGAAATACACGGACTGTCGAATCGTCGATCGAAGATAGGAGGAATCGTATCGTCGAAGGACGGGAGGGTCAATATTTTATCGTTTCACCGAAATCGCTGTTTACGCGAAGCTTAGAAAAATCGATTGCAATAATGGGTGAAACGAAAGCATCGGGGGTGAGGAATTTAGACGCGGTAGGAGAAATGACGGTAAGTGGTGCCGCCAGGTAAACGACCGGAAGCGTGAGACTCGTAGGAGGAGTGATAGCTTCCAGGACCTCCGCCGCTCGATGTCCTGGACGATCTCTCGGTCGAGTAAGATCCGTAAGGTCCGCTCTCCCTCTTGACGACGCTCTCCTGGCTGTAACTAGTCCTCTGCGGACGACGGGTATACGGATCCGCAGACGATGAAGAAGAACTCGAACCGCTGGTGTTGGTGTAGGCATAGCTGTACTGCTCTTGAGCAGTCCTCATCCCGACTTCCGGATAGTCACGTACCACGTAATGCCGAGGCGTCTATAGATAGTCGGGTTACACAAGGTCAACAACATGGAGAACAGGCATTTCCGGAGAACAGAACTCGTCGCGTCGATTAATCTTAGATAATCATTTCCATCCTCGATCGGTTCCCTTCGAAATTCTCACCTCGCTAGTTTCGCTTTTCATTTATCCCGTTAAATTTACCTTCCGGTTTCGCTCTGTTCTCCGTTTCGCTACGGAACAACATGTATTGGAAAAGAGGACATCGTGTGTCACGGAATAACGGCAACGTTAAGGTACTGTGTTAAAAGGGAACAGAATGTACATAATAGGGTCAATAAGGTGGCTCGCGATATGTAATAATAAGTCGATCTATCTGTAGACACACAACGTGCGGGCCAATTATAAACGTAGAGCGGTACACGTATGCATTAATAATGTCTCCTTGCCGAGATATTCAGGACAACTCGAAGCGATACGTTGAGCAACTGAACTAACTCACCCTTGCCAAGAAACACGTGGATAACGTTACCGATACTGTGTATATGTTCGTTTTTATGTTCTTATTTTCTCCGGCCGTATGCGCGAGTGCATCTCGGTGTCTCGTTTCTTTCTCAATTATCTATATCCAAGATATTAAAATGGGGGGAAAAAAGAAAGGAAAGAGTCTTAAGACTCTAACGTTGTATGGTAATACATACATAAAGAGTTAAAGTAAAAGATGATAAATGGCTGCTAGACTCGGTATTAAATTTCACGGTATCCAAATGATTTTATTTTCTTTTTATAGAGACAATACACGCTTACGCGCGTTTATTATAGCACGGATACCGTAGGACGCATCCGTCTTGGGAACGGATCCAGTAAACAGGCTTTTCAAAATCGAACCACTTTATTTGCCCGTCTCGCGTACAAAGGTAATTAAAAATAAACCAACGTGTGTAGGACAACTATTTATAGTTGCATGGAGAAACAAAGAATTACTGCGCTAAAAACGATACGTAAACAAAGTAAACCTAACAGCTAAAAGCGTACCGTCGAGCTATTGTAAGCGTAACCGATTATAAAGTTCTATTTTTAACCACAACGACCTCCCTCCAAACAAAATTCATATCGATCGATCGATCGGATATCGTAGAAATGTGAAAAAAAAAAAAAAAAGCGATGCGAAACAACGTCTATCCCCTATCGTCTGCCTAACGAAAAATGATCATTTTCAGTTCTACGAAGCACAAGGTATCAAAATATCTGTTCGTTAAATTGTAAATCGTTGTTGGATTACTTTTCGTTCGTTTGCAAGGAAAATTCCTTAGAATCGGTACCAAGACGGCGTTTGGAGGGCCATTAATATTTTGGTACGACCACTCGGTGGGGTGACGACGTGTCTTTTGGTGACCGCCGGCCTGGAGAGCACCCCTTTCTCGAATACGTGACCCTTGGTCGCCAATTCGGTGGCTGCGTCTAAGCTGACCTTTGACACGGCACCACCGTCTACCAATTGTCGCCTGTGCTCTTCCTTAGAGGGATTTTTTCCGCGCACAACACCCTCTTTGTCCTTTATCGTGGCGTATTGATAAAATTCCTTCTTTGGATCTTGCTTCTTGCGACCCCAAACGGTGAACGGTTCCGGCACCAAAGACGGTCGTGGTACGAACGGTACCTTCTCCCAAGGGAAGTAGTCCTGCTTCTGTAAATTTCATCAAGTTCTTTTCTTTTTTTAACGTCTCCCTCCAACCCTCGATCGCTTCTTCTCTCGTAACGGCTTCTTTCTCAACTTCCTTTCGATGTCCTCACTTCCACACCGTTCTTCCGCGTTACCGCTAACGTTACGTTATAAATATTTTGCTTCTTATCGTATAGTAAATAGATCTAGCGTTTCTCATTGAAATGGTACGCCGCTGTGTACCGGAAATAAATGAATGACTAAGAAGTTGAATCTTTTTTAAGAAGGAAAGCGTGAGGGGACCGGAGTAAGGAGATATCAAATATTTCGAACTGATCCCTGGGGTGTGCACTTTTTTTTCCAGTTGATGCTAAGGGAGTTCTCGACGATCTTCTTTCTCCTCTTGAGGGTGCTTCTTATTCTCGTGTAAAAATAGAGCGAGGCAATGCGAATGGTATGTTACAGGAAGAACGCAAGCAACAACCACGTCCTCGTATCCGCCCCCGCACATTCCGAATCGTTGATTTCGTGAGATTTTTCTGGCCAACCCTATAAATGTATATCGAATGGATGATTTCCGAATATCAACAGCTGCCAAATCCTTTGCGCAAGTCTTCGCGCTACGTCGGTTCGCCTCCACCTTAAAGTTCATTTTCAAGAACGCTCATAATTGGCAGCGTAATCGTAAACGAACGGGTGCAGAGGATATTCCCACGGTATAGAAAGTTTGGTAAGGTAAATATACGAGGAGCAGAAATCGCGTGTATGAATTTCCGTGACGAATTTCAGCTCTCGTGGTGGGAGTGAACGTCGCTGGTAAGTTGGTGAGTCTAAATTAGGGCAGAGTAACGCAACACCCGATGCTCAGAGATCCCCTCTACCAAAACTAACGAAGACGAGAAAATGTCTTCGTAACGCTTGAAAACAGCGAGAAAACGTTTCCTCGTCTGACGATTCGTCAAGCATTTCGTGGTCATTGGAAACGTTCGAGATGCTCGAGACCTCGACGAAGATCTCTGTCGAGCATGGCTAGAATCACCGAGAGGTTAACTATTTAGGTCACCTTTTAAGCGGCACCATTGATCGACGATCAACAATGGAACAGCTCTTTGACTCGTTGAAATTGCGAAGCTTCTGATTACACATTCCTTGTTAATCAACCGATTAATAAACGTTGCCCTATCAACGTCTATTCTTCTTCCCAATTATCTTTGAAAAGTTAGCAAAGCATGTTATTCTTCGCTTTCTTCCTCGTCCAATCCGTTCGAAGTTGGTGCCGTTTTTGGCTTTTAATAGGCGCGTTATTCGGTTCATTGCTCGAATGAATTTATTTACGTAATTCATTCACCTACATTTCGACCTGTTCTCTGTTGAAATTCGCTTCCGCCGCGTATAGACTTGTCGGCCAAATACTACATTTTCTTCTTTACGGATCCAAGATTTGCTGGGTCGAACGGCATCTAAGTTTAACGCAACGGGGTCCCGGAAAATGGCTGCAACGCTATGAATAGGTTTTCATCCAACTCCTTTGGCTCTTGAACCGCTCTTTACGCACTTTTCATTCTTCGATTCTTCATTTGAACGTAGAAACAAACATCTATGTTTCGAAAATATATTTTCTACCTACAATGTACTCATTTAACTTGATATAAAATTGTATATCCGGAAACTTTGAACGTTTCTTCCAAGTTTATATCATTTCACATTTATTAAGTATTCGATGTAATATTTGATGTATCCATTGAAAATACATTCGATCCATTGGTAAATTGAATTTTTGGACCGCAAAAGGTTACGATAAAACCCTGGTTGCTTCAGGGCGTATACATAGAAAAGAAATTCAGAGGAACACAGTGAGGGGTGTTCTTTGGAAAACAAATCATTGAACGCGTGTACCGTCCGTTTGATTCGACGGGTAGGTAACTGGTGAGAAGTGCTTACTTTGGTGCCAGGTACACGTTAATTCCGTAAACTGGAGGTTGTTACCGTGCAATTGTACATTTGCCGTTAATTGTGCACGTTAAACGAACAAGAAGTAAGAAAAAACAACAGAACAAACATAGAGCTGTGAATTGTTGGCTATCGTGTAAATTTCTTTGATACACCGGGAGACACCGAGATCGGAGAAGACTAATTAAACGATAAGAACATTGACGATAGTGAACAGCAACCAAGTAACGTAGTGGTCGGAATCACAGTGTGGAAGTAGAGACTTCGAAACGCCGACAGTGACAACGATTCGTTTCGATCGGATCTGTTGTTGTGTCGCGTCGGTCAATATCGTGGCTGTCGTTGATCGATCTCGCGGGTGATCAAGGAGTGTCGTTCTATCGATCGTTAAAGAGTCAATGTTTCGACGTTAGACGTAAGTACTTTCAAAGTGTAATAGCGTTCGCGAACACCGGTCTATTTATCGAAATTCTTTCTAATCGATCGTTCGAAGCAACGAAACGTTGACTCTAGATCGAACAAAGATTGTAACGAGGGTAATTTCGGTTAAAGTATTTCCGTGTCACACGGGGCTCTCATTCGACGTTAGTACTCATTCAGCAAAACATTATTAAGACATACTTCATCCCGCTCTTTTGACAATCTTGTGTCTACTGACCGTGACGCTGTAGGACGAGACGAGAGGCCTTGAATAGGGCCGTCTGGTCGTGTAGAAGTCACTCTCGTAAACCATCTTTCCTCTGTTTCGTTCTTCTTATTTTTCTTCTAGATCGAAGAAAATTCGTTCGTCGTCGATTTTGTTACGTAGCCTTGCGTCGAACTTTGACCGATCGATTGATCTCACGTAAATTAACGATATAACTTTGTGCACCAAGATGGAGGAGATCCGGTGGTGCGGTCGCGATGAACGTTCGTACGGTTCTGCTCCGTTCGGAGATCCTCTTCTTCGACTTCCACCACGATCGTTTCACCCCACCTAGCCTTTCCTCTTCTTCTTTTCAACGGGCGTACACAGGACGGAACTGATTTTACGTGTGTCAGCGTCTTCGACGAGAGAACAGTCTCGCGGTCACCGGTTCGATTGCGTCATTTTCAGCACACGGCCTGATGCATCGAAAGAAATAGAATCGTGTTAAGGTTGCAATCGTTCGCCACCCTCTTTCTTCACCCTCCCACGATCGCGATCTTCGACGCCTTGTTTTTCTTTCTTTTCTTTTCTTTTCTTTTCTTTTCTACGCTTTCAAGATGAAACCGTTGGTATTTTTGTATCGAAAGCAACGCTCATGGCTGAATGGATAAACTTTAGCTTGGAATGTACAGGGTGCGACAAGTATACCGAATTTGTGGGTACACCCTCTACGTTACTTATATTTCACATATCCCAACCCTCGTTTTAACGCAACGTGTTCTTTAGTTGAATAAAAAAGAAAGAAAATTGTGTCAAGGTAGGGAGCGAATCATGGAGTAAGAATTTCAAAGAAAATTGTCACCGTCATTGGTTTTTATTTTTACATTCGTTATTCAGGATATCCCTACACGAGTTTCAGACTTTCGAAAAACGTCAAGCTGTTATTCTCGGTGACATTCCATTAACGTGAAAAACGTACGATGCTTAAAATAATTTTTATTAAATTCTGAATTCAAAGAAAGGCCACGTTTTGTTTATTTAACAATAGAGAATCACGATTGTATTTTTATTACATCAGATATTACATTGGCAATTTTCCAGTATTTTGCACTTAGTTCTGCAGTTGGACCAAATCCTAATTCTCAGTTATAAAAATGCTATCAAGCCATATATGTTGGATCTAAGTAGTTACTTTGTAACTCTAATGCAAATTCTTTATGGATATATATCTATCTCTCGTTTCACGAACCTACAGGCTAACGAAAAAAACTCGTTTATCTCGTTGGCAACAACTTGATAAACGAGATTAATTGTAATGGAGGGTGGTTGGTATTTGGTGTTTAAGGTGGTTCACTGTCGGAGCAATCTCCACGTGCTGTGACCTAGTAATCGATACTGTTCTTTAAACATTTAGTAGGAGGTAGTCTTCAGACGGCGATATCGAAAGTTATTTTTGAATATTTTCCTCTGCAGTAATTTTTTACTTATCAACCCCTGCGATCCGTCAACCATTTGGACCCAACGCGGTTACTAAGATCACCGTTTTGAATTGTAGAGTGCGCAGCGAAACAGCTGACGGAAATGAGATTTTGATTGAACCATTCGTCGATAACGTAGGATGAAAAATACGCATGGTAGTTCTTTAGGTTTCCGGCTGTCATCGTAGACAGATATAACATGTAAGTTACGGTACGAGTATGCTACTTTGCAGCAATAATCATCAGAAAATGTTCGTACGTTAAAAAGTAACCTGCTTGTTAAATGATCCTGTGTATTAATAGCAAATCAGTTTCTACGTCTCATATAAAACATTTGAATCGTATGAACATGCCTTAACCGAACTCACGAAAAGCTCACATGTTAGAACGCGGAGCTGTCATTCTGGGATAGTAAACAGAAAGCGAATTTCATCGTTCGATTAATTGAACGATTAAAAATGTCCGTGACCGAGGAAAGAATTCAAGAATTAAACAGACGGTTTCTGGAATTTATGAACAAAAGTGAAAATGTGGAATCAGCGACGAAAGAGATCTATGAAGATCTTTTGGATGAGGTTTTAATGGGGTTTGTTTTCGACGTGCATCGTACTACAAAAACTGGTAGCTCAGATGTTGAGGAGGGTATACCTGATGACGAATCGTATGCTATCGTAGGTAGGATAATTTAATGATTTCAGGAACGCTAATAAAGTCTATTTCATTGCTTAGGTTATGTTTATTTATGAGAGTTATAAAATACACTGGTGTTTTATTAACTGAACTTACCTAAATGTAAAATCTTTTAAAGATTCCCCGGGATTGGATGTTTTTGGTCAGCATCCTGTGAAAAAATCTCAGGAATGTAACTGTCCAAATTGTGACAGAGGAGTGGCAGCTTGTCGCTTTGCTACTCATTTAGAAAAATGCATGGGTATGGGTAGAAACAGTTCAAGGATTGCATCAAGGCGTATAGCAAATAATTCAAAGGATTTAAGTAATTTTAGCGGTGGTATAAGCGACGACGACGACGATGTCGATTGGAGTTTAAATAATGATAAACGTAAACGTCGAAAAGATCGTAATGGTATAAAAAGGACAAAACAGCAAAAGAATAATCAAAGAAATGGAGAAAGTATTAACGAGCATATTCACAGTAGCAATGAAAATTCTCCATCAAATTATGAAAACATGTCTTTAGAAGATAAAAGGATTTTGTTAACTCAGATTTGTGGTGTAATATCTGAACATACCAAAAAATTATGTACAAGATCTATGCGCTGTCCGCAACATACAGAAGATCAAAGAAAAGAAATGAGAGCAAATTTAGAATCTGGAAATACTACACAGAGTGGCCAAGATAATCTTCATGTGGATGTAGATACCTATGAAGAGGGAGATGGACAGAACTTAAGGGAAGCTTTGGCACGTTGGGATCGCGAAGGATCCAGTCATTCGAGCCCAGCAGATTCTACGTCCACAACGTCGACATCTTCGATAAGTAGAAAACGGGAAACAAAAACGAAAGGCAAAGGTAAAGGTTCTAAACGTGACCGTGGATCACCCATTTCTCAAGGAGATTAAAATAGTATATGTAACTTATTTTTTAGTAATAAGAACTTTCTAACAGGGAAAATTATGTAATAATAATGTTCCTATGCATTGTACAAAGCTTCAAGAATACACATTATTTAACCTGAAATAATAATTGAAAGATATTTTCTTAAATTTTGTTTTGATTCTGTTTTCTTTCTTATTAATCAATTAAAATTACAATAAGACCAAGAAATTATTAAAATAATTGACAAACTTGTATTTTAAAAAGATCGCCAATCCTGGTGCTATCTAGTTTGCGCCGCTTTTGTATAGCTGGCGCTGTAATCGAAAAGTGGGAGTGCTCCCTTCTACCTCGAAAACAAAAACATGTTCAGTGTTGTTGAATCTGTAGCGATTTGTTCAGTGGCACTAGTAAAAGAATAATTAAAATTACAAAATAAAAATGATAAGCGTTCAAGTAAGTACTGCTTCTGGCGTAAGACAAATCTTTACTACCGAAATTCCATTTAAAATTCGTGAGTTACGTGATCGATTCGAAGGATTGAGAGTAAGTAGTGAATCTAACGTTAAAATCTTTTGCTCAATAGACAAGAATTATTTAAAAAACTATTTGTTTAAATTTCTACAGGATAATTTTTACTTTGTACATAATGGAAAACTTGTGGATGAAAACATCACTTGCTACAATGGCTACATATCTATTGTTCCACGATTATTTGGTGGAAAAGGAGGTTTCGGTTCGATGTTACGTGCAATTGGTGCCCAGATTGAGAAAACAACAAACCGTGAAGCTTGCAGAGATTTAAGCGGTCGTAGACTTCGTGATATTAACGAAGAAAAACGATTAAAAGCTTGGATCGAAAAACAAGGAAATCGGGAAAAAGAAGCGGAGGAACGGAAAAAGAAGAAACTAGAAAGACTTTGCGCCGAGCCTAGACACGAATTTAAAGATCAAACTTACGAACGCGAAAGATCAGTTTTAACTGAGAGAGTTGGAGATGCAGTTGAGGAAGGATTTAAAGCTGCCACTACTGGAGTGAAAAGAAAGCTTGATGAAGATTTTAAACCCAATAAAAAGAAAATATTATTAGACCCTGACATAGATTCAGATGAACTAAATAGTTCAGATGATAGCGAAGAAGATGAAAGTAAGTCCAATGAAGTAAATAAAGAGACTGAACCAGCATCAAATGATAGTGGACATTCCAGTGATGAAAATGGAAAACCTGCTAAAACTAATGAGAACTCAGAAGCAAAGTCTGAGAATTAATGATACATTGATTTTAAATTAAATTAAAATGTACCAACGGATGCCTTAAACAATCCATATATGTTCTCTGTTACAATAAAAGTTTTAACTGTTGAGGCATGGCTATGTAATAATGTTTCTTATTTAGATGAACATATTATTTTATTATGTTATACATTAAGAATGAAGTTTACAGTATTTAAGACAAATAGGTTTACAATAAATTTGTTAGTGTCTTTTAAAACCTGTATGTAATAAATTAAAATAATTTCCAGGCAACTAACTCATTAGTGAGCTTAATACCCACTGCAAATAAAGCAATTGATGCAATAAATGGCATCAAAAATTCATTTGTAGTTGTCTGGTTGTGCTTGCACTGACATACCCATTCATACAGATCTTTTAGGTATTTAGAACCAACCAAATGTAAATCATTATTCTGAGTACCTTTATTTTGAATTTGCTTATGTATTGTATGCGCTAAGACTCCTAGGCAAATGTAATAGCAAGATTTACATTTTTTGTGTGAAACGTGCTGAAAATAATCGAAGATGCAAATTTTTAAGCGATGCAAATGATAAAGTATTTAAAAGTAAATCTTACATTCGTACAAGTCTTGTTTTCTAGATCAAGTAGCGTACTACATAACGATGACGTACCCACAGCAGCCATTTCCAATTTTATTTTTACAAATTTATGTTTTTATTGACATCAAATTTACAAGTCCGTGCGTAAGAAAAACAAAAATTGTCAAAATTATATTACTTTGTTTAAGGTGATGCGAGCGTCGAAAACTTTACCGACAGTCCCTAGAAAAATCCCTAGACGCGAGTTCTCAAATTACGTCTTCATTTCTAAACAAAATGCAAAAAAATGTGAGGGACGTGTTCAGGAGGCTCTAAAGAATATTATTCTGATCCTTATATTATCCAAATCGTCAAAAAGTTATAAAATATTGAAATGGCTGTCTGTCAACGGTCAAGAAAATGGCGGATCGGACTCACCTGCATTAATTTATTCGTAATATAAACATTTCTGCCAATAGTTTGTCCAAATAAGCACCAGATTAATATTCTTTGGGTCGGATAGAATAAAACGAGCACCCAAGGGATGATGTACAAGTCTCCAGGAAGAAGTATTTTGAGAACTACGATTTCGTTGATTGTTCACACGCGAAAGACGTCAACAAGGTAAAACAGACCAGAAATTTAGTTTCTCGTTGATTCTGTAGGGCGCAGTTCGTTCGTTTGATTAATAAACAATTGTAAAATTAAAAATAATAATTAAATAATTTTTAATAGAATAATTAAACAAAATTTTACAATATACCCACGCGGAAATGTAAAGAAATAAACAATTTAAATAGATATAACAATAATTTGATTAATAAACAATTGTAAAATATAAAATAATAATTAAACAAATATTAACAAATATCAGATAGAAGTAGTTAAATGTAACCGGCCGCGGAACCGGTGAAGCGGAACGTCACACTTGATTGCGCGCGCCGCGCGCCGCGCGCCGGTACATGCGCGACCCGTACAGAGGTCAAATCTAATCAGTCTTATCGCGACCGCCAAAGGATACGGATGGATCTGTCAAACATATACCGGTACGGGTTGATACCATGGATATTCGTGCATGGATTTATCAGTGTATTACCACAAGTGTTACTGTGTTTGCCTATAGTGTTTCCTATAGTGTTTCCCATGTGTTTTGGAATATTTATACGGATATATTAGTTCGTTTTATGGTGTGGAACCCCATGTACCTGCATGTGCTTTATTGTGTTTTATGGTGTGGTACCCCATGTACCTACATGTGCTTTATTGTGTTTTATGGTGTGGTTCCCTATGTGCTTTGGCATATTTTTACGGATTTATTAGTGGGTTTTATGGAGTGGTACCCTATGTGTTTTGGCATATTTATACGGATTCATTAGTGGGTTTTATGGAGTAGTACCCTATGTGTGTTGGCATATTTATACGGATTTATTAGTGGGTTTTATGGAGTAGTACCCTATGTGTTTTAGTATATATATACGAATTTATTAGTAGGCTTTATGGAGTGGTACCATATGTGTTTTACTACAATTTCCCAAATATTTTATGGTGTTCTATGGTTTTGATTTTCATGTGTTTTGGGATGTATTTATTTGCATGTGTTTTACCGTATTTTATGATATAGTTTTGCATGCATATTTTTACAAATTGAGAGAAAACATATATCGTTCAAGAATCGTGATTTTTATGCTTCCAGATGAGTGCTTTGGCCAGTGGGGGTACAGTTTCTTTGACGAGCCAACAGTCGAGCTATGAATCAATCTAAGATGCGTGGCGAGTGCAGTGGTGCAAGTCAACGATCGGTGAGTCGCATGCTTTAAAGTTCCTCCGGTTCCCATCATGTCGTAGGACGATTGGTCCGTAGCGACACGGGAATTGGTTGTAATTTTTATTTTTTGAGCGAGCATAGTGACCCACGAATATCACTGTATTATTTTATACAATGATAATCGTGCAAATTGATTTTTTGTGTATTTTATGCCTTAGCTCAGGATAGGGTTTTCTTGTACATATTTACATATATAGATTTCAAGTTTAAAAATGTAGAGAAGTCGGATGACCCTCCGACTTCACAATACACTTTCTTTTTTATATGTACAAGAATTTATTTCGCGATGAGCGGATTTCAATATCAAAGTAATAAGCATGATTACTATTAATTATTATAACTACTTACTTTGATAACGAAATCGCTCTTGAAATTGAAACGTTTTTCCGATTTTACTCGTGAAATTGGCATCAGTTTAGTATATGGGCTGGCCCCCAGGGGGGTTGGTATTTGCTCTTCAAGCATTGTATAAAGTTGAAATTCATTCTGTCACGTTCACGGTTCTCGACCCTAAACACTCATCATTCGCACTTCAGCCTCACGAACTCTATCACGTAATCATTTATCCACCCGCACATCGTTGTGTAGCGAAATATTACCCTGTTAGGATTTTGAAGTTAGTGTTGCGAAAAATTTTCAACGCGAGAGTAAATATTACCCCGTTAGGATTTTCAAGTTTTAGTGTTGCGAAAAATTTTCAACGATGAAAGTAAATATCACCCCGTTAGAATTTTCAAGTTTAAGTAGTGTTGCGAAAAATTTTCAACGCGAGAGTAAATATTACTCCTTTAGAATTTTCAAGTTTAAGTAGTGTTGCGAAAAATTTCCGGCGCGAAAGTAAATATGACTATACACTGACTAGTATTCGGTGGGAATCCTTTTGGTTTTTATTTGATAAAATTAGTTACAAGGATTCCGCGGCATAAGACCGTGAACACCACCTCATGGGAGATAAAACCATGCATTACTAGGCCTTTTCAGGCACAGCCATAGAGTACGGAACATTTAAGTATGTTGCATCCCATACGCTAAGCTGTCTTAAAGTCCTTTTGCCTATACTATGAGCGTCCATCACTCGAACACGTTGGATGCAACGTGTTCGATGGATGGGTAGCGCTCTTAGCGAAGGGGTGCACCCTGCCTGGGCCTAGAGCCTTAAACAGGCGGGGTGGGTGGTATGTAGCGTCGGGCGCAAGTCCAGGGGGCCTAAGAACCTCCGTTGCCAGCTGATATTAGCAGTGGACGAATGTTGAGTCATATTTGCTCTATTTTGCTTTTCAGTATTTGCTCTTCAAGCATAATTTAAAGCTCCCCTTTAGTCATGTTGCTAGATCAGGATTTTCTATTTTAATTAGTGTTGCGAAAAATTTCCAGCGCGAGAGTAACTATGACAATGCACTTACTAGTATTCGGTGGGAATCCTTTTGGTTTTTAAACTCAATGTCTTATTTAATTAATTAAATTAGTTACAAGGATTCCGCGGCATAAGACCGTGAACACCATCTCTGGGAGATATACCCATGCATTACTAGGCCTTTCAAGGCGCAGTTTAGGATGTGGCGCCCATCCATAGGTTCCATTTAATAAACTGCAGTCCTTTTGTCTATACTATGGGCGTCCGTCAATCTGACACGTTGGATGCAACGTGTTGGACGGGCGGGTAGCGCTCTTAGCGAAGGGGTGCACCCTGTTCTAGGCGGGGTGGGTGGTATGTAGCGTCGGGCGTATGTCCAGGGGGCCCGAAAACCTCCGTTGCCAGCCGATATTAGAAGTGCACCATTTTTGCGTCATAGTTGCTCTATTTTGCTTTTCAGTATTTGCTCTTCAAGCATTGTAGAAAGCTCTTCGTTCGTACTTCAAATTCATTCTGTCACGTTCACGGTTCTCGACCCTAAACACTCATCATTCACACTTCAGCCTCACGAACTCTATCACATAATCATTTATCCACCCGCATACCTTTGTGTAGCGAAATATTACCCTGTTAGGATTTTGAAGTTAGTGTTGCGAAAAATTTTCAACGCGAGAGTAAATATTACCCCGTTAGGATTTTCAAGTTTTAGTGTTGCGAAAAATTTTCAACGATGAAAGTAAATATCACACCGTTAGAATTTTCAAGTTTAAGTAGTGTTGCGAAAAATTTTCAACGCGAGAGTAAATATTACTCCTTTAGAATTTTCAAGTTTAAGTAGTGTTGCGAAAAATTTCCGGCGCGAAAGTAAATATGACTATACACTGACTAGTATTCGGTGGGAATCCTTTTGGTTTTTATTTGATAAAATTAGTGACAAGGATTCCGCGGCATAAGACCGTGAACACCACCTCATGGGAGATAAAACCATGCATTACTAGGCCTTTTCAGGCACAGCCATAGAGTACGGAACATTTAAGTATGTTGCATCCCATACGCTAAGCTGTCTTAAAGTCCTTTTGCCTATACTATGAGCGTCCATCACTCGAACACGTTGGATGCAACGTGTTCGATGGATGGGTAGCGCTCTTAGCGAAGGGGTGCACCCTGCCTGGGCCTAGAGCCTTAAACAGGCGGGGTGGGTGGTATGTAGCGTCGGGCGCAAGTCCAGGGGGCCTAAGAACCTCCGTTGCCAGCTGATATTAGCAGTGGACGAATGTTGAGTCATATTTGCTCTATTTTGCTTTTCAATATCTGCTCTTCAAGCATAATTTAAAGTTCCCCTTTAGTCATGTTGTTAGATCAGGATTTTCTATTTTAATTAGTGTTGCGAAAAATGTCCAGCGCGAGAGTAACAATGACGATGCACTTACTAGTATTCGGTGGGAATCCTTTTGGTTTTGCAACTCAATGTTTTATTTAGTTAATCAAATTAGTTACAAGGATTCCGCGGCATAAGACCGTGAACACCATCTCATGGGAGATAAAACCATGCATTACTAGGCCTTTCAAGGCGCAGTTTAGGATGTGGCGCCCATCCATAGGTTCCATTTAATAAACTGCAGTCCTTTTGTCTATACTATGGGCGTCCGTCAATCTGACACGTTGGATGCAACGTGTTGGACGGGCGGGTAGCGCTCTTAGCGAAGGGGTGCATCCTTTCCTAGGCGGGGTGGGTGGTATGTAGCGTCGGGCGTAAGTCCAGGGGGCCCGAAAACCTCCGTTGCCAGCTGATATTAGAAGTGCACCGTTTTTGCGTCATTGTTGCTCTATTTTGCCTTTCAGTATTTGCTCTTCAAGCATTGTAGAAAGCTCTTCGTTCATACTTCAAATTCATTCTGTCACGTTCACGGTTCTCGACCCAAAACGCTCATCATTCACACTCATCATTCATCAGTATAGTGAAATATCAGGCCGTTTGATGTTTATGTACTAGTCATGTTTTTAGATCAGGATTTTCTATTTTAATTAGTGTTGCGAAAAATTTCCAACGCGAGAGTAAATATGACAATGCACTGACTAGTATTTGGTGGGAATCCTTTTGGTTTTTAAACTCAATCCAATATTTTATTTATTTAATCAAATTAGTTACAAGGATTCCGCGGCATAAGACCGTGAACACCATCTCATGGGAGACAAACCCATGCATTACTAGGCCTTTGCAGGCGCAGCTTTAGAATACGGAATATATGAAAATATGTTACCATATTCTAAACTGTAGTCCTTTTGTCTATACTATGGGCGTCCGTCAATCTGACACCGTTGGATGCAACGTGTTGGACGGGCGGGTAGCGCTCTTAGCGAAGGGGTGCACTCTGTCCTGGCGTTACGACGTCCAGGCGGGGTGGGTGGTATGTAGCGTCTGGCGTAAGTCTAGGGGGCGTGAGACCCTTCGTTGCCAGCTGATATTAGCAGTGCACCATGTTTTATGTCATAGTTGCTCAATTTTGCTTTTCTGTATTTGCTCTTCAAGTTTTATATTTGCAAAGTCGAGTCACTTTTATTAAAAATAAAACCCCCTGGGGGGGCCAGCCCCCATACTAAATCGGAGCCGTGAATCATCTTTAGTTTTTGCTAATGATACGTTTTAGCTTAGGCATTTCAGCACACATGAAGAAAACGGGTAGGTGAAAATACCTTTGGCCTTGTTCATTTTTATGCCCAAAGCTCATTCGGGTACTTAGATGTACTCGCGTGGGTGGAGGGCGGTGGACAAGGTTTAGTTTTAAGTGTTCATTTTGGCGACTGACAAAAGTAGTGAACCACGATAGAAGTTCCACATGTGTGTGTGTGGTTAGGATGTGGGATTTGTATCGTTTATTAACAATCTTAACTTACTATAATATTACAAAATACTTATGATGAATAAATTGAAAAATTTTTACATTAGATAATTGAATAGAATACGAAAATGAAATGTATTACTTTAGCATAATGTTCACTATTATTTGTCAGTCGATTTCAGCAAAAAGGTATGTGATTTTATTAGAGTGTGAAAGTTGAATTGAACTCGGGTGTCGGAGGCGTCCCGGGACGTTCTCTCTAGGTGTAGGCATTTTTGCACCCGGGTGGTTGTATGAGAACCGTGGAGTGAATTTTTGTGAGAATGATTTTTGCCCTTTTTTAAATATAGCGATAGGCAGGCAGGTAGTTTACTTCTGGTGTGATTGAGTTTAGTTTATAAGTAGGCAGGGCCAGAGCAAGCTTTCATGTTTCTCTTCGTATTCTCCTCTAATACGTGAGAAGCTTGTATCTGGGGTTGGGAAACCAAAAATCAAGAGAAAAGATGAAAATGCAATTTAATTAATTTATCAATTAATTAATTTAGCATTCTCTCTTGATTTTTTCAAGGCCAAGCCTTATTAGTTTGTAAGTCGTAGTCGTGGTACTAGACCCGATTACAAAAATGAAGTATTAAAGTGAAAGTGCAGTGAAGTGAAGTGAAATTAAAAAGTGTTTTGTGCTTGGACATTTGCAAAAATTGTGCAGGTATGCGAGTAGCGATTCAAGGGATCGTTGCTCGTTTACCTGTTACGTTTTTACAAATGTCTGAGCAAACGTAAAATTTTCGCGAGTGATTTTTGTGAGGCTATTGCCGAAGAAAGAAGAGGCTATATGCTGAAGAGCCCCGGCAAAATTTGCCCAGAAGAGGGGAACTACTAATGGCTCTCCATCTTCGGATGGACAGTCATTCTGTCACTATGCTCGCTAATTTGTTTTTTCATTTTTTGTGTTTTTCCTTGAACGGTATGAATAATACCGTCCAGGACATATTGAACTCGACATTTTACGAGTTCAATACCCAGCTCGTTGAATGGTCAACTCGCGATTTTATTTCCCCTATTTCGTTTTTGTTTATTGCTTTATTGAAATAAATTATTCTTTTCTTATTGATTTGCACATCAATTATATTTCATGTTCTTATTTTAATTATGTTCTATTTATTTAAAACCTACCCTGAGATTGTAATGGTAATTATATATTCTGTTTCAGCATTTTTCATTTCAGTTGTAATCGAAATTATGATGTTAATTATATTTTCTATTTCAGCATTTTATTGTTGAATTATTTTTTAATTGTTACAGAAATTATGATGTTAATTATATTTTCTATTTCAGCATTTTATTGTTGAATTGTTATTTTCTCAATTGTTTCTGATATTAGGATGTTAATTTTATTTTCTATTTCAGCATTTTATTGTTGAATTGTTATTTTGTTAATTGTTACAGAAATTATGATGTTAATTATATTTTCTATTTCAGCATTTTATTGTTGAATTGTTATTTTCTCAATTGTTTCTGATATTAGGATGTTAATTTTATTTTCTATTTCAAGATTGTATTGTTTAAATTTTTATTTTATGTTGTCTCTGTTTTGAATGGTTTCACGTTATTGTATATCTAATCCTAATAATTATGTTTTCCGTTACAGCATTTTATTGTTAAATTATTATTATTTTCTCAATTGTTTTTTGTATTAGGATGTTAAAAATTTTGTTTTCTATTTCAAGATTGTATTGCTTAAATTTTTATTTTATGTTGTCTGTTTTGAATGGTTTCACGTTCTTATGATTTTAGGGTGGGTCACTAACGTAGCCACCTCCACGTGGTGTGACCTGGTAATTGATATCGTTTTCTAAAGATAACTTTTAGAAAGCGATATCAAGCTAAGAGCTACTATAAAAAGATTTATATATTTTTTAATTGGGAAACAATAGTTTAAATTCAGAAAAGTATTTTCGGTATTGCAATATTACCATATAGAACGTATAACTATAGTAATTTTATAGTTCCTGAAAAAGGAACTTGTATGATTTTTGACTAATTACAAATGACTAATTACCTCCTTTTTTTCGAAGTCGGTTAAAAATAAAATAAAAAGAAAATCACAAAATATGGAATTTAGAAAGAACGAAGTTGTTTGATACGCAATGGTAGAAAGAAATCAACCCTAACGAAGATATTTCAAGCAGAGACGTTGTACATTGGAAAGGCCATGACTTTATCCATGACTCTGGTCAGGCGCCAGATCTCGCTCTTGTCTACAGAACACATCATTTCTGCTTTTCATTTGATAGAAATTCGCCACGTTGACTAACAAATATTTTTCTTATATCAATTTTCGAGAGGAATTCATTATTGAATGAAAGTAAAAATTTGCATAAATGGAGGGTGGATGGGATGAGGTAGGGCGAGTCTCCAAACCGCAGCAACCTCCTCGTGGTGAGACCTGGACAATCGTTATTATTTCATGACTAATTAATAACTGTATCATTATTTCTATGGTACATTTATTAATTATGCAGCAAATAATACGAGCGAAATGGCTGCGAAATTTATGCTTTTTTTTCTCTATTTAATCTCTGTTATATATTTTTCAGTAACTATACCTTTCAGATTCTGAAGTGTATCACATTGCAACTACAATTTTACGGAAAGAAAATTAATAATAATGAATGCATAGTCAGTATTGTTTAATTATGTACTTATGCATATAGCTATCGTAGCATACACGTGTCATTTAGGTGTATGCGAAAGGAAAGAAACACTTGAGGTGGCGCTTAAATCAGTTTCTGTTCGGCCTAATTTTCGATGAAACATTGACTGTTTTACCGACGCGGAATTCGAAGTTCAGCCTCGACGCTCGCATGAAATTCTAATGAATATTTTGCTGTAACATAAAGTATTGTACATACTTACATCCGGAACTATAAAAGCAATAGAAGCATCATATGATAATTGATCAATTGCAACATAGAATTATGTAAATTCTGTAATCTAATCTATGCTAATGCAAAAACGTTTGTATGCATGCGAGGCAAAACTATTCGAAATCGTGAGACAATGATACGGTGTATCAACGCGCGTGTTTACCTGGAATATCCAGAGTGAATCTTATCTCAAAAGGAAAAGTTAAATGATATTCTCCATAATTTCTTCTCACGATTGCATAAAATAAATGTTCTTGGTAATTCCAGAAAAAAAAAATGTACAAACGCTAAAATTTATTTAACAAATAGGATGAAGATATAAAGGTTATTACCCTATAAAAAAAAAAGATACGTAGAAGGAAAATTATTCGAAATGTCATGAGAATGATTATATAGTTAGTTATTCGACATAAAGTTGAGGCTGGAAGGGGAACCAGTTGACCCTGGCTCCGGTCACTATATCAATGGCTCTACCGCCAGTCGGTATTCTGATCTCAGGCGCATCGGTTGCAACATTAAGCCGGCACCGAAAATTTAAATATTAATATATTAAAATTCGCGACGTTTTGGGCTTCTCCTTCCACAGCGCTCAGTATCACTTGCAGTGTTAGGTAACCCTAGAGAAATGATTAAATTATCTATCTTGTGTATCTTCTACCATGTATTGGTACTTGGTTTGGTTTTTGCTCGTAAGTAAAATTTATTATACTATGTTGTTTTCAAGCACAGACAATTTCCTACAAACAATTCACCCGTTATGTTTTATTTTCAATTTATTTCGTTTTCCTTGTTTTGCATTTTTCATCGCTTCTTTTTATGATTACGTTTGCCTTGGAGTGTAAAAATTGACAATGACACATCTAACAATCGAAGATTAGCGATTATTACAGACAGCGTACCGGTGTAATTGATCAAAACTAATAGCGGGAAATAAAACATACGAAGACAACGATGTTACGACATTTGCATGATTCAAGGTCACATAGTCAATTCAATCAATTTTTACATTCCGAAAATGCAACTTTCTCTTTTAGAAAACGAAGGGCAATCGGATTGCACATCACCGCGCGGTGTGGTTGGCTGGTGCATTGGACTACGGCAATGTCCACAGCTATTGTCTATCCTTCAAACCCCTCCGCTTACGTCAGAAGCTATAGAATTTTTAAAGCAATCACAGTGTGGCTTTGATGGCAATGATCCCCGAGTTTGTTGCCCGATTCAAAACGAAAACCCCGATCGTTCTGGCGGAGTGGATGGGGCGGGGGATGCAAACTTCGATCTGTCCAACAATCCTTTATTACCCTCCGATTGCGGCAGAGATCTGTCTCAGAGAATCATCGGTGGAGAACGTACGGATATCGATGAATTTCCTTGGATGGCGCTTTTGATATACCGTAAACGTAAGAACTTTTTAAATAAATATATTTATTCAACGAGGATATTCTACATAAAAATTGATTTATCAGCAAACGGAGAGACTGCAGCTTGCGGTGGAGCCCTGATCAATAATCGTTACGTCCTAACGGCAGCTCATTGCCTGAAGGGCAAGGATTTACCAACCACTTGGCGTTTGGAGAGCGTCCGGTTAGGCGAGTACGACATTAACACCAATCCTGACTGCATCAAGGATGACGCGAATAGCGAGGTTTGCGCTGACGATGCCATCACCGTCGGCATCGAGGAACAAATATCTCACGAAAATTACAATCCACTTAGCAGTGATCAAAAATACGATATCGCTCTTCTAAGGTTAAACCGTGACGTTCCGTTCACGAATTACATTAAACCTATATGCTTGCCACCGAACGACGCTGTCGGTAAGAAATTGTTCGTCGCTGGTTGGGGAAAAACCGAGAAAGGATATTCCTCGAATATCAAGTTGAAAGTTTCTATGCCGCTCGTGGACAAGCAACAATGCGAGGAGAGATACCGCGTAGCACGAGTTCAGTTAGGATTCGGACAGATTTGTGCCGGTGGTCAGAAAGGCAAAGATTCCTGCACAGGAGATTCTGGAGGTCCTTTGATGACCGTAGAAAGAGGTAGCGACGGTGCCGGTCGATGGACCGTCGTCGGTGTTGTCTCCTTTGGACCATCGCCTTGTGGCTTACCAAATTGGCCCGGTGTTTACACCAGAGTAATCGACTATATTCCATGGATACTCAGCAAATTGAAAGCTTAATACTTTGACAATCGAACCTCATAAAATAAAAAAATTTCACGTTATAAGACAACAGCTTGACGAAGAAAGAACAGTCGATGGTGATTGAAAAAATGCATAGATTTTAACATATCCTTGAACCCGTTCCATCGTAATCGTGTCAATAAATACAAATTGCATCGTGTTCGCATTAATGAGAAGAAAAAATATGTTATTTTTAATATTTTTAATACGATTAAGTTATTGCGTAGCATCGATACCATAACAAATTTTGTAATGTATCTGAAAGGTTATCATAGAGTTCACAGATGATAGAGCAAATCGTGTAAACTGTGCATTCTATCACTACACTTACATGTATACCTTTATTACGTTGTTACAATCGTTTGATTTGTCAAACGAATAAAGTTACCTCTTAACACCTTGCCAACTTAAAGCGTATTAATAGCCTATGCCGACGATTATCGCGCGAAGAGGAATTAATAAGACTGTTAGAATCCAAACGTATCGTAACAAGGAAGAGACTGATAATATGAACTAATCTTCTCAATTTATTATTAAATTATATCAGCTCTCTGACTAACACAATGCCTTGAGAACTACACAGGGAAATACTTTATTACCGTTTCTACCGAGAATCGGTGTTACCTGTCGCGTGACGTAAAATCGTTCGACGTCGAAATTGGAAATTCCTGATCTACAAGGAGATACGTATTCCTGGAAGTTCTCTTATGGTCAAACTACCTCGAAGAAATCGGCAAATGCACCGTCAAATATAAGAAGAGACGAGAAAAATGTTCGATCCGTCAACAAAAGGAGCATCGGTCATGATTGAAAATCATACATTTTCATTAAGTAAGTGGAAGAATTTTCCTGGTAGCCCCTACTCCCACGACCTTTCCTTCTTTTCTTCTTTAATTTACAAGACTTATTGAACTCGCAATCAGCAGAGGGCAGCAGTCAGTACAGTGAAGACGATCGCGCGAGACCCTCATCCGCGGTAGCAGCAAATGTATAAACAGTTTTGAAAACTGGTTTATCCGCTTCGTCGCTGGAATCGAAAAATCGTATGAGCGCGACACTGTTGTGCCTCGAAACAGGATTTCCTTGTATTTCGTCGTAAAGATTTAAATGAGGAAGAGAGAAGCGACGGACTACCTCTGAATTTTATTCAAGAAAGACAGTACAGGTGAACCGCGCTTGGAAGCAACATGATCCGTCGCACGCTACTGTTTTTGCTTTTGGTTTTGCACGAGATCAGTTCACGTAAGTGAAATTTCGTTAACATTTTGATAAACAAACTCGTTAATTTTTATTTTCTACCGTGAAATTTGAACAAAGATCGAACGGATTAGATATCACCGTCGAGAAACTGAAGCGTCGAAATTCCTGTCTGTGATTTGTCATTGGTCATTGTTAACGCGCAATACACGCACAGCTTGTAAATGCATCTTGTTCGTGACAATAGCTGAACAATATTGTGATACGCCACGTTGAATACCAACGAAATGTGACATGTTCATTTTTTTTTTCTTCTGTTACAGAAGATCGATGTACCACACCTGATAGCAAATCTGGCACGTGCATTAATATACGAGAGTGTGAAACGTTGGTAGAAATTCTGAAACAACGAAAACCATTAACCAGAGAATTTCTTGATTACCTGAATAGTCTACAATGCGGCTTCGAGGGCACGAATCCGAAGGTGTGCTGCGAACTACAGGTAAACGTTTCGCGCAATCGTACTTTCCACTTTTCCCTTAAACTTCCTTGTGCAGGGAATTTCATCGAATGAGTAATATGACGAAAGCGTTAATCACAGCAGAGTTTACCGGTGACACCATTGAACACGACGGAAACACCAGGCGGGTCAACCACGGTTCCCGATCCCCCGGACGTCTCTGGACATGTGAATTTACGGTTGTTGAATGACGACGATTGCGGACCGGTCACGCAACAGAAAATCGTCGGCGGTGATAAAACCGGCGTGTTTGATTATCCGTGGATGGCGTTACTGTTTTACAACACCGGTAAACCGATTCCAGAATACCGATGCGGTGGATCGCTGATTACCAAACGATACGTCCTCACCGCTGCTCATTGCGTTACCTCGTTACCTCCCAGTAAGTCAATCGCGATGTCCTTCTAACGCTTCCACCATCATCTCACATGATTATGTTTGTTTCAGATCTGTCGTTGGTCGGAGTGCGATTAGGAGAGCACAATTTGGCCACGGAACGTGATTGCGACAAGGAAGCGGACGGTCTCGAGGTGGTTTGCGCCGAAAGGTATCAAGACTTTGGTATAGAAAGCACCCATTCTCATCCAGAGTACTCGAGAGCAAAATTACACAACGATATCGCTTTGATACGATTGAATGCGGACGCTGATTTTCGACCGCAAAATGTTCGACCGATCTGCATGCCGTTTGGATCAGCCACCACTTTGAGCAAGAGAAAAGTAAATTCCGATTGATCATCTTTTTATCCGGTATGCGTACGTTTCATTCTCGTGTTTTTAATAGGTGACAGTAACGGGTTGGGGCGCCACAGACCTTGGACCACGCAGTCAAGAGTTGCTGCAGGTTCACTTGTCACCGGTTAATACCGAAGAGTGTGCAGAAATTTATAAGAGAAAGACGCAAATCTGGTATAAACAAATGTGTGCTGGTGGTAAAAGAGGAATGGATTCTTGCTCGGGAGACAGCGGTGGACCGCTTCAGGCTCCTGAAATATATAACGGCAATGTAAAATATGTACAGTACGGAATTGTTAGCTTTGGGCCAAATAATTGTGGTACAGAAGGAGCTCCTGGTGTTTATACCAGGGTTACATATTACATGGACTGGATCCTAAGCATCATTAAGGAGTAAAGTAACATACGCGAATTAAATTATTGATAAAGTTGCATTTATACAGCTGATAACTTACCGCTGAACCTTTGTTTTTTTAACGCAATCAGTGTATTGCACTAGAGACAGCATTCTACTTTATCTTTGAATTTTTTTACTTGCAGTAATAGATATGTTACGATTATACATGATTGTATATATGTATATGCACATGTTGATCGCATACACGATTCAACATGTTTCACACGAACCAGTTTTTTAACTAACAATATTCCAATGAATTTTCACGAATTGAATTTCTATTTTTAATACATGTATAGAATTAAATATAAAGTTTAGAAACTTACAGGTACTAGACACGATTGCTTTTAAAACTTTTACATAATTTTTGCTTGACAAATGATTAATAATTATCTTTTTGTGTATGTTCATCATCCCTAAATACTCTTTCCTCGTGTTTGTCGCTATAGAAATGTTCGTTATCAGGTAATTTTTCATTTCTGTCATGATCTTCAATTAACTCCGCAGTCTCATTTATAGAAACTTTTAATTGACTACGATCTCCCTTCTTCTTGGAAAATGAACCTTGAGATTTAGTTGTAGATCTTTCAGAAACCTTCGATGTGTCTGTGTTCGACGATTTAGTCGACTGACTTGTGGACAATGAAGTTCCTGAAGAACTAGTTATCGATCCAGAATCCGGTCGAGAAACATTTTCGCAATTAATATACGAATCTACGCTATTGGATGCATGTTTATGCGACTTCTTTTTCTTCCTGCGGTGCGATAACTTTGCACCATCCTTCTGTTGTGCCTTTATCAACGACTGATAACTCTAGAAAGCATTTTCATAAATAATCCATTTAGCTGACATTTATCTAGTGAATTGGTGAGTTTCACTCACCTGAGAATGACGTTCGAAAAGAGTTGGTATTTGCGTCACACGATCTATCATCATTTCCATCTGCAAACGATGTCGTTCTGCCTGTTCGCGTGCTTCATCGCGACGAAGCGAGGTTCTAATGTTAAGATCTCGCTCGTGTTCGTGCCTTACATTTGAAATTTATGAACATACTCGTGATATATTTTTTGTACAGAGTACTTTACTTTCAATAAATCATACCTTGCTGCTGATCTTAAGGCTCTCCATACCGGATTACGTCCAATTAAAGATTCTCTGAGTTTCATTTCTTGCTCCTTTCGTTTCTCTTCCATTCTTTCTCTTATTTCACGTTCTAGTTTTTCCCTGTAACATGAATATAAAAGCGTTTGATTTCTTTTCTTCGAGATATAAATAAAGATGCATGGTCACCGAAGGTATACGTAGTTCTGTAGTACCGTGACATCTGGCATCTTAAAATCGCCGCTAAATTATTTCCCCGTAATGGTAAAAGTGACATCATAGATCTATATCCTTCTAATGGTATTGAAGTATTACTTGACAGTCGCGAAGTATTCCCATTCTCAGTATTCTCGTTCATCATTGTACTCCGCAAACGCGTACACGTAGACTTGACGCGCTCTCGTCTCGCCATTGACGGTGGTAAGGAAGAAGATTTCATCAGTTGAGCAGCTCTTATTTTTTTTTGTAATTGCCTAAACATTATATAAAATATACTGATACAATAAGCATTCTATGATCTCACTACGTATATTATACTGACCTGTAGTACTCATCTTCGAGCATACGATCGTATATCTCGGTACTAAAAAGATTCTTTGGTACAGGTTTTGCCTTAAATTTCGCATTCGCGCTAACGCTTCTGCCACGAAGCTCTGGACTAGATCTTGCTAAAGATCTCCAAGCTCGCCGATCACATTCGAGCCTAAAAGGGCGAACTTGAGACATTAAATTTAGAGCACTTTCTTCGCGGACTATGCGACTCCTAAAACATAGATACCAAAGGAGCTATACGTATGTTATTATACATCATTATGTTAAATTTGGAAAAAACAAACCTTTCTTCTTTTTCTGCTAGTAGTTTGTTATATAAAGGAATCTTAGATGTAAGTGGAATTGATCTTACACGTCGTTTCCTATAAAGATTCTTTTTATTATTCCCTAAATTTTTCTGTTTTACTTCTTTACCGATTTCAACATTTGCCATATACTTTTCTGCTTCCTCTCTGTAGATTTTGTACCATAAAATTCATGTAATTGAACTCTTACATTGATATCATGAAAGACTTGTGTTCTTTATTACCTTAGTGTAAAACTAAATGGTTGAGGAACAGTAGGATGCCATTCCTTTGTAATGCTAGCTGGTAAACTTCTTGTTTCTATACTGTCTATATCACTTTCCATACTATCATCACTGTTTAATCTACTCAATGTTTTACAGTTTTTACTAGCTGAATATACTTTTTCATTTCTTTTATCTCTTCTGCTGCATCTGAAAGTAATGACATTACAGTCTAAATATTATAAAATGTACTTATGTTCATTCAATTACAAATACCTATTTGTAAAAAGATCTTGATCTTCTGTGAGCCCATTAAATTTATCAGAAGAGAAGAACATAGGACTAGAAATTCTAGATTCTTCAAAGTAACATTTTTTACCATTCAATTTTAAGTCATTAATATCATTCTTGTTTTTAATTTTTGATTGTATTTCATTACACTTTGATGTTGAAAGTTTAGACACATTTATATTTTCTTGTGCAGTAAGCGTATCTTGTAAATTTTCTAATAATAATCTTTGTTTTCTTTTCAGGTAATCTACTTTTTGTTTAAATTGCTCATTTGATAAATGATGAACTTGACCATAATCTGGTATACTCTCTAAAAATTCCAAGAAATTGTCAACAATTTCTCTAGAGTTTGATGCCTCTGATTCATTAAGAAACTGATCATTTTCTGCAAAGTTTATTTTACAGTTGCTGTCTTTATTATTTTTTAGAGGTCTAGGGCGTTCATAAGAAGGTGTTGGTTGCCTACTGTAAGGATCCACTGGAACTTTTACACAAGAATTGTAAAATGAGTTACCCCTGTGCTCAGTCATTACCTATTAAAATAATTGAAATTCTATTATAGTGCATCCTTAGTTATTTCTAAATTAGAAAAGACTAAACCAATTAAGAATTATATAGAAACAAATTTCAACTCAACAGCATTCAAATCAAAAGAACCGCGCTAGTATTTTTGACGTTCATATCGATCAACGAATCAATATACCTTATAAAATAAATTTAAATTATTATTTTTATTTATTTTTAAATCCATGGGTATTGATGCTTACCTTCGTTAAAAAATTTACATTGACAACTTTGCATTTGTTGATATGCTATGAATTGACGGTAAGGTTCAAATTAAATATCAACATATATAAAAGATTATAACTTTATTCTATCCATCACCATTTCATCGTTATCATACAACACATTTAACACAATTATCCAAGTTTTAACAGAGTCATTCATTTTGTAATATCCTTATCTCTACGTGAAAACAACTTTAAGGAAAAATCAATGTAACCTCATCGCTATATTCGTCACCATGGTGAACATAGTACATTAAAGAAATGGAACTAATGTTACAGTATAATTAAAATTGTCTATTATTTTGTCAGCATATTCATTAACATAAAACAATCTACATCTTAAATATAATTAACCTAATATTTATTTTTGTATTGAAGATTATATCTAACATTGCTACATGCACGCCAAACTATATGACATAATAGGTAGTATTGAAGGGAGAGTACATACAATTGTGTCGCTTAAACACGTATGAATTAGTAATTAGTGGTAATTATTGGTTGCTGCTGATAGTCTGAAAAGTTATGAACGATGGAATATTTGAATTTACCAGATGATAAAATTTTATATAAAGCTATTATGGAAATTAATGAACCAATATTATTTAAAAGAATACTACAAGATACAAAAGGTCAATATGCATGGAAATTATTTGAATGGAATTTGTTGGAATTTACTGAAAAACTAGGAGACACCAAGTTACCATTTCGAGTTGGTTATAATGCCAGATCTGTGGTAAATTATTATTTAAACTTTCTTATTTCCTCTTTACATGATAAGTTTTAAAATGTCATACTTTCCAGGATCCTCAATGGGAAGAAAATTGTTCTACAGTTTCAATGACGCTATCAGAATTTATTAACCATATAACTATGAATGAAAATGACACAAAATGGTATTATTTTGATTATAAATATATGCAAGAATGGTTCAAAGATAAGTCAGAGGTAATAAATTCAATAACTTGGAAAAGATTTGGTATTGATAAAGATGGTACTGATTCTACTCTCTGGATTGGAAGCAAATGTGCTCATACAAATTGTCATCAAGATTCATATGGCTCTAATCTAATAGCACAAATTCATGGAAAGTTAGTGGTACTCAGTTTAACATTTAATTTCTTAAATTATATAGATAATAAAATTACTTTCGTTTACACTGTTTTAGGAAACAATGGTTATTGTTCCCCCCAAGTTCAAGTAAATTTCTTCAACCAACAAGAATCCCTTATGAGGAGTCTACAGTGTACAGTAAATATAATTTTTTCTGCCCTACAGAAGAGGATGAAATAAATGTATTAAAAATACAGGAGAAACCAAAACTGGTAATTCTTGAGCCAGGAGATGTGTTATTTGTTCCTCCTGGTTGGTGGCATTATGTTGAATCACTTGATCTTACTGTTAGTGTAAATATATGGTTACCAATAGTGGAAGATCATATGTCACGAGTTAAGGAAGCTGTTGTTAAATTAATAATGGCTGGAATTGGAAAAAGTATTTGCAATATTACTGATGAAGCTGGCTGTACGTTACCTGATTGTATAAGTTTGGTAATTATAACATTATAATAATGATTATTCTTAATATAAATATTAAAAACTAAAATTATTTTATTCAACAGCTAAATATTGCCCTTGAGCAGTGCAAAAATGTGGAAACTAAAGAATCATCTTTTAAGAAGATGAAACATAGTACATGGACAGCTACAGATTTAGCAGCACAGTATCCAGTTTATGTGAAACTTCTCCAAGAGCTTGATGTATCGGAATTGGAAGAGTTTCTGAAAACGAACAGAAGAAGATTTCCTGAGAATAGTATTGAATTATTAAAAAATAATCATTCTGAAATTGACACTGTTGTACAAAACAGTTCTGCAACTCAGAAACTATCCAAAGATATTATTAATGCACTTTGTCATACTGATGTTGTTACTAAAGTTACAGAATTACTTTTATCTTGAAACTTGTATCTTTATTATTTAAAATAATAGTGGAACGCCCCGTGCTATCCCTGTATCCCTTATATCACTACATTCCCTATATTCCTGCATCTCGTATATGCCGGCATTCCTTATACCTCGGCATCCCTCACATTTTTGCATCCCTTACATCTCTGTACCCTTTATATCTCTGTACCCTCTATATCTCTTACACTCCTGAATTCTCCCTGCATCCCTCGTATCCTTTCAACCCTTATAATAAATATATTATAAATAAAATACTTATGGACACTGGTTTGGGTAAAGGTAAGTAAAGTTCCGTGAAACATACTTTTATACTTAAATTTTTGCAAAATTTAGTTCCTTTTTTCGAAACCAGATGGCGCTGATTCGACGTCGAGATTTTAGTTCAAATTTTTCCCGCTAGAGGGCCAAAATTTCGGCGAGGTTTAGTTCCTTTTTTCGAAACCAGATGGCGCTGATCCGACGTCGAGATTTTAGTTCAAATTTTTCCCGCTAGAGGGCCAAAATTTCGGCGAGGTTTAGTTCCTTTTTTCGAAACCAGGTGGCGCTGATTCGACATCGAAATTATAGTTCAAATTTTTCCCGCTAGAGGGCCAAAATTTCGGCAAGGTTTAGTTCCTTTTTTCGAAACCAGATGGCGCTGATTCGACATCGAAATTTTAGTTCAAATTTTGGCCGCTAGGGGGCGCTGTTTTTTCGAAATTTTAGCGAAATTCTCTATGTAAGGAATGTAGGGATGTAAGGGATGAAGCGATGAAAGGAATGTAGGGATGAAAAGAATGGAGGGATGTAAGGGGTGAAGAGATGTAAGAAATGTAGGGATGAAAAGAATGGAGGGATGAAGAGATGTAAGGAATGTAGGGATGAAAAGAATGTAGGGATGATAATAATGTAGGGATGGAAAGAATGTAGGGATGAAGAGATGTAAGGAATGTAGGGATGAAAAGAATGGAGGGATGTAAGGGGTGAAGAGATGTAAGAAATGTAGGGATGAAAAGAATGGAGGGATGAAAAGAATGTAGGGATGATAATAATGTAGGGATGGAAAGAATGTAGGGATGATAAAATGTAGGGACTTAAGGGATGAACAGATGTAAGGAATGTAGGGATGACAAGAATGTAGGGATGATAAGAATGTAGGGATGAAAGGAATGTAGGGTTGAGAAGAATGCAGGGATGTACGGGATGCAGTGATGTAACGAAACGAGGGATGTAAAGGAATCCCGTAGGGGTCCGGGGCTGGGGCCCCGGTCTCCATTGCAGGGGGCTCGAGGAGTGCCGGCATCGGGTGTGGCCCCCGATGTCGGCGGAGTTTGGCACCAGACAGCGGGTCAAAGGACCCTCCCTACCGCCCTACTGCAGGCCACCGTGGTGGTTTTAGTGGGTAAAAATCCCACACTACCTCCAGCCCCTCCCCAGGGGGGCTGAAGGTGTCTTTCTGAAGATTTCCACCACGTTAACAAAAAAAAAAAAAAAAAAAGGGGGGGTATTTAAGGGTTGCAGGAATGCAAGGATTGCAGGGATGTAAGGAATGCTGCGATGGATGGAATGCAGGGATGTATGGGTTCCTGAGATGGCCTTGGCCTATAATGAGGGATAAAATTATATAAAGAACTGGAAAAAGTAAAATAAATGGGGTCCTCGGCGGGGACCCAGGAGTGGAATATAATTATAAATGTTATCCGCTTTGATGAGCTTATTTAATAAGCAAAAAAAAATAAATTAAGTAAATTAAATAAACTCTGGAAAAAAACTTATATTGGTTGTACCCCTCTTTGAACGGTCCTGACATTATCCGGGGTTTCGGAGACCCCAAAGCACCAATCACTCTCATTACATACCGACAATACGGTATCTGGGGTTTCAGGGACCCCGAGTACCCTCCTGGGGTGCCAAGGACCCCTGTTACCAACCCTGGGTCCTGAGAACCCCTGCTAACATCCTGGGGTTCTCAGGATCCCATAATACACTTCCGGGGTTCTCAGGACCCCGCGATACAGCCTTGGGGTTCCCAGGAACCCGGAATACAAGTTTGGGGTTCTCAGGACCCCGGGGATACGATTCTGGGGTTCTCAGGAACCCAGTACAAATTTGGGGTTCTTAGGACCCCGGAATACAAACTCGGGGTTCTCAGGACCCCGGGATACAAACTTGGGGTTCTCAGGACCCCGGGATACGATTCTGGGGTTCTCAGGACCCCGGAATACAAACTTGGGGTTCTCAGGACCCCGGGATACAAACTTGGGGTTCTCAGGACCCCGGGATACGATTCTGGGGTTCTCAGGACCCCGGAATACAAACCTGGGGTTCTTAGGACCCCGGAATACAAACTTGGGGTTCTCAGGACCCCGGAATACAAACTTGGGGTTCTCAGGACCCCGGAATACAAACTTGGGGTTCTCAGGACCCCGGAATACAAACTTGGGGTTCTCAGGACCCCGGGATACAAATTTGGGGTTCTCAGGACCCCGGGATACGATTCTGGGGTTCTCGGGACCCCGGAATACAAATTTGGGGTTCTCAGGACCCCGGGATACAAACTTGGGGTTCTCAGGACCCCGGGATACGATTCTGGGGTTCTCGGGACCCCGGGATACAAATTTGGGGTTCTCAGGACCCCGGGATACGATTCTGGGGTTCTCAGGACCCCGGGATACGATTCTGGGGTTCTCAGGGACCCGGATGCATATTTGGGGTTCTCAGGACCCCGAATGCGATCTTGGGGTTCTCAGGGACCCAGAAGCAAATAGCGAAATATAAGAACGAAAAACGAACAAATCGTGAAACTCACTTGTTCGGAATAGTGATGGGTTTGACCGGATCTAGCGAAATATAAGAACGAAAAACGAACAAATCATGAAGTTCACTTGTTCGGAATAGTGATGGGTACGACCGGATCTGTAGCCCATGCGCTCTATAATTATTTATTATACAACATACTTGTAAATAATTAAGAAATTATTATGAAAATGATATATTAGCAAATCACAAACGATTTCCCATCAATTACGGTTATCAGTTATCACATAATCTGCTTATTATAAAAGATTAATAAAGAGTTTCGGCTCACATCATAAAAGAAATAAAATTGCTAATTATAAAAGAACTAATTTGTTACAAGCATTAAAAATAGAGTATAGTAGGGAAGCGGGGTCCTCGGAACCCCAGCATATAGGCGCAGCGGGGTCCTCGGAACCCCTGTACAGCAAACTGCTTGTCGACTAGTTTGCGACTTTCGCCGATAGATGGCGCCAGCGCTTTACTGTGCTGGGGTTCCGAAGACCCCGTGGAACCTTTAGCGCTGGGGTGCTGCGGACCCCGCTTGGGGTTTCGAGGACCCCGATTGTAGATGGCTCTAGGATTGAACTTTATAAAGTACTTAGGTTTTGGCAGTTTTTTTAAAACATACGTTTGTGAATACAGGAAATGAAATAATAACAGCTGGTTTCTTAAAATGCGCATTAGAAAGACCATTTATTTCTTTATTATATAATTTTTTGTTTCATGATATCAATCTATTACCAACACTGTAATATAGACAGGATTTATGAGGAATAAAACCATCCGATTGTGATAGTTTGAGAAAAAGAAAGTCCGGACGATAATAAAATCAATAAAATTAGTTACAGTAGCCGTAATTAATAATTAAAAACTATTAATGCTTATGCATGATTTTTTAACATTTATAGTAGCGTTCCAGTGAATGATAATCATAATACAATTATATATTTATATATATATAATATATTTATATATTTATATATTTATATATGGTAGTAACAACTGATATTATCGGATTGGCCTCGTTAAAAACTATAAAAAAAGAAAAAAGAAAAACAGTAACAACGACGACGACGATACCGACGACTCCGTGATGGGTCTTATCACGAAACTGTTCATCGTAAACGTCTTATCAGACGACTAACTATATACACTATTGATCAAAAATATTTGAGACAATCGACTTCTGACGCTACAACCAACATTTTTATCAAATATGTAATGAAAGATTGTTAAATTTACTTCGTTTAGAATTGCACACTTGTCTTTGATTTTCTAATTTAGAATCTATATAATTTTAGAAATTTACAAATTGCTTCCATTGTTTTTAACACGTTAACAATAGACAATTAGAAATGAAGTGGATTCCAATTTTTGATCATTAGTGTAGAAACGAGTGTCACGCGTTTCCTTCAACATCATCATTATTCTTTCTCTCGCGGTAACAGCTCTTTCTATCGAACAATCGTTCATTATTTTTTAATCGACAATATTACAAAAATTATAGGTAAAACGTACACTCGTTCTACGCTGTTGAATCAATCAGACAGAGAGAATTATGAACGAATTCTATCCAAGATCATTTATGATAGGTCCCTACTGATGAGCGGGACACTTTCTTCCTAAACGACTAATTCTCTAAAAAAATGCATTGGCACTTTCCGCGTGTGAATCGCGATCGTTGAAAAATCGCGACTCAAAACGATTCACGACTTATATAGCCTTATAAAAAAAAAAGTCTCCGTACACTTCGTCCAAGATTACTCAACCATATGTACAATCCCAGCATTACTACCAGAAATACAATTATATAATTCTTTTTTTTTTTTTTTAATTTTCAATTTTCAATTTGCTACTCTACATTGCAACGATTTTTATTATTCAATTGTATTAAAATTATGGTTAACTGTAAGAAAAATATGTGATTATAAAAATTATCCAGCTCGACGACGGTGCATTTTCTTATTATGCTTTTTTAAAAATTAGATTTAAAAAGGATTAGAGCCCCCAAGCCGGTACTGGTTATATTACATATATCATACTTTCGTCCCCTTCGAATTTGTTTGAAAAAAGAAATATGAAAGAGAAAATGAGAATAGTTACTGGTCACAGGGCTTATCAGACAATATAATATTACAAAAATGATACAATAAATTCAAGAACCTCTAACACGAGGTGTACGGAAACTTCTCCGACTAACTGTAGCACAATTCACCAATGAAAAAATATCAATATCTCTGTACGATACCATAAGCCTCGATCATCTTCGAGGATCGTCGTTCTAGCTTTTAATTGCCCGCAACCAATACCAATCTTACATATAAAATCTTGCACACCATATTGCAATCCTCTTTTCCATTTTCATATTCTCCTTATTTTTTTTTCATCTAATTTGATGAGCTATGTATCACTTCGGTGCACATAGCGAACGCTTTTAAACGAGATTCCGATCTAACAGAGTTCCAAATAGGTCTGGCTGCACTTGTAGCAACCCGCTGTTGGACAGTGTTGAATCATAGTCGAAATTCTCGAACATGATCGGCGAGGACGGTGAAACAATGGTACCTCCGTTTATGAATGTGTTGGACAGTTGTTTACTCGAGACTGGACTTAATTGGTCGAAGGATGATGATATGGTGGAACCAACAGAATCGGGACACTGAGGCACCATTTGGTTCTCCAGGTTCACTGACAGAGGTGTTGTCAAATGTTTTGGATACAGCGTTGGCACGTTGCGTGAATCCATCAAGTTTTCCTGTAAAATTAAACAGACAGATTAGTAATATCATAGAAACCATTATGACACTATGCCACCTATCCAAGTTCCACAATTCTTATTAGCTGTTATGGGGATCTGACAATTCCACATTTATAGTTAGTACTTTAGTATTTCTTTTTAGAAACCCAAGGAAACTATGAGGGTGATATGAATACACTAATGGGACTCAGAATTCAAGGACCCTTCTTCCCCTCCTGCTTTTGTAATTGCTACTACTCTAATTTTAATTAGTATAATAATTTCTTAAATTTCAACCCCAGTCCCTCAAGATTAGTAGTGAGAATTCGTGGAAAATGTTGGTGTATCCTTAACATTACAACTCGGAGAGTAAAAGATTTATAAAATTTACAATAGAAGTTACAATACTAAGTTCCTCAATAAAACGCAAAGATGAACCTCAGCCCTCCAAAGGTCTCTGTTTCGCAACTCTACTTCCATAATAATCAATGTTTTCGTAATTGATCACGAATCGACGGAGTGCTGCGTTTCGTGTGAAAGAACAGGAGAATATAGGAAATTTTACGATACAAATAATATTAATATCAAGCTACTGTATTTATATTCATCGTCGCGTTTATTACAATTATTCTGTTCCTTTTAAAATACAGAAATATATTTTCCACTCTATAGGATTTCAACGTATTCTTTTCCTACCACTCCATAGTCTATTATCATAAAACTACAATTGATAAGAATTACTCTAAACGATTCTAAATGTGTAACAAAAAAAAAAGAATCTAATCATTCCGTTGTCCTCGATCGATTCAAAGAGCAACCATATAATAATTAATATATATTATCGTTGAATTTTCATTATCTAAGACTAAAGGAAATATCATTCGTGCAATATCTTCTGACACGATCATTTGGTAAAGCAAACACAAGAAAATCCAGCGATCAACGGTATCGATAATTCTTCTTTATTGCCCGCAATATATGCTCTTCGAATAGATACTTATATTTGTAAAAAATAATATAACAAACACGGTGTGTACTTGATGGAGTGCGATTGGAGCGGAGGGATGAGAAAGAAGGAGGAAACGAAACGCAGCAAAATTTCAGATGATTCGATGTTCAATGTTCAATGTATTTTGACAATCTTCAATCAACAATTTCCATATACTTTCAAGTAGAATACATAACGTGACTTTAAAAGAGCGATACGATTAAACGAACTACGGAACGAGCAAAAAAGTTACATTTTTGTCTCGTAATATTCCACGCTACTCCTGTATCCGTTCTTCCAAATTCAATCTATCCCGGATACAGGAGACACGGATTTCTTTCTAATATTTTTTTTTTTTGTACTTGTTCCAATTTCTCAACTCTTAATACTCTCGGTTCGATCTCCCTTTTTCAGCTACGAGTAATCGCGATTGCACCGCTAAGAAATATTTATCGAGTCCATCTCGATGGCAAGTAGGCATAGTAAGATCCTTCACTGTCTCATCGGCCTATCCATCTTGCGATTCGTTTCTCGTTTTCAAACTATCCACCGTATTACAGGATGAAAACCGAAAAAAAAAAAAAAAGGGAAAAAGATAGAGAAACGTAATCGAGTGCGTGGGCGAGCGATCGACCGTCTCAATCTTAAGAGTCTATGAACAAAGGTACGATCCAAACGGACGGTCGATACTTTGCTTACTCAACCAAATGTACATTTCGAGACGCTGAACGAACGTTCCTTGAACATGAAGAAGACAATGGACAGAATCGTCAGGAATAAATGGTTCACGCGCTCGCGATACTCTTGGAGGGCTTCGGTTTAGCGAAGCAAACGTATCCCGCACTCACGTCGCAGCCGGACACCAGGAGATTCATTAGCACGCTGTTGCACGCCGGAGGATTCCGCTTAGAGGTCGCGTCGCCGTTTTCAATCCCCTTTCGACGACACTTGTCTCCCCCGCCGCCTTTGGTACCACCTCGGTCCACTTCGGTCTCGTCCACCTCCGGTTCCGTTTGCATCCGGTCCTTGTTACGTCGATCGTCGAACGACTCGTTGGAGTAATCGTTGCTCCTAAGGGCCGTTTGCTGCTGGGACACCAAACGTCGAAGAAGCTGACTGTCGGTGACGCTCGGCGTCTTCCTCGAGCTAACCTGTTTACCCAACAGATGATCCTCCAGGACTAAGCTGCCGCGCTTCGTGGACTCGTCGCATTTGATACGTTTATTGTCGTTGCCTATCGTGTCCATCGAGGAGGCAGTGTGTATACGTTTCGTTGGTCTGTCCAGCTTGGAGGACCAATTACAGCTATCTAGATTTGTGTCTGAAGCGACAAAAATTTGATTATCCTCTGTTTGAAATTTCGCGTACAGATTATGCTGGTATAATGGAAACTTACTTTTCCGAGGTATTTGACCGAGAACCTGAACCGGATTAACCAGGCCCCCTCCATGGTCGTTGTACTTTCTGGAAACAACTTGGTCCGTTTTTAAGAGCTGTGCTAAACTGGAATCGGACGTTCGTTGTTCTTTTTCATCTAGCATCCTGTAAAAGAGATCATTGAGATACAGTTAGGACACGTTCTAGGTTTTCTTCTGTCCCTGACGAAAGCACTTCCTACCATTTTGGACAACTTTTATCCGTCGTATGTGGTGGGCTCCACATAACCATGTTGTTACTGATCAGCAAGTCGAGTGCCTCGTCCTGATCGGACATCGGGATGTACGGTGCTCGGAGTGCTAATTCATCGTCAGCCATGCTGTCGCTCAAACCTAACATTAACATTTCATCTTCTGATAATCCATCCGCCCCACTGCCAGCTGTTGGGCTTCCTAGCGAGTCTATACTTCGTTCTGGACTCTGAAACAAAAGAAAATAAAATTAGTTCAGTTCCTATTTTACCTCATGAGAACCTTGACTCGTTCCCAAAGACTGAAAGGACATTAGTGGGACATCGCTACCTGGCAGACCGTTTGGGGTACAGATCCTCTTGAGAGTAAAAGTCAACATCTCACAGAGAGGAGTTTTACTCTCGAGTGGACTGATGGACTCCCTCCTTGGATCCACAAATGCCTTAGGCACCTTGGAAGATGTCAAGAGAAAAGAAAAAAAAAACTCACTTGACGATATTTAGAGAGGGTAGGCGAAACCGAGTTCGGATCGATGCTGCAAGGACTGCCAGGAGAGTCTCCGTACATAAACGGGTCGCTGTCGGCGAGAGACACCCCGAGGCTCTTGTTCCTCGAATCCCCCAGGTCGGCGTCCTTCAAAGGATCGCCGAAATCCGTGGGTCTTAGTTCAGGCGCGAGGGCACCGCCGGGGCTAAGCAGGGGACAATAGCTGTCGTTGGCGAGGATGAACTCGTCCAGCATGTCGGAGAGGAATGGGGTGTCTTCCAGGGGGACGCAGACGTCACCAGGTGTAGGCGCCAGATGGGTCAGATCCTCCGGTTCGTCCTTCAACACTGTAACCAGACATCGGGAGTCGAAAACATCGATCGAGCAACGCCTCATAAGACCGGTTTACTTCCGGAACAATAAATAACCAGCCCGTCTCGCGTTTCAGGTTTCCGCGCGGCAAGATTTACTGCTACCGAGTCTAACTACGAATTTGTTCATGCCGGTTACGAATGCTTCTCCCTCCCCCCTTGGTCATCTTATCTCTTTCTCTTTGTCCTTTTTGCTGGCTCTGTTATCGTCGCGAAGCTGCGTATTGCAACACTTGTCAATGATTATCGGGCTGGCGAGAGAGATGAAACTCGTAGGCAGAGGAAGCTGTGTCGCAAACCGCTTAGGAAATTGGGAACAGCTTATCCAAATGTCAACCGTCGATTGTCATTTAATTAGTTTGTCATTTAGATTGGACAATTTTGTTGACTCTTAAGGATTACAACAGACACGCGGTAAATTCCTGAAGCAGCGTCAACAGCAGGACACTTGGACAAAGTTCCCTATTTCAAAGGAGAAAATACACCCACTCGTTAGGCCTGGATGATCCTCGCTGAAAGTTAAGAAGCCTTTGTTCATGTCCTCGGTACGAGGCGCGAAGATGCTCGCTGTTGCAGTTTGCGGCGGTGGTCTGCAGGGTATCTGTTCCTGTTGCTGTTGTTGTTGCGCGGTGATCGGCGCGAACAGGTGTCTGGTCACGGTCTGAGGCCTGTCCTGACGAACCGTTGTCTCCGGATCGTATTCCACTGCAGGTTTACCCTAGAGCAGACCGAACACCGTCAGCCGTATTTCATGATGCGTCGATTCAAGCCGAAGGTTTTGAGAAATCATAGCCAAAAACACGCCACAGTCCTTACTTTTGCATCTAAAGCTTGTAAAGCAGATGACGTGCTGGTATTTCTCTTAGTTCCGGTGGACAACACCATAGATCTAAGCCCTCTCTTTCTTACCCTTCAAGCATCGATTCTCAAAACTTTCAGCGTAACCCCATGGGACAAAGCCGAAACTTACCTGGAACACGAACGGAGTTCGGCCAGTCGGCTGCTGACGGTTCTGCTGCTTCCGTTTCGGCTCGTTGTTCTCCTTCAGCGATTCCTCGAGCGAGTCCTTGAGAGCTTGCACACCGACGAACGATTTCTCTGTAGCGTGGACCGGTCTCGGGAAGGTGTTATCCTTCCGCGAGCCGTCCTGAAGCTGAGGAGATCCCTTCTTCGGTTTATTAGCCGCCAGACGGAAAGTCGAGGCGGTCACTGGCAAAGATTTCGCGGGTTCGAAGGTAGCCGACGGTAGTTCCGGTTGTTGATCGACCGTCACGGAAAGCTCGCGATCGACGATGTCGAATGTGACAGCCTCCTCGACTTTGTTGCTATTCACTCGGAGCTGCAGGTGAAGCTTCGCCGGGGTCGGTTCGACTACGTCGCTCGAGCCGACGTTTACCTTGTCCGGCTTCACGACGTTCTCGGTGTCGCGTGCTGCGAGCTGCCTCGCGCTGTACACCTCATCCTCGCGTTCCACGCCGCTGAAATCAGAAATCCTACCTGGTGGAGACTGAAGAATGGCCCCACGCGGTCTGCCGAGGTAGCATGGTTCACGCAACGAAACTCACGCGTCCAACTTTATACCGCGACGATCAAACGGAACAACGACACGATCGAAGATCTATGCCAGTGATCAAAGCCGAGTCGCTCGAATAAACCGCGACGAGCATCTTCGACGACGGCCTAGTTAGAGAAGAGGCTTGAACGGCCGCGAACGATGTTCGAGCTCCCCCCCGTTCTATCGGCTCGTTCGGGTCCTGACCCTCGTACGAAAGAGCGAAGCACATGGCCACGGCTTTTAGCTCGCGAGTTTATACACTTACGTAACAATTACGCGCTCGATCGGACCGGCAGAGGTTGCGAACCGCGTGCGCTCGCTCCAAGAGGCCTCGGAAAAAACACTGCTCTCCTATGACCAACCATGAACGCAAATCCTTCGCTACATCTTTATTTCCAATATCATTTTTCTCCATCGTCTACGTCTCGTAGCTCTGGGTCACGATTAACCGAGGGGGGGGGGGATCAAAATTAACTCAACTATTACACGCTGCTACGCGTGTAATAAAAGTATGGTCGTTGTGTCTCTAATAAAAATTTTCCTCCGCCCATTGAATACCGGAGAAAAAGATTGATCCGTGAACTTGTAATCATCTGGGTCAGATTTTATAGCATTGAATTTTTCTGTGTACATCGGGTGAGCTAACAGAAATCATTCTTGCTTATTAATAGTTAAACTAAGATGGTTGGGTCAACGGTGATCCTGACCTACAGAAGGTGGTGCAATGGTACGCTCGCGATCGAAGCTGGCTTTCCTAGGGAAAATAGAGACATAGGGAAAAGTGGAATCCTCGAAATGTAGGTACTAGCAATCGGTACTTGGGATACGGTTCCCTTTTCGCTACATTTTCATTTTTCTTAAATTCAACTTAAATGATACGTTAAACGAGAAAAGATTCGATTCTGCTATCCAAGGGTTAAAAGGAGGGTTCCCGATCAATTTAGCAGACGCATAATCAGTCGTTCTATTTAGGTATATCTCGAGCCAGATAAATCTCGTAATTTCACGATAAGAAGAAGCATGTTACAGAAGAGACGACGATGTTCCACTACACGTTCGTAAATCACTTTCCCGTTGGCCACGTCCAACTAATACCTGATCGTTAATAGAACAAACAGCCGCTACTTCCGCTCTCGTAAAAGAGCGTAGACGGAGTTTATGAGACATCTCGACGCCGGGAACAATGTAGAAATGCTAGCAAATATGTACGTAGATAAATTGTTGAAGTTAATTTCATCGTGTGATATGGGTTATCGCGAAGGTTAAGGCTGTTCGCGATTTACAAGAGGATCGAGGCTGAAGGAACGCGAGCGGAGGCTTAATCGCGCGCATGTAAACGAGCCGCCAAGGATTTTCACGGGGGAGGGAAACGGATAAGCGGGAAAAATTCCGCGACGAGGAAACCAGACGCGAGTGTGGCTAAGAATCAGGTTGAATTTCTATCGACGTCGAGTTTTCAAAAAATTTTCAAGCTCTTGAAAATATTGACGGTCTAAGAACCTCGTGGGCGAAATTTTCAAGAACGGCTTGAAAATTTGCAAGATAAAATATTTATCGATGGACGCGTGGCCAGCAATTCGAGACGCGTTTCGTCACGCCGCGGCGTGTATACGTCGACTGGAGCAGTAACCGACTTTAACCAGTCGCAACGGCTTGGTAATTGTCGTAAATTGACCAGCGGGACCCCAAACATGGACGATAGGAGCATAGTCGGTCGAACGCGTGGAAATCACGCAGGAGAATCTCGTCGAGAATGCCGTCTGCTGAAACTTCTGGCGCGGATGTGCCCGCGTCTGCTAGCTCGCGTGTAAATAACCGTTATTTCCCTGATAGATTTTTCGTATGAAAAGAGATTTCAAAGAGATTAATTAAAAATTTCACACCGCCACTCACTTCCTAATCCACTTCCCCTCTTCGTTATCTTTCCAACTTCTCCACCTTCGATTGGATTCGTTCGAAAAAGAAGTTGGCGCAACTTTGCGACGTATCGCTTCGTTGGTCGAGCAAGAGAGCAATCGATCGGGCGATCGAGCGATCGAACGTCGGCTAATGGATTCCATCGCGGCTATCGCGTTTCGAGAGAAGTTCGCGTCGCGGTCGCGGCTTTGCGAATCGGCTTGCATAACGACATAGCACGATAAAAAAACGCGGCTTCGAGTGGGGGTTATTTTTAGTTGGCTAACGGTCGTTCGTCTTCGAGTGTTTCGAATTTGGCCGGCGAAATGAATTCCGCCGAGCGGTTCAAGTAGGAAAATAAATTGCGCGACCTCGTACAAGCGACGATGGTTCAGGTGACAAAGCATCCGAGTTCAAGACACACCTCCCCCGCGAATTTTCGTAAAAAGAATTTTCCTTAATTGGCAATTAAATCACATTTTCCTTATGAATAACAATTATAGTCCTTGAATCCAATAAGTGTAATAAATTAAATAAACAACGCGGGAGTTATGAAAAATAGAACCTGGGAATAGATCAATAACAAGAAAAGAAGCTTGTTGACACTTGACGACTGACACAGTTCGATGATGTTTATCCGATCTGTTTGCGCCAAAGATAATCAATGTAATTTGTATTAATATCGATGATAGCTTGAATGAAGAGTACGCAGACAATGCAATAGAGGAAAAATTCTGAAACTATGCTGTTAGAAAATTACTAACGTAACTCTTCGATAACCTCGGATTATATTCATAGCGCATGTACGAATTGATTCGCGTAAGCCCAAAGTGTGGCGGACCCCAAAGGGGGACAGCTGGGGGTGGGGTCATCTCTTTGTCGCTACACGCAAATTGCACTCTCGATCTATCGAGATAAAAAAAATGGAGCTCGTTGTATGAAAATCGTGGGATGAACGAAGAGGAGGTATCGAGTTAGGTGCAAGTTAAATATGCGGCCGGTATTGTTAAAAATAGAGCGATGGTCGACCGCCGGGTTGCTTGTGCAATCGAGCACGTGGGACCAAGTGTCCCCTCTTCTCCCTGTAACCGCCTTTTCTTCCCTATTATGTCGATTCCTTTTCCCTTATCGATCAACCATCTGATCCTTAAAGAAAATTTTTCAACGCCTCGGTTGCTATATCGAATATGGCAACCTACTTTCTATTTCCAATAATTTAATTCTACAGAATTTCAGCCGCGAACCACCGATGGCCCCCATGGGAATCGTAGTGTCGAACCCTTCTCGTAGAGAAGAAAAAGAATTTTCAAAGGACAGACCCGGAGAGGGAGAGAAAGAGAAAGAGAAAGAGGAAAGATTGAGCTGCCAACGATTGTTGGCACGCACCTTCATCGACACGCGTTCTCGTTCGCGGCCTTTGCCTCGTTCGCGCTCCTCGCCCTGAGAGGAAAAAAGGGATCCGCGCTATGTCACCTGGTTGGCATCGAACGATCGACCAATAACAAACAACCAAACTGGATAATCGAGGCGAAATCGTACCTAGAATAGCTCTGATCGAAGGGAGACGCGTGACACGATCTTCGCGGCTGCCCTTGAAGAGGAAAACGGCACGCGCTTCCGTCTACCCATGCAAAAATAACATTCCGTAATATCGTGGCGCAAAACTTCACTCTTGGCCACGATACAAACGAGTCACACTCTCTCTCTGACGTCCAGGGACGCGGACAGATGCGATTTCGATGAGAAACGACAAGGGTTACGCTTGAGGAAGATTATTGTGCGCGATGGTACGCGCGTTCGCCGCTAGAGGGCTGCGAACCCGAGATAACTTTCTCGCTAGTACTGGTACAACTATCCATTTCTATTCTCAAAAATCTCGGTATCACTACCAGTATCGTATCACTGATTTGTGACAGAGAAAAATTGAGAAAGATGCTGATTAAATATGCAAATTTCAATGTAAACGAAAAGTGTTGATATTTCAGAAAGAAGGCATTTTAAACAAATGGAAGTTTGCGCTTCCATTCTTATCTGATGAGCGACTATAATACCCAGTTGGCATTTAAATCCACAGGTGTGTACTCGGTGCTGATAAGGATAAACCTGGAATTAAATCTATTTACACCCACGTTTTCAAGAATTTAATTCAATTTAAAGGACCATCAGTGTGATAATTTTAATTGCTATAATTTTCAAGAAAATTTCTCCACCTTGTATCTGTGACTGTTGGGTCCCTGCGAATAATAGGCGGAGTTAGCTGTTACGTAACGGCACGAGCCTACGCCGAACGCTCCTATCGTCGTGTCTTACCCTCCAACTGAGAATTAAACCGATCGCGCGATTCGAACGCGCGGACTCGCTCGCGCGATCGCCTCGCGTCATCCGTTGGATGTTCAGGATGGGAGAAAAATAGGAGCGAGTGAGCTAACTACCTTTCAGCAGCATTATATCTCAAGCGTCAACGTTTCGTCACGTTTCACTTGACGTTTACGCCGTTTTCAGCGACACGTCCCGTGACCAGGAAGAACCGACCACGATCGAAATCCGACACCTTCGGAGCTGAGAAATCTAGAAGAAATCCTCTTCCTCCGCCGCCCGTTATCTATACCTTTTCTCCTGCTTCAATGATCCAGTGTGTAAACAGTCGGATCAACGTCATTGATTAAAAAACTAAGAATGAGAATCAAGAGAAATCTGAGAGAGGCTGATTCACAAAATAAGTGTAACTAACTCTGACACATCAGATATGTCATTGTCATTGCAAACGGATACAATCACAATCGATGTTTATTGAAAAGGTTTACACAAAAAAATCACTATTTTCTACAGAGACACAATTAAAACAAATAGTCACTGTCACTAACAGTCACTAGGGAATTTGACTTTCCTTCCGTTTTTATCGAAGAAAATTTGCAATTTTAAACTTTCGACCCAGAATTTCTTTGAAATCTTAGAGACACTAGAAAAAATTAGATTTTAATTAGAGATTATACAGAAACAAATGTCATCGACCTGTCTTAATAATTA